TCCAATACGCGGCTGTGGCATATGCCTGTTCGCTTGCGTCCGTGAATACGTGCAGTTGCGACCGTTGGCTGTCGTTCGTGCCATACCATCGCGGCAATCTCAGTTCCTCTATATAGGCTAAGTCATCTCTCCATTCCTGGAACATCCGCGCTTCCTCGGCGGGCAGAGGGTCATCCCATTCGACCTTCTGCACCCACAGCGCCTGCAAGATGATTTTTGCCGTGATGGTGTAAGGGCTCAGCAGCCCGAGCGGGTCGAACAATGACATCACCGCTCCTAGGGCTTCCCTTTTCGTCGGTATCCGTGTGCCGTGCTTCACTTCTCGTGGGACGCGTGGCATGCCGGTGTTGAACGCCAGCTGGTCTTCGGCTGACATCCACAATAACCCCAATGTCTTTCCGTATGGATGTGCGTTGGCTCCCAGTTCCTTCGGCGTCCTCGCTCGCTGGTCCTCACTCACATTCTCTAGCAGGCTCGGTCGGTTTGTATTCCAACCCGCCAGCGTGAATCCTATCCCGCCATGAACCTCTACTACCTCTCGAATGGCGCGGGCTGCTTCCTCTTCGGAGTCAAAGCTATCGACCCAGTCGTCCATGTAGTGGTTCCTTGTTATGGCGGTGTACGCTGACGGGTGCGACTCTCGGTGCTCTGCCGCGTTCCTGTCTCGAACGCTGTGTGCGATGAACGGTGAGCTCCTCGCCCCGAAAATCATTGAGGTCATTACGTATTTCTGCGGCGGGTTAATCCTGTCATCTCCTCGCCACAGAAACTGTTGTGCTGCTCTATCTTCTTCCCGTATCTTAATCTGCAGGAACATCTCTCGTATGTCCGCCGTGATAGCTACGGGCTTCTCGCGGAAACGGTATAACACACCGTTAAGCGATCGTAGCATATCTGGCCCATCCAGCAGTACGTCGTTCAAGCACATTCCCTTCGAACGGGCCGCGGCGTCGAATACGAGTCGCAGCTTTCCGGGTTTATTCGGATTCGTCACTCCGAAATGGGGAAGGTACCACGCGCGGTCGTTGTTGAACCGGTCGTCGGTTACTTTCTCGGCGTAACCCTTGTCCAACAACTTGTTTATCTCCGCGGTATACGCCAGCCGGAATTCCGTAGAGCGATCCATCCGCCGCTCTATTCCCCTCAGTCGGCTCGCTGCCATATCGTAGCTGGGAGGTAGAGCGACGTTATCTCTCTCCCACGGCAATCCTACGACGTATCGCCCATCCACTCTCGTCGCTGTGCGGTTGAATGTGGCGACGGCGCGCTCCTCCTTAGCGATGGGTAATCTCTTCGACGATATACCCAACGCGTCGATGTCGTAATGCGCTTTTATTATGCCCTCTATATGCCGCATGTCTGGCTCGGCGTTGCGCTGTGTCAACCGCACGTGGAGGACATGTTCCTCGTCTTCCACGACACTTCTGGGTACCGTTCCGTGGATGACCCATCCCAGTCGTGTCAGCGACGCTGCGGGTTGATTGTGCCTTCCTGTGAGCAGCTTCCGCGTAACAATCAGATGCCAGTTGTCTGACCCGATCAAGACCTTGGGTCTGGCATCTTCGTAGCACACTTGCTCGCAAGTGAGTTGTCGCAGGTGTCCGTACGCGAGTATTTCCGGGTTCACTCGCTGCGTTCCTAGGGTGAGGTCCCGGATCGTACGCGCCCTCACCGAGTGTTCTTCGTCCGTATGGTGTCGCCCTCTGATGATGACATCAGCCACTCGGCTTGAGGCTTCGTGCCAGCTCGAGGCCGCTCCCTGAATTCTCAGAGATCGCGTCGGACCTTCGGCTCCGATCTGTTCTGCGATCTCCGCATCGATGAGTGTAACCGTCGAGCCTTCATCTAGCATCGCGTACGTCTCTACTTCGCGTCCCGTCTTGCCTTTCACGATGATGGGACACACCTTTAACAACACTTGGCTGTTCTCTGGCAAGCGTGCTGCGGCTGTAATCGCGGTGTCCTCTTGCCGCTTCGGCGGTTCTTCTGGGGGTGCAGCAGGGCGTGGTGTGGCTTACGACACTCTCTCACACCACATTTGCGTGCCTTACACTTGAACCTTCTGTGCGTGCTGTTCATGCATTGGAAGCACATCTTATTTGTTTTCGCCCACTCCCATCTGTCCGATAACGACATGTCGTTCAGCTTCTTACACTTCGGCGTTACGTGTGCGGCGCCGCAACAGAGACATTCGGTACTCTGTTCGCTCTTTTCTACGGCGGCGTATACGGCCGCGCCACGATCCGTCATCTGTCGCCGAGGTGCCGACATCGTTGCTTTCGGTATGGGTTGCCTAGTGGGTTGCTTCGGGGGCTGCTTCGTGGGTAGCGCGCTCGTTCGTCTCGTTGGTGATGCTATTCGTAGATGTCGGGTCATGAGATCGGCTTCGCTCATTAAAAACTCTGCCATCTTGATGATCGTAGGTCTAGTGTCCTCCTTGTTTTTTTCAGCGTAGTGACACCAGTGGACCTGTAAGTGAGGGGTCAGCTTCTCTGACACTTCACTCTCAAGCGCGGGATTATGTAGGAATCTCGCCCCCCTGTCGATATCCGCGACGATGGTGGTGATGTTCTGTAGTTTAATGGCGAAGTCAATCACCTCTGTTGTCGATGTTCCTATTACCGGCATCCTTCTCAGATCTTTGAGGGCGCGGTCGATGATGGCCTCTGTCCGGCCGTACCGCTGCTCCAACGTCCTCATGATCTGCGACGGTTCTGTAGCGGATACGAGTAACGCTGCGACTGTCTCTCTCGCTTTTCCACGTAAGCAGGCCCTCAGCCTGGCCAGGTTCTCCGCTGGTGTGATCCTGTACGTCTTTGTAGACTGGTCTACGGCCGCCTTAAACGCTAGCCATTCACTTGCTTCGCCGCTGAAGATCGGGAGATCTTGGGCTTGCCTCGGCGCTACCCTATCCGCTCGTTCGTCCACAGCTCGTTCAATAGCTTTGGCCAGCCGGGTGAATCCTTCTTGCATCCCGGCTTCAGGAGCGGGGGACCTCCGTCTTTGCTTCGGCGTCCTCGGCGGTGAAGCTTGCCTTTCTGTTGGCTCTTTCTGCGTAGGCGGTGGGGAATTAATTCTCTGCTCCCCCCGTACTTCGGTACGTTGAAACCAATCCGTTATACGTTGCAGGCCGGCACCTTCCTCGGAGCACACGCTATCTCTATCGGTCTCTTCATGTACCGCGGCGACATCGGCTGCCAACTTCTTTCTAATTAAATCAGCCTGTAATTTCGCCATCTGTAGCGCTGCCTCGTACTCCAGCCTCTTTAATTTAGCTATACCGCTAGCGGTGGAGCGGCGCGATCGCACCGACGCGGCCCGGGCCGGACGTACATCTGTCGTCGGCGGCTGCGACGGTGGCGCCGGTGCGGAGTCCGAGGTAAACGCGGCGCGGGCGGCTTGTGCCTGTGGCGCGCTCGACGGCGCGGCGGACGCGGACATCTGCGTGGTTTCTGAAGGGGACGCTTCTGTCTGTTCATTTTCCCGCGTGGTCTTTTTCTCTGCTCCCGGGGCTTGGCTTCTCGTAGTCGGCATCGTGTTCTGGCACTTGCAAGCCCCTAACCTACCGGTCCCTACCTACCTAACCGTCCCTAACAATCCCTCAGGATAACACCCGAGGGGATGGACTATGGGGATAGGAGGGTAGGAATTACCCCGCAGTGGTGCGTATGTACAGACGGGGCGCTCAGGGCCGGTTCGGACTTTCCGACCCCTTTGGCAGTGCCTACAGTCCGGCCCCCGCTATACGATACACACGTACAGGCGTAATAGTGCTATTCGGTTGCGCCACGGTAACAAGCAACAACCGGCAGTGACACACCACTCACTGCACCGCTCAATGGCGTTAACCCACACTCCGACCGTTTGACACCGTTAGGTGGTAAGAGATGTGAGCCGCGGACACACCGCTTAGACGTTATCTATCCTATATGGCGTAGACGTTATTTATCCTATCCTCGCTGCACCCTCAAGTTTTCACCTTACGACGGCAGCTAAATTCGGTAAGCTGCTAGCGTCGCACCGTTGGGTGATCTTCCTCGGCGAGGTACGTCGCACCGTTGGGTGATCTTCCGCGGCGAGGTACGTCGCACCGTTGGGTGATCTTCCGCGGCGATTCGTCGCACCGTTGGGTGATCTTCCACGGCGTTTCGTCGCACCGTTGGGTGATCTTCGGTCTTGATATGCGGCTGCGATGGACCACAAAATTGTGGGGTACACAATTAAAAGATCTTCGATTTTCAAAATATGTGGACTGTATTTCAATTTGTTTCTTATTCTATGGGTCGGCCGGCCGGAGTGGGGTTTTCTTGGTCGTTGCGCCGGCGGTGGTTCTTCGTCGGTGGCGTATGCGTAAGAGAGCGCGATCGAGAACCAACCCGCCTTTTACGGGCGCCCGAGCGCGTCCTTCCCCACCCCGCCGAGCCGTGCGCGTCGGCCGTCCCACCCTCCCGACAATTCCTGCACATGTCGGTGACCGACGGGCCGGAACAGCGAATACGCACACATTTAAAATTAAATACAATAGTAACAATACAAAAAACTACAAAAAACCACGTGCGACTAAATGCCACATGTTCAGGCTACACTAAAGCTGTGATCCCTAAGAATTTACACAATGGGCGGACATAGAATTCACAGTATCTATGCCGCTACAAAGGGTATATGGTACAAACAATAGTCTAACCTAAACAATAGTCAAAACACTGGAAAAATACAAATTTATACACAAATTTATTTACATATTTTCGATGCCGACTCGTGGTCCGCAACACTATCTATACCTAATCTACAAAAAATAAAGAGTCTGTCGGGAAACTCCATATGTACAAAACTGTGACCTATCAATGTAATTTAAAGATCTATTTTCACGCTATATCACTTACAAGGAGGTCAGCCAAAAAGTAGAGCTGACGACCGTTAACCTCCCTGAGAATATTTTGTGTCTGAAGCGTTTTATTTTTAAGCATTAAATGTTAACATACGTCAATCATATTTTTCAGAGCGGCGCCGAATCACCATGCACATGCGAGGAATGTCAGGCCGAAGTCACCGGACTCAACGATTACAAGGCTCCAATAACAATAGCACAAAATCAGAACAAAGCACAAGATCCTAACGCGGAACACAATGAAATCGAGCGCAGTGTAGATGTAATCGTACATGATACACCCGCAACACCATCGTTCTTCGAATCAGTGGTATCGCCTCCATACCTTGCACCCCCACCCCCTCCAGGGTTCGTAGTTGCCCCGTATCAACCACCTAGATTCCACACAGGGGGTAACGTAGAAGACCTGCTTGGAGATGTCCAATCAAGCCCAACATTACAAACGACCTTTATACAACAAAACTCTGTTTTCATGTGTAACACTCGTCGAATAATGCAGAAACATTGCTGCTGTCAGAATCACGAATCTAACTCACCAGCACCCGTGCAAAATGTCGAAGTATCTGAAGCACCAAAGTCATATGTAACTGAGAAGAATATAGAGCTTACTTACGATTATCCGAAATCGACGCCAGTCCAAAGTAGTCCAAGCCCAAAGTCTGGAGATGACGCACAGACAACCACGACCGAAGTAGCCAGCACTGTTGTCTTCGTAGAGAGACGGATGCCAATCAAACCGAAGAAGTTTGATTTCTTCTTTAGGTCTCGATCGGCACCTGTCGGAGAAAATGAGGAACCCATTTACGCAACAGTAAATAAATTACCTAAAAGACTGAGACGAATGGAGCTTGCTAATTTGGAGAAAGAAGTAGCGTACAAAACGGGCGAGCCGGACTCCTCAACACGTACAGAAATGACTCTGAAAACGGATTCAGAATCTCAAGCGCCACCGCCTGATGACGACACCAGTCGATCTGAAAGAGAAAAATCTACGGTACCTAAAAGACCAGATTCCCCGAAAGCGAAGAAAAGGAAACGATTCTCGCTAACTTTTAAGAAAAGGGATAGAAAAAGACGGGAGAAGAAAAAGGAGGCAAAGAATGGTGCGGCAAAAAATGGACTGCCAGTGCAAGTTGAGAGTGACAATGAAAGGTTAATAGAAGAGGTCCAAGAGGTAGGCAAGCATAAGCACTGCACGCGCCATCGGCCAAGGAACACGATGTCATCCTCCAGCTCCGGCCCGCGTTACAAGCGGGATAGTTATCAGGTAAAACGATTTTACATTTATAATTATAACTATATAGAAACCGTCGTAGATAATAATATTCAGAACTATTATCCTAATTGGGATAGTCCTAGGCATTGTAGCTGTTGAGTCGTGGTGAACGCAACACTTTGATATCCATATTTTGCTGAATATATTTTAACTCAACGTGGCAAGAAACGTGTCTATCATCTTTTGTATTCATTTAATATCTTATTCTATGTTATCACAGACCAGAGACTCTGTGAGACATAAATAGACGAACAGTTTTTTAGTATCAATAAATTTCGAACTCACTTTTTTTGTGGTAAAAGTATGAATTTCACCTGAAGGCCAAGATGCTGTCAATTGCGATCCTAAAATACTCACAGTTCAGACACTGTACAACTGTCTGAACTGTGAGTATTTTAGGAAATAGGTACCTTAATGTGTCAAAAATATCTTCAACATGCACTTTCATCTGGAACCTAGTATTGCGTAGGTAGGTAAATGCATTGGCAGATTGCCGAAAAACGTTGTCATCAAACGCCCCGTGCGTTTTCGTATTGTATTTTTTTTTATTTGTTTTAAATACCTACATTAGGTTGACATCCTCACTGATCCTCATATAGCAATAATCATTGCAATAAGTATCTACTAGTCAGTTTAATATTTAAAAAAATAAAAAAAAAACTAAAGATAATAGTAAATAAAGATAATAATAACACTTTTTTGCACAATAATAAAAATTGTATATAAAAAAGAATGCGACGTTCTGCAGGCGACACGTAAATGTTGTAATGGATAATATATTTAAATAAACTCGTGTTATGGCGAACTTCGAAGCGAACGTTCCTAACTGCTGCACCAATTGCGGATTTTACGCGGACTAGTTATCTTACCGTCGTTTTACTCGACGAATCGAACGAGCCGATTTTTGATATTTCTTATATAGTATATCCTCAACATCTCATTTAAGAAATGAGTGTTAATTTATATATTCATGAACATTTTATTATTTACATTACAAATATTTTTTGCCTTATAGTAAATGTCATATATTCAATATGGTGCAGTAAAACCAACATAGTATAACCTTACTCGACCCATATATGTGAGCAATACGTTATTCTATTCCCTTATTACATACTAGTCTCTCATTCACAGGAAATGACGACATCGCACTCAGAGCACGAGCGAACAAACAGCGTGTGTTCGTCAATGAACTCATTAGGATCTGCCTGCACTCACAAGTCCAGGAAGTTGTCAGCTCCCGTCAATGATGGCTCCATACCCTGGTGTGGTTGTTGGGGCGCCGGCTGTGTCTGATCTAATTCAGATCATTCAACGGAATGCTCAAAATCACAATAATTTATTCCAATTCACCGCAACGAACAAAATGGCGCCTTTTTATACATATTTTTAAAATTCAAACAAAGAACTTGTTGACCAACATGACAAAATTTTATAATGCGCCCAAATTTAATAGTCTACAATGACAGTTAGGTCCCAAAGCAATTAGAATACTTTTTAATTTGGTAATTGGGGTAATAAAGTAGCTCCTAATTTCATACGTTAATTCTAAATCTATATCGTGGACATATCATTCGCTGGAGGCGATAATATCGGACTGGAGATCATAATCATCACTATCAAATTATATCAAAGGTATTTCTGTAAATATTTTTTATTATCGAGGTCCCGAGGCACCACGTCGGAGTCATGGGAAGTTAGAAGCGTTAGAATTATAGCGTGACTCTAATAATGACGAGTTCAACTCCGAAGGCATATACTTAAGGCGTTGGAGTCATAAGAAGTCACAAGCGTTAGTAATTTATCATGACCAACGACAAAAAAGTAGAATTTCAACGCAACTCCTTGACTTCGACGCAATATACTTCTCAACGTGTGGAAAATCTTCACAAAGATCCTCCATCCATGGTGGCAAATCGGAATATGTCGTATTTTTACCGAACATACCCGAGGCGCCGTAGCCAAACGTGGGGTCGCGTTAGCATTTTGCCTTGAAAATAATATAATTAGATAAAAATATACTTTTTTTACCTATGGAAAATCTTTCAGACTATCCACCCACTGGAGGAGACAGGTTGGGAATGTGGGATTTTTACCCACTAAAAACTACATTGTGTGTAGCGTTAACATGGTATATACAGTGAATGTAGATATAAATATACCTGCCAACTGTAATTAGATAGTTATTATTACAACATCCGCGTTTATGTTGTTTATTACACTATAAAATATTAATATATTATTTTATGTTTATACTATAAAATTACTGTTCCAATTCATAACAGTTTTAGAGCAACATTATTAGTTATATCAACTCTAAGTTAAGACAATATCGCACACTTAATAATAAACTGCTTTAAGTAAAGATTATGAATATTGGAATTTCGGCAAGCGAGCAAGATTAGCAAAACGATTAAAGACTATATTCCAAAATTTGTAATTTTGAGTTTACTATTCAATAGATAATGATATGGTGCATCCGCCTCCGCTAATACGCTGGCGGGCACCAGAAATAGATGGTTGCGAATTTATCAGAAATTAAAAACGTTGGGTTTCCAGTAGGAAGTAGTGCGTGGAGGTCGACCTGACATTGTACATTTCTAGTTCCCATTACTAATAATCCCTTCCCCGCAGTTTATTATTAAGTGTGCGAATCTTAAATTCTAGTCTTCATAATTATATTTCTGTTTATTTGTCCATAGGTTACTGTAAATATAAAGAGAAATCTGTGATTTTATGAGTAACGTGTCTTGAATGTATTGCATATTATGTCAAATGAAGAATTAAATTTTATAACTAGGTATTTTTAATACTGATGTTTTATTATTTATTATCTTATATCTATATTTAATAAACTCGAACAAGTCGAGAATGGGAAAAAGCTGATCGAAGTATAATAATAATAATCTCAGGACAATTCACACAGCGCCATCTAAACCCAGGTTAAGCCCCTAAAGCTCGTGTTATGGGTACTAGACAACTAATACAAATAAATAGATATGTTTTTTTCGTGAATACATACATATTACACATAGAAACACCCAGACTGTAACAACCAATTATACTCATGAATACAAATGTTTATATTGTGCGAGGAATCGAACCTGCGACCATGAGAAATAAGGCGGTGTGCTACACCGCTAGACCACCGAGGCCGTCGAGTAAGTATAACACGTTATCATGTGACGTTGCCATTCCTGAGGACCACACATCTTGCAATGGAAGCTGTTTAACGGCTTTTTTTGTCTTGTTTGTTACAACTGGACTTTATGGGTATTAAAAATAAAACATCCGAATCGTTACATAGATGGTTATTTATTATAAAATATGACACATTCCTTTGAACTGTGTTGTACAGTAATTGAGACGCACATAGCAAAATTGATGTACCGACCGAGACGCCATTGGCTGCGACACCTACTCGAGCATCTTATATTATCACAACATTAATCACGCTCTACATTAATATGAGAAAATATAAGGCTAACCGTATAAGTGCGGTCACACATTATTCGGTTTAACCGATGTTCTATGGTACGACCATTCCGATTGGCCCGTTTCACAAAGAGGGCGGGGCGTTATGCCAATTAAAAGAGGTCGCGTCGGAGAATCGACCGGCTGAACCGAATATGTGACCGCACTAATTTAGCGGACGCGAGCAATCACGTGCAAGTAGATATCACCTATATCTTTATTGGTGTTATGAATTCGAACCTTAGATCCGCCACTAATCAATGCCTACTATATACCATTGATTATATTAATTAAATTTCTTTTATCAAATATTTATGTCAAGGGTTTGTATCAAATAACAGCTTAAACTTGGGCTTAAAAAATTTTTAACGAGTTAATTAGTGTGACAATTTAATACAAAAAATAAAATAACAATATCACTCGATTTAAAATAATATAGTCGCTTTAAAGATTTATAATACGTATAGTCTTTTGCTATAAATAAAATATAGGAAAATGTAAAAACAGAATCTACTTTTTTTTTTTAATTTTTTTCTAATCCTCCCCTATCTAAGCAAATGCCTTTGACATATCCAAATATGTATAATATATAAAAAATACTTCCGTAATAAGGTACACGATACTCTAAAACCCAACATGCTAAATTCCTGATGAATTTGCCATGATGCGCTAACTGACCTGGCCTCATGCTCATCTATAAATATCATCCTCCACAGGAAGCCGCCAGCATAAACCTTTAGCGCAGACGAGAGCATCATTCCATTATCATCCATTAAAAAACTTACTATCTACATTGCACGTGATTGCCCCAACAAAATCATTTCTTTGAATTACTGCAGTTCATTACCACAGTAATAATTAATAAACCACACCGCGCATTCTCCGGTGATGCCTATGAATATTCTTAAAACCTTCCACATCCTAATCCGTAACATTAAAGGCAAAAATCTCCGTGAAAGGTGTCTAAAACTCTCACTATCCATCTAGTTATCTTATGCAAGCAAGAACCACTCGACGATCGCCCAATACTTCTAGAGACTTGAGGGCACCATCTCGGCCAGCCAGTGAGGGCTCAGTCGGGCAAGCGTACATTGATTTCTACTTTAGAACATTCGAGAATCTACGATAAAAAATTTCGGACACAAAGAAAAGTTTCGACACATTCGAAGTATTAGGAATCACCGAAATCACCATACGTTTCCAAAATAATGGCACATAGAAAAAAAAAAACAACACGAGAATGTGTGCAAATAATAAAAATATAAAAAAAATAAAAATAAAACACTGCACAAATTATATTGCAAAAAAGTAACAAAGATATGGCTTTAAAATCTCTTTTATATAAAATAAAAATCAATAAATAAATTACGCGAAAATAAATGAATGAATGTACAATATTTACATCGAATATTTATATAGAAATTGCATTTTTTAAATCATTAGGGGAAGTTTTTTTTAATGAAACTTTTCTCTCCTCGTGAGATCTAAGAAAAGCGAAAATTTCTAGAAAAATAAATCTAAACACAGGTAGGCTCTATGTCTTTTTTCGATTCATAGTAAAATATAAAAAACCCCTCACATCATTCCCCTAATGGACATGATATTACTGTCTCGCTCACGCACGCGTCACGGGTACATTTCACGAGCGCGGCGCGTGCGTGCGAAAGAGACAACTGATATAATGACGTTATTATATCGATAAAAACTTATGTAAATACACCCTTAACTAAGCTTAATTGGAGACATCTAATATATTAAATATACTTATAAATAGTTACATTGATCATATCTATATTAACGCTAACACAAATCCTTTAAAACTGCATCAACATATAAAAGCCTTCTCATATCATTTACTTATTCTCTTTGCGATACATTATATAAAAACAAATACAGTTAAAACCGTGTAAAAATGATTTCATTCAAATTTTTACCTTAAATATACATACCGTAAGTTCATATTGATACGCTGTAAGATATTTCTGGAACTAGCAGATGCGTTCTATACAAATAAAGTTATAATCCGCTATATTCATAAAATACAGAAAATAACCAACTAAATTAAATGCCAAATAACGAATGTTTTGATTTCAAATACACTTTTTAAAACATTTCCTCACTTCATGACCGTAATATAAATTAATTATTAAAAAATACAAAATGTACACAATTTAAAATTCGATTAAAAAATTCAGTATCTTATTACTATTGGCATTGGAATTATATTGGCAAAAACAATAGCGACATCTGTTTACTAATGAAAAAAAGTTGCACGTAATGAATTGTTACAAAAATAGGATATTGTAGCAATATACCTAGTTGACCTATACGCAGTCCACTTTAGAAATTAAAACTATAATAATACTATAATAAATACATTCCAGTTGAATTCGTCACGATGGTCGAATTAACGAAACTCATGGTCCTCATACTGGTGCCCCGCCAGCGTATACTTTTAACACAGTCGGATGCACAATTCGATCATTATTCATAAAAAAATCATTATCAAATCATGTCAAGTACTTCATTATCAAGTATTATTTATTTATTAAACTTCAATGCACAAACATACAAATAAAGGTGCACATAGTGGAGTTTACACCTCGAGGCATTTTCTTATAGTCAACCATTGGGCAAACAGAGTTTCATGTGGAAAGTGAACTGTGGAAAGTGTGAAAGATAATTTTAAATGGGATTAAACATACATTGGTAGAAACAGAGACTAATTTTAATTTAATTTCATTAGTAAACCTATGTTTACAAAAACATAGCTCACAGCTGCACAATACATAAAATACACACTACATCAGTCTATACATAAACACTTAATATACGAAATAGGCCATCCTATATACATATGGATCCTCACATCCGCCTCTCACATCGGCAACGAATAATTTTTATATCCCCACTTAAAATAACTGAGCTAGTAAAATGTGCTTTATTGCTGTAACAATTAGGTATAAATATGAAATGCATTAAACAAAAGCGTACAATAAATTAAATCAAATATATTAGTAGTAATGTTAGTAGCAAATTATTACATGAATTACATATAAATAATTGCAGTTAAATCCTTGAGATTCAAATTACTGGTATAACCGTATTGTATATAAAGTGTTAGCAAATTATTTGCATTTCCTTTTTTTATCCATTCCATAGGGGACAAACGAGCTTACGGTTCACCTGATGGTAAGTGATTACCGCCACTCATGACTTTTCGCAACACCAAGGGAATTGCAAGTACGTTACCGGCCTTTTAAGACAGAATAAGCTCTTTTATCCGCTACATGGTATGCGTTACATACATTACGAAAATACAGGAACTCCATGTAATTAATTATTATAGCACAATATGTACAGTGCATATTAATAGATTTTTATTTAGGTACTGATGATATTTAGGTACAGCGGCAGGAGACCAAAAGGTACTGAGATGCTTTTAAAGCAAAATTATTTGTATTAAGGATATCTTTTGTATGAAAACAATAATAACATTAGGCATGAAATTCCCTATGCTTTATCCTGTACAAGGGAATGCATATAATTTGATAGCACCCTATATTTATATAAGAACAACTTTAACGTCTAACAACAGATATATTAGACCTTATGCCTCTTTATTTAGAGTTGCTTTTTGAATTCGCAAAGTAAAAGAACTATAATATAGTGTTAGACATCACTATAATTACTTTATTAGATGTCTTTTAATAATAATAAATGATACAGTAATATATTAATACAAAATCAAAATATACTATTACGATATCTTCATATATAAAAATTAATGATTGATTCGGTTTCATTTATAGAAAAAAAAATCAGTATAACTATTCTAACACCGAAATAATTTTACTTCAAGTTTTTTGCTTCCCATGATCATTATTACTTCGTTTTGTGTAGAAAAAGTCCCAAACGTACATATACTTTATAAACCTAGGCTCATCATTTGGAGGAACATCAACATCTAAATATCAAAGTAGAATGAAGAAATTGATCATGATTTGAGATAATTACATACACGTTACGTAGTTCGCCATTTGCGAAGAGTATTTCTCATTGATTTCAGATACCTTTATCATATACAACCATATAATAGTTTCGAATCCAAAATGATACATTTATAAATCCACAAATAAAGTATTATTCCATTTATAAATGACTATCCATAAATTACAGTACACCAATATTAATTCCAGTAAGCTTCTTACACCAAACCCCCCACTTCTGGCATTGCATAATCTCATATACTCATAAATCTCATAAACTGTACAAAATTAAAAAAATATTTGTAATTTCGTGTTTTAAAAATATTGTAAATGACGTCATCATAATAAAAAATAATATTTGTAAAATTTTGTGTTTTAAGAAAATCGTAAATGACGTCATCATAGGGAGGCGAAGCATCGTCAAAGATCCATCCGATCCCCCTTCCCCTACCAAAACATGTATCGTAATTCATGGATTGCCCCTATTTGATATGAGATCGTATTGATGAATGTACCATAAACATTAGTTATTACGTCATAAATAGCCTGAATTAAAGCAGTCTCAAAAAACAATAGAAGCTGCCAATTGAACGGATAAAATAGTTACAATATTCATAAGACCATTATTTATTCTATATCATGTATTAATAAAAAAGTAAATAAAAATAATGAACAAAACATATGTATTTTATATATTATATATAAATATGTATTATTATAATACATGAGATTACCATCCACTTAAATGAGTATACGTTATATATAACATTCATAAATAAATTAATACGGCATACAAGATAGAAATACATTTTATACGCCAAAAAACGTATGGGAAATAGTTGGATTTTATTTAAAAAAAAAACATTAAACAATATGATGTAATGTTTGGACTGACGTTATTAACATAAATGTAATATCCAATTACATCCAAAGACTCCCAAACATTTCCATATTACCACACTAGTCAATTATTTATCTTCATAACCCTAATTAAGGAGTAATTGTTTCTATACCTATTCTGAGCAGAAACAATTATTAACAACATCATTTATGAAAAAATTAAATATATTTTTTTTCGAGTAAAAGAACATACTAAATATGATGCCAGTTCTTTAGCTTAAGTAGCTATCCTGGAAGGCACGGATAAAAATATTTCACGTGCTTGAATGTAAAAAAAAAGTGCTATATAAATAAATGATTTTGACTTCGACTTTGTATCTCTTCTAATAAAATTGTTCAAACCATATTCTTATTCGAAAGAATTCCTATCTAACAATATTATTTCCTCATTAGTTATATATATACAAAACCAACTTACACTAAATTCAATTTGACTCCCATTTCGCGCATTTTACCATTCCTTCATTAATCCTCCCATTCCTTGATATCCCATAAACTTCAACCCACATGTGGGTCTGCTAGACCGTTTCGGAAACCCAACTTTGTGATGTAATTGTAAATACAAGTCTCAAATATTACAAAACATTTCATATCGACGCTTTTTGACGTTACAGTATGACTATATCGTATACCCTATCACACAACATTTAAGCCACCAATAGTAAAATAACCACGAAAATTATGTCTCGCTCGCACAAAAAATAATGCCAAACACACTAGCGGCTTCCAACGTTAAAAACGTCAAAATAATGTCTACCACATATGTATAATTATTAATAATAATTAACAATTAATTAGTTACATATCGACTGAACGGAATGTGCGTTACGTGGTGTTGCCATCCATTTTGAATATCAACGTTAATATTACTACCAATAATACTTAATTTAAAAAACACTTTATTTAATCCGTTAAATACTTTTGTGCACGAATTTCTCTTAAAACTATTTACGATGCAGATAATATATTATTACTAATTTTAAAATACTGATCTCCCTTATCTGGATAGTTGGCATAAAAAATGTATAGTTGTCCGTCTTTTGAAGCGGAATTGTGATGGTGCAAGCGTACGTGTAATATCAAATACATGTAAATAAATAAACGACTACATTTTATCAAATTGTTTTGTTGTAACTAACACAATATCTGATTATGGACACGCAGAAAATTATCTACCAATCGTGGTAAAATGGAACTCGCCAATTTTGCCTTCTTTTAAAAAATATAATCTTTTTTCACTTAAAACACGAATTTAATTTGGAAGTCCTATTAACGCACGCACCGTTTGAACATTCCAAATAACTAAACGCACTAATGCGTGTTCATAATCACATAAACGCCGAAAGTGAGCAATGCAAAAACAAAACGCCCATAACCGACGAACTCGTTTACGCGACCGTTAGACAAACACACTGGTATCCGTTATGATATCAGCGGATTTGTACGTTGCGGTGACGTCACAGGGCGCTGACGTCACACGTCGTCCATCACGAATGCAACCTGCATTGTGGGTTCCTGGAATATTAATGGAATATAACTAGTTATCACTCAATTTCTTTCTGTTTAGGTTTCAATACCGATTACAAATTTCTATAACTAACTACTAAAACTATTTAAAAACTATGTAAATGTCATTTCAGATTGATATTATAAAGAGCTAAAGTATGTGTGTTTGGATATTTTCTGATACTACTGGTCTTGTCCTGAAAAATTATTTTGTATATGTATTGTGTCCAAACTCACAATCTTTACTTTTTTACTCATTAGAAAATAATGAGAATATTGAGGGAAAAGGGAATTATTAGTAACTTGTACACAGGTTGCCTGCATACGATTCCCGCAGAAAACCATCGTGATAATTCTTGTGAATTTGTCACTACGGGTTTACTGACCTGACGTCATTCATCTTACCGTCCTCCGCGTAAAATTTATAGCCTATATGTAATTCTGATATATAAGCTATATTACTGTAAAGTTTTATGAAAATCCGTTTAGTAATTTGTACGTGAAAGAGTAACAGTTTCGCGTTTATAATATTAATAAAATATATTACAATACTCACACACTGTCCTCACACCATAACAAAAGCCTCTTGCCCTCGAAATAGGAACGGGTGCTGATCGATCATGGTCTGCACGATGTCCTCGAGGTACGGCCGTGTCATCTCAAAGCGGCCCATATCCGAGAACTGCACGGGGAGCAACGTCGGCCACCAGCATATCGCTAGATTCTTGCTGTCCATCGAGTTCAATTTAGAGTTATCCGCAACTCTATGGAAAAAAAATAGATTATTATAAAAGATTATTTAAAAAAATTGTTAATACACACAACTTTTCTATTTTTATTCTTGTTTTAGAAAATTCTGTGCATGAACAACTATTGCCATGCATGTTTGTAATTTAAGTATTCGTTTAGTCAGTAAATGGGCTTTAATAATCACAGGACAATTCACACAGCACCACCCAGACCCAAGCTGAACTAGCTAAAGCTTGTGTTATGGGTACTAGAGAACTGATACAAATACATAGATATATTATAGTTTTCGTAAATACACACATACTATACATAGAAAATTCCCGATACAAACAATATATGTAACCGAAACATACTCATGAATACAAATGTTTGTACCGTACGAGGAATCGAACCCGCGACCATAGGACAGTAAAGCGGTGGTCTAGTGGTATGTTAAACCACTAGACCACCGAGTTCGTCTTTAAATCTAGTGTTAATGTTATAGCAGCAGCGTTGTATGATAGCGTTACATCGGTCGTGGTACCGAGCGCGCTCACCTGGCGAAGTGGTTGAGCAGGAAGTCGAGGGTGGCGCGTGCGACGGCGGTGAGCGCGGAGTTGAGCAGCGACCGCAGCGCCAGCAGACGCCAGCTGCGGTCCTTCAGCTCCACGCCGCCGGCGATACACCCGCGCATCGCTGCACACAACCACCACATCACCTCATCGTCACCGACCCCTCGGCTTCGATCGATCCCCCGTCCAATTCAAACGGGGATCGACATTACGACGGCCTGAGCCGAAGTTCGAGCCCCTAGTGGTGCCCTCAGACTAAAGTCGTATCCGTCAGACGGGAGTTGGCCTTCAGCCGCTCCATAAGTCCTTCCGCGGGTTTGGAGTGCCATCTGCACTCGCCCCCTATCGTCCGGTGAAGCTGTAAAGGCCAGCTGCGGCCAACAGCATTAGAGTTCGAAAAAAGTCCTTCGAAGTCCGAAAAAAGACCCCAGTGGGTCTTTTTTCGGACTTCGAAGGTCAGTACCTTCCACTACGCACGTCCCGGAACTATATACATACTAACTGTGCTTACGGTTTCACCCGCGTGAAGTTTATAGCCCATATGTCTGTCATACTGATGTATAAGCTATATTATTATAAAGTTTCATGAAAATCCATTGAGTAGTTTTTGCGTGAAAGAGTAACAAACATCCATCCATTCAAACTTCGCGTTTATAATATAATAATAGTAAGATACTGACTCCGTAAACGTTGTTTTGCCATAGAAATTGAACAGTGAACACTATCCTTCCAAACTAAATCCGAACTCTATGCAACGCGTGATTATGTCTCATTTAGAGGCGATACACATGTCGCGATATTGATGTAGACTCAATTTATCACCAAGAATTTGATCACCAATAGAGAAATTTCTAACGCTCCCAGACCCAGTGGTCAGGTTTCCGCACTGAATAGATGTGGTAATACACGTTAATGGTGGCGGAATTAAAGAAAATAATATGAATCCAATATAATATATAGCCTGTAATATATATTTTTTTTAATCAATTAATAAAAGGTTCCATTAAAGCGTTTGAGCATTACAGCCTAGACACACAGCTGAGTGGTAACCAATTTCGTCGCAGCTGTATTTTTTACAATAATTAATTATATCTTTTTGTAATATGTTGTATGAATGTTTTGTATGCGCCAAGTAAATATATTTTTCTTATTTATTATAATTGATTTGCGACAAACTATATATTTGAATTAACTATATCAATATATACCTGCAATGTCCTCTAGCTGCGCCATACTCTCCTCGTCGAGTAGTGGAGGTAGTTTCTTTGAGAAGAAATCCTTGAGTGCTGTTGCCACGGCATTCACTGGTATATCTAGCGCCTCTAAATCTATATTAGGATCTGAAAATAAACAATATACTTTAGACTAACGCCTAACACTGGAAAATATATCATCTACGGACACGTATGACAGATTGAGGTAAAATGTAGCTATTTCTCCTTTCTTAATTTAAGTTAAATTTCATGATGATTAATTAAGGCGTTAAGTTGTTATGCTTAACAATTGAAGAAGCCAGCTCACTTTTATATTCATAATATTAGGTATTTTTTTTAATCTATAGACAATAGTAATAAAATTACAGTATTTAGACCTAGCTATGAATATTAAAGGCCCATGATTATTTTAATAATCTGCTGCACCAGAGCCATTGCAGATGTTCATGGCAAGTGTATTAAAAACTAGTTGATAAGCGCAACTTCGTCTGCGTCACATATTCCCTGTTTTTGGAAAATTTTTAATTGCAGCTCTGCTCCAGCCTTAATATCTATAGCTTCCTAGATAAATAAGCTATACAACAATAATTTTGATTCACCCCGAGCGCAAACTTACAAACTTTATGATATTAGATGTTAATAGCAAATATAATTACCTTCATAAAACTTGTTGAAAAGCATCTCTACATGCGCCCGGTTGCCGGGCACTCTATACAAGCCTTCGGACGCTAAACCCTCCCGTTCTATAAATTTCACACACTTCTCCACGAACAGAGGCACGCCGTGTGATCCCTGTGTAATTGAAATCGTCGTCATTAAAATTATCAATAAAAGATAAATATTCTTCATTATAATCCAACAATCTTTGTTATACTGTACTCAATAATTTGTAATTACATCACATCTAGAAGGATTCCAAGAGTAAGCCGTCACGTTTTCTTTTTTTTTCTCTATAAATTAAGTTAAATATTTATTTTATTTAATTTCAATGCACAAAAATAAAGTGAACATCTTATGGCGTTATCTACCAGTCAACCATGATTGGTACAGAAAAAGATTGTTAGCGGTGCACTAATGTAAATGAGACATGTCAAAAAATATATAAATTTCTACAAAAGTAATACATAAATAAATAAATACTTAATGCCAATCGAATTATAAGTAGAGCTTCAAACTGAAAGTAAGAAAGGGAAAAAACGTAGTAACAAAACAATACTATTAATATATACCTGTGGACCCCAATTTTGTATAGAGGGTGCTGTGGTTACTTGGGATGAATTCTTCTTCGAATCTTTGCTCTTTGAAAACTCCTGTAAATCAATTATTTAGACATTATTCATATGATCATTACGGACTACATACATGCATCATTACGGACCACAAGCGACTGCCGACGACAAATGAAAAAATAATTTATTCATGGAAAACATTTTAGCCGCTTATAACGGTAAAATTTTTTATATTATCATTTTTCCCCCGCGTCCAGCAATTCAGTATACAGATTCAATTGAGAAGAACTGGCAAGAAATTTAATTGTATTACTCCTATTTAAAAAAAAGACAGGGTATTTACAATGTTGATTAAATGAATATCCCGTGCATGGACTAGTTTATAAGAAGAATATAAACTTTAACTACTTAAATTGGTGTCAATAAATACTATTATTATTATATTATAACTATTGCCATGCACGCTCTAGAATCAAGTAATCATTTAGTGAGTTTTTTAATTGATGGTGTTCTGAGGGTTTGGCGGCGGCCGTGCCAAAACCAACCCTCATAGCATCAATACTTCTGATCCTTGTTGCTATTTTTCCTTCTTTTACAGCTGTGATCCATCCTACAGCACGTGTTCGTTGGGCGTTGTTCAGGGATAGGATTGTTAGTACCTTATGCCTGCGGTCGTGCTTGGAGAAGGGGTGATGTCGTCGCCTCGAATCGGTGGCACTCGACGACGAGTTGTCTTGAGCAGGCGAAGGGTACTCCGCGCCCGCCCCGGGGACCACGCCCGGCAACTGTACAAACAACGGTTCATATCCAGTCTTATAGTGTTAGGAAGAAACAAAGAAAGAATATTTATTCAGTGCTTTTCAAGTGTTACAATAAACAAAACAAAAGATAAAAATAAAATAATATGTACGTAGCGCTCATGTACGGTGGTTTTATAGTAGGTAAGAATCTCAAACTCTCGTCGTCCCAGCGGGGAACAAACTTTTGGGATTTTTCCATACGAAAAAAAGGAGGCGGGGATTGTTACTGAAAGGAACTTGAGATTCCATTGCCAGAAATGTACCATGTCAGGTTCACTTCCGTATTCCCTTAGAAACTAGTTGGATTAATTCCCTAGTGAGTTACATATATTCACATGTATCATGGTCCCTATGGGATACAGTAGAAGTCACACACACAGTCAGAATCACGGCCGTTTGATATTTGCGAAAGTAATCATTAAAAACATACCTTGAGGATCGGCTCGTGTTGAGGCGGCGGAGGCAAAGGCCTGGTCCTCCGCGTTTCACCGTCAGAACTTCCCTCGCTTGATTCACTGCCTGCTAAAAATATTTAGATATGGGAATATGATAGAGATATATAATAAATTTTGTTAAAAAGTTCAGAGATAAAAGAAGTTCCATAATTATTCAATAATACTATGAAATAAAACATATATGCGATACGCCTAACATACAGTGCGTTGGGCAGAATTGTCAAATGCATTAATTGAAATAGACCTCTATGTCGATAAGGGTTATAGTATAATTAAGGGTTATAGTGAAAATCTTTTAAATGTTTGTTAATTTATTTATTAGTTAATAATATAACATACTCAATTCTCCTAATATCGTAAAATATTGACAATAGATAATAAACACGTAATATTAAAAATTAGTTCTCCCAATTAAATAATGACTCAATTCTCCCCATTTAGTCTCTCAGGGCAGTTGTGCGTGATTAGTTCTGCTATAGATACGTCTCAATATATGTGAGTAACATGAACTGCGCATTATTTGTGCAATAATTAAAAGTCTCTGTAATAATGCACATATTAATAGCCAAACATTCATTATAGTCAAGCGAGATATCCCGGCGTGAATTGAGCAATAAATATCGTAAATTTTAATGTTTTATCTACTCAATTTGTGTACCAAATTTCAGTCAAATCCGCCTAGTAAAGAGACTAATAGGGGTGAATTTCTGAATTGTAAAATAGTTATTAAAAGGCTATTGTTATACCAAATAAAAGAGTTAAAAACATCCGCTCATCCTCACAAACTTTCACAAATATAATAAATAGAACTACATCTATTGGTACCTTTATCCTCCTGCGTTCTCGCTCTATATCCAGTCGGTAACTCAGGCGGACCAACGAACATGCCCAACTTGGGCACTCTTGGACTCTGCACGGCTACTAGGTTTCCTAATGACCTGTACATATAATCATTATTAAGTATATTATTCATTAATACGTGACGTAATACTGAGATAATACTAAACAGTGAGCCAAAAAACGACTGAGTTTTTAATATGTGATTATAGAATAGGATATTATTACTGTATAAGGTATATGTTCATCCATATGTAAGGTATATGTATTTAATAATACATATATCATTATGACCACTTTTTACTATTACACTTCTTATTCTCATACCTTGACAAGAATCAAACTCAATCCGCTATATCCTAATTGCCTGGAAGAGATCGCTATTTAGAGATAAGGCCGCCCATTGTTACCTTCATTTATTGTTTTGATTAGTCATCACTAATATAAATAATTTATATTTTTAATATAATTTTATAGTGCGTTCTTACCGCTTCTTGTAGTGTCTGGGCGCGTGGTGCGGGTGGTGACGGCGCCGCGGTTGCAGTCGCGGCCCGCCTGATGCTTCGCTTGACCCCGAACTGTCAGTTTCCGATAGAGCTAATGCAAATAATACAACACCATTAATTAAAACGTAGTTACACCATATAGAAGCTATTAAAGCAGGCCCTGTAAATGCTGTTTTACGATATAACTAATTTCAGGATCCTTATCACCTATAATAATATAAAAATAGCCATTTTCAGACCTTGATAGTTCACAATATACACCCAAAAACCGTTCAATCTGTTTCATTTGTGAAACTTTTGCCTCTTGAATTTGGAATGAAAGTTAGGGTTTTTAAATTTCATTAACACTATGTTATGCATAGTGTAAATGTTGTATACAATAAAAACGGTGTTTGTCGATACAATAAGATATAAATATACTGTATTGTTAATTAAGAAATTTACAATGAACGCGCTGTTTCCTGATCCAAACATAATTAAAAGGTATCAAGGTCGTAATTTATTAAAAACAAAATACCTAAAAAACTAATTTAAATTAAACTTAATTTATTAATATTGAATTAAATTAGTTTTGTAAATATGATATTGACTTACATGGTTGGTGTAATGGTGTCTTCTCGTGCCGCCGATGTCTCCGTAACCGCATCATAGATGGCGCTTCCATATATTCGTTTGTTTCCTTTATCTGAATAAAAATGAAGTGTCTATGGTAACTTCTTTCATAATTTTTACAAAGTTATATAAACCAGGCGATATTAATCAGACATACGTGGTGGATTTCTAAGAAATGACAACAATTCTACGCGCATCATATAACTGAGTATAGTCCGTCATTTTATTCATGTATATGAATAGAACGACGGACGAAGTCAGGTTTCCATCAGGCGGGCCGTCAGTTACTTTGCCATTACAGGGAAAAATCACTATATGTGAAGCAAAAACTTCTTTATACAAAAACTGCGGGGGCGCAGGAGTATGAATTTTCGCACACTTATAGTTTATATAGAGAATAAGTGCAAAATACTTATACATTTTTAAAATTATGCACAAAAATAGATTATATGAATAAAAATGCTATAATATATGATACACAAACGCATAGAAGAACGGTCTTTGAACAAATACGTCATACAACATTAATTAGTAACAGACATCCAAGAAGGTTTCACACTTATAAAGTTAGTGATGTACCTGTGCATATTGCGCATCAAGTTCGGTCTCCGAACTGACTCCAGATGGATGGTGATGATGACCACCGGGCTGTCCGCTCGTGTGTGACCAGCCGGATCTTTGCGACTGGAATAGAATATAAATAATTATTATTCAAATAAACTTTACACTAGCAAAAACCTTGAGTACATTACTACTCTACTTTTTGTTTCTTCCGCCACATTTTAAAAAGCAGATTCAGCCAAGAAGAGTAAGAAAACTAAGAGATAACTCTTTTCAGCCAAATGTTGTACACATAACTGATAACAAATGAAAATATTAATCAATTAATATTTCTTAACTTTGCTACCGCAAACCGCCTTACTTCCGATGGTCGCGGGTTCTATTATCGCACGATACAAATACTAGATATTTTCTAATGTATATTACATATGTATTCAAAACATAAATGTATTTTTGTTAGTTATTTAGGATCCATAATACAAGAGCTTACAGGAAATTACAGAATAAGAGGCATAACATCTTAATCCTCTGGAATGGCTACATATGAGTGGAATCACGTGATAACGTGATGTCCATAGTCCTGTTCATGTATATAAGCGACAGTTACCACTTACCATATTATTTACCTTTCCAATTACGTAAAAAAAATTTTTAGGTTCGTCTAATGTCACATATTAGTATTAATACTACAATTATTCACCGCCTATAATTAATCTACACCAATAATATAATAAAATACTGTATTACCTTTCTGTCTCTTGAGTGCGGTGGTCCTATGGTGATATGCTGGAGAGCATCGCTCACCATCGTATAATTATTCATATCTAATTTGCCAGGTTGCTGCAAACAATTAAAAAAAATAATAATTAACCAATGGAACCAAATCGACCAACAAGCTTATACCATAAGTCTAATGTGTTTCCAGAAAGATCATATTCATGTATTTAATATAATTAGGTCAGTACAGTTTGTGCGACAGATTATTCTTGTTTGGAGACTAAACAGCGTGGTACAATTGATATTTTTTTAATAAAATTGTATTAGTTACCATCGAACTGTTGTTTCACATTGTATAAAAACAAATACCTACGTCACTATTTTGTAATGTTTCAATAATTTGCTTAAGTACCTACAACAGATATTAATACAACAGACTGGAGTATTGGGAACTTCAGGGTTCTTACCTTGAGCGTCTGCGAGTGTCGGACCCGGGGTGGCGGTGGGTGGGGCTTGGTGGGCCCCATTGTGAACGCCCGGTGTCCGTACCCACTCGGCTGCCACAGACCGCCGCCATCTAAACAAACCTTCTTATTACATATCTATTAAATTTTACTATATTTAGAGACAGTTACCACAGATTATATAATATTAATATTCCTGGACAATTCACACAGCGCCATCTAGTCCCAAGCTAAGAAGAGCTTGTGTTATGGGTACTAGACAACTGAGATAAATACTTACGATATATTTTTTGTAAATATATACATAATAAACACAGAAAATATAAAATACCCAGAATACGATACAAACAAGAATACTAATGAATACAAATGTTTGTACCGTACGAAGAATAGAAACTGCGACCGTCGGAAGTAAGGCGGTGTGCTAAACCCGCTTGACCACAGAGACCTTCGTATATATACGATATACAGAGTGAAAGCTATTATTCCTTTCTAGCATTTAATGCTATTGGTTGCAACTTCACACGATATAAATGAGAGCGAGAACGGATGGCACTCCAAATCCGCTGAAGGATTTATAGATCGACTGAAAACTCTATTACTACTAACAATATTATCTATAATACGAGTCAATAGAGTAGAGTTTATGTTTTTCGTATTGTTCATGTCTAATTAATCATAGTCAAGATTACACTCTGTATATATGTGTATGGTGTACCGAGCAGACTATAAGAAGCCGTGATGTAGTACTAATATTACTTATGACATCTCTATATTATATAAATAATGTATGATCTTATCATATCTATATCTATATTATAATAAAACCTTTTTTTCAAGGTTGCGATACATTTTGAAGTTTACAAAATGTTGCGTAACTCTATTGAGTTCTGTCTGTATGTCTTAGTACTAAGAAAAGCTGTGGCTTACTATAGTAATATTCTTGACTTTTGTTTATAGCATAGGAGACAAACAAGCTTGCGGCTTACCAATTGGTATGTATATACCACTGCGCATAATTTTCCTGAAGCCACTAAATTGTAAGATACTAAACCAGATCCTGCATTGTGTATTCCTTAATATTATAATGTAGAATAGAATAGAATAGAATAGAATATATACTCCATATTTATATATATATAGGCGCGTGCGTGTATGTTTAGGAGTGTCCATTAGACGATGTAAAAAGGATATATCTAAGAATCAATCAGAAAGAGCTATTAATGAAAATAATCTACTTTGATAAAGTAGTATGTATGTAAAAAGATATAATATTTTAATTTTAATAATATATGGATCATGTGCTTTGTTCCTTTCATATACAACTACGGCTTATTACACTCTGTCGGTTTTATAATCAATACACTACATAATAAATGATAACTCATTAACTGACGATACAACTGGTTAAAATAGAACTACACAAATACATCTCCAATTGAACAGTCAAAATAAAATAACATTATTTACTCTACGCCATAATTGAAATACAACAAAAAAAACATAACATTTTAAGACATAAATCGAGTGCAGTTAAAAAAATTTATACAATTTAATTAATACAAAACTTAACACAATTTTTGACTTACAAATCTATTCTACAGTCATGCAAAAAAAAAAACATTTCATTCCTTGTGTTAAATCTACCGAATTGTCTATGAAACGTCTATCTACTCATAAAAATGAACCCTCCAACATGGTGTTTAGATATAAATTCCTTTGTCATGCATTCACCTGACTCGTGTGTGCTGAGTGAATCCTCCGAGCAGTTGAGATCGGCTGCGTTCACGGAAAACTTTATTACATTTTTGTCTATGGACTTTTCTTATCTATACTAATATTATAAACTGAAAAATATATCTGTCAGTCTGTTTGTAACCTTTTCTCCACGAAACCGTTAAACGGATCCTAATGAAATTTGACATTAAGATATATTATAACATATACAAATAAGCAGATGAAGTCGGAGGAAAAAGCTAGATTGATATATATTAACAACCTTCATAATTTCGTAAAAATATATTGAACTGCTTTATCCTTTTCTTTTGATTTTTTTCTTAATTTAAAATAAAGTGACAAAACGCTATATAATTAAAACTTGATACACAACATACATATATATTAATATTTTATTTCAAAGAGAGAAGTGATATAATTAAGGTTATAATATATTTTTTATATTCATTTTTTTAACTTACGTGATAAATCTGCGTGCATTCTATGGTCTGGTGGCGCTGGTTCCGGAGGCGTACTTGGTGGTGGATACACGCTAAAACCTAGACAAAAACATATAAAATATAAATACGGGTCATTAAGAAAACATTGATTATATTTAATTTCTACCAATAATTAAGTACAAAAGAAAGAAATTACGTTTCTTAATCTATATACTTTTAGAATGCATTAACACTCGCCTTCACTACTTGCAGTTTAGTAATTTGCCCTTTCCCCCTTACTGAATAATTTTACGAACCTTTCAGAAATCCTCTATTCTTGTTGTTCATAGTATCACTGTACTCTGAGTCGATGTCCGCCCGCGAGTCCGGCCCGATCAGCAAATCCAATGAGTTGGTCAATTTGTGCTCCATTCTACATAACAAAATGCACTTTAAATATCACGATATAGTGTGAGGTGTGAGGTGTGCAGTGCACAATGTGTAGTATGCTGTGTAACATATTAAGTATACTGTAAACACTTGTGTTTTTGAGGTGGAATTAATTATTGCGCAGCTGTATACGGAGTACGGTGCTCTCCGATCGATCCCCAATTCAAATTACATCAACCTGAGTCGACGTTCGAGACCCATCGGCACCCTCAGACTAAGTAAGTCTAAAGTCGTATGCGTCAGGCAGAAGTTGGCCTTCAGTCGCTCCATGAGTCCTTCCGTGGGTTTGGAGAGTCATTTGCACTCACGCCCTATCGTCCGGAGTCATTTACAGTGTACACTATGCTCTTTGCACTTGTAGTTGACGCATCAGCGGCAGCAGTACAGGCAGCAGGTTGTGATGTTGTTGTTGTCTGTAGGGTATACTGTGCAGTAGGTACACGCATATAATAGAAGTGGTAGTGGTGTATAATAGAAGTGGTATATTCCTTGATGACGGCAAACAAGTCGAGCCGGTAATTACATAGTGCAGTGCAATGTAGTGCAATGTACAGTGTCAACGACATACTTATGGTTAAGATGGTAGGAGTGATTCCTGGGTGGCGGCGCAGGCCTAGCAGCGGCCACGTCAGGGAGGTTGTGGGGCGCCTCCAGCCGGAACGCTCGCTCGATCTCTCCCTTACGCTCCCACACTTCTTTGAAGAACGGCGTGTAGAACGCCGCTGCAAACACATCACGTATATTTATATATAATATATGATATATTGAAGTCGCCGCGGCTATCTGTTCGCTTAAATCTATTAAATTACGCAACGGACTGTCATGTAATAGATAGAGTAAATAAAAAACATTTGTAGGTATAATACATGCCTGTTATAATTATCTATTTATCTATCCATACAAAACAATATAAATTGTGTAGGACAACATAACAGTAACTTATAGATATAAATTCAGAAAAAATTGTTTACAACATAATAGCAACTTAATCGTAAAACTCGTTATATGAGCCAGCACAGTGCAATAGGTAACTAGTCATTTTATACTATAGATCAAGAAAATTAAAAAAAGAACGAGAAATTCAAAGATTTGAATGCATCTGAGCGAAGCTGCAACGGGTCGAGTCGCTAGTTATATATAAACTGTTGTTTTTTGTTACTTTTATGTTTTTACTACAACATTAGTTGTAAGAAACTATAACTAACTCAATAGATAATAATCTGAATTAAAATATATTATTATTATACTTACATTTGCTCTCAGCAGTCGAGGTATATGTGGTGAAGTGTGCGCCGAGTCGGTCGGCTGTTGCGTTTCCTTCAGTGATCAGAACTTGACCAACGTCGGTGGCAAAAAAGGCCGTCGCGGCAGAACCACCGCCATCTGTCACCGCTACCATTTGTATAGGCAGATTTGGTATGTTCATAGAGAATGCACTGGGGAAAAAACATGTTGTCGTATATTAGCAACTATAGTATTTTTTTTATTTAGATAAATTTGCTATTATCTATGTTGCCAGCTCTTGCTATTTCTGAATAGGATTGTGGCACTATTAGAAATTAATGTTAATTACCCATTTTTACAGGTTACTCAAAAATGAGGTCCTAACCATTATTTATGAGTAACCTGGAAAAATAGGTAATTAATATTAGGTAATTTTCGATGTTTACTCAATACTCTTTAACACAAAATAAATAAAGTATAGGTATAGCTGGTAACATTATTTGCGAAATTGACATTTATATAAATCAATTTAGTCTCTGAGATTAAAAAACAGCCTACATTTGTTGATGTAAAATATTGTAGATATGCCTATATGCATTTGCAATATTTAACATATACTATCAAGTTCATTTCATTGACTTCGATTTCATTCATGAGTATGATTTAAATTATGATATTATTATAATTTTTAATTAAAAAAAAGTGTAAGGTGTATGCATCGTTTATTTAGTTAAACACAATAATAAATTATGTATACAATAACATTAAAAAAACAAGAAGAACACTTACTTCAATGTGGCTAAACTAGCTTTCCTCTTGGCAGAGTAAATCAATATGAAGCCGTGGATCAATTCTTCCCTGAATTGTGAGGCGCCATGGAAACTCGATATTATAACCTAGAAAATTAATTATTTATTATAATGGGTATTTATTATTCTTAAATTGCATCCAGCGACTAAATCTTCTTCGGATAAATCTTCCAAATTTATAACTTATGTCTTATTCTGGTATGGTCTGTACTGTACTCACCTCGACCTTCCGTTTGGAGTCCCCGAGGAAGGTCTCTATGACGATGGACCTGTCCCCGGTGAGGAAACAAGCCCGATGCGACAGAAGCGGGCTCAGGACGCGCTCCGGGGAGTACGGATCATCGCAGAACATACACACCATTATTCTGCAGAAAACTTTATTATTATATAACTCGAATGGTAAGTGGTAACTGAAATTTATGTACACGAACAGTACTATGGGCATTACGATATTGTGTATGCGGCAGTACCACTCATGCGTTGCAGATTAAAATTAAGGAAATACATTTTTTTTTCGGACTAATATTCGCTGTTGAACTGCTTGCCTTTACAGCTATGGGTTCGAAACTCGGCGTAAAAATGATACACACAAGCATAGACGTCTATGTCAATAAAAACTTTATAATGTTCAAACTTATAATTTATATAAATTATGCCATTGGGCGAGCACTAGATTTATAATTAGTTACTCACCTTATATCGGAATCGAAACAGACTATGAGGTCTTTATAGAGATGTGCATAGCTGGCCTTCTCCCTGTTCGCTCTGATCAGTTCATGAATTGCATCAGATGTCAACGCCTCAGTTCCCAACTCACTAACCGACGCTTCCATATATGAGCAATGCAGACTGTTGAGAAACAAAAAAATATAGACACAGTATGCGAAGTTGGTAATTTTTTTTATATTACGGTGATGGCAAATAAGCATATATGTAGATCATCTGATGGTAAAAGGTTACCGTAGTTTATCACGTGCACATTGCCGACCCTTAAGTGACCCTTGTTTGTCAATTCGGACATAAAATATCTTATACTCGTATATTAATGTAAAATATAACTTATGTAATATAATATAGAAACAGAAACAATCTTTATTCAAATAAACTCAATGCGAGCACTTTTTAATAGTCATCTTTTCTTATTCTACCACTCATTCAGAACACGGACATATAAATATATATATATTTATATGTGGTACCGGATAGTGCGGTTTCAGAGAAGCTTCTTCCCGCGTACATTTAGATTGAGGATTAGAACTACCTGCCGAGGTTTTCTTGAGAGACTACAGTATGGGTTTTTTAAGAAGGACATATTATGGTTTCTTATGGACATATTAGGGTCGGTACTACCGTAGGAGATCTCAATGTAAGGTAATACTCACTTATCAGCGAGATTCTGCCCCTCCTCCTGCAATCGTGTTAACTCTTTCTTGTCCATGCCCTCTTCTTGAACGAACATCACAACCAATGGTAAACCCTGAAAAAAATTCAAATACACATAAAAATATTTATTAAAATATGCTTAATTTTTCTACATATTTAACAATTCCTACCAAAAAATAACGGTCTGTCTTATCATCATTAATAAAGTATCTCAGTGAACATGTAATTATATTTATTTACTTCTATACTCCTATTTTACTCCTAGTAAACTGATGGGATGTTATCACCTGAAATGGTTGCTTATCTTCCTGTTCGAGACTGGTCAGCAAAGTCTTCTCCGTACATCCCCGAATGTATTCGAATGATTCCTGATCTTGGTACACGCAGAAGTAACCTGATAATAAGAAAACATTAATCAACATCATCTGCTTCATCCTTAACCCATTTATTTTGGGTCGCCGTAATGTTTTTTTCTTCCACTCATCCCTGTTCGCAGTCATCTCGTTATTTACTCCCTTTCTTACATATCATCTTTCACATAGTCCATCCATCTCTTTTCGGCGTTTTATCGGCTCTTATAACTATTCGCATTCATATGTAACACCTTCCTTAAAATATTATTAACATTTCTTAAAATAAAATTTATATATCATAACAATAAATTATAAAAATACAAAATAAAGCTAATAACTCATCCTAATGTGCTCGCCAACCAACTGATAGTTCCCCTAAGGATTGTCCACCAATCATTACTTTTTTTTTTTGGACTATATTTTTAATTTTTTTATGTGGCATTAAAAAATACATACTTAAACCCCAAATTTTCACCCTTCTACCATTAACGCCTATTTTTTAATAGTGTTTTTAATTTATATGGCAAAAGAATGTTTGCTAGTATAAATGTAAATGACTGTACCATTGGACGCGAAGTCGTCGATGGGCGTGGAGTCTGAGAAGTCGTCGGTGCGCAGACGCTGGTGCACCAGCCACGGCTGTCCGGCCACCACCACTCGCCGCTCGCTGTCGCAGCCCGCCACCAGCCGCTTACCGAACTCACCCGCTACACCTTCCGCCTGTATTCATATTTATTTATTTAATAATTATCCCGCATATACTACACAATATATAACACAAGGCCGCACAAACGTAATGTAAGCCGCATATATAAAATTTAAAAAGGTTATAATTTAAAAAGATATTATGTAAATTGACCGATATATCATGATAAGTGTGATGCAGAAGAAGTCGCGTGGGTCAGCTAGGCAGCTTCCATTAAAATCCATTCAGTAGTTTTTGCGTGAAAGAGGAACAAACATCCATCCAAGGTTCTTTATAAGTATATATGGATAGCCCCATATGTGTATTCAAACAAACTTACGCCCAATATGATAACGTTGATTTCATTGGAGTCCGTAGTGAGTGCCCAGGGCGCTGCGGGCGGGCCCGCGTGACACTGAGATTCACCAGTAGACGTTAAGGATCTAAAACAATGTTTAAAACCATCAACATAAACACTTTAAAACCCGCCTTTTTACTTTAAAAACCAATTCCGCTACATTGGAATCTGGCGTTTTGCACCTTTATCACCTCCAACAAGAAAACTAAAATACTTGGTAAAAAAGGGCTGATCGAGTGTAACTCAGTTGCTTTGTATATGTGTGGAATGTGAATAAATGGTGCTTTGTTTATTATCGTAGGTTATGTATAATAACCCAGGACAATAAACACAGTACCATTCATTCCCAAGCTAACCAGAGCTCATATTATGGGCACTAGACAACTGATAGAAATACTTAAATAAATTTCTTTTTGTAATTACATATTTAATACTCCTAGAAAAAATACAAATAATCATATTTTGAAGAGGTGCATTTCTTGTCAGTTCCCAGCTCGAAAGCACTACGAACTGACGGTGGATTTGACATTTATATTTCCAGAATTTGATGGTGTTAATATTTTGTAGTACTAGGATCTCAGACAAGTGAACCGTATTACAGCATATTACGCACAAAGATATATCATAGGAGTTCGTAATAGATCTATATGAATGAAGATATCATATTTTGATTTGATTTGATTTACAAATACAAATGTTAGGATCGTGTGAGGAATCACACTTGCTACCATCTGAAGTAAAACTGTATGTTAAACCACTGGACCATCGAGGGTCTGATTACTCACCCCACCCTGGTGTTGAGTATGAGTGGCAGAGCGGCGTCCAGACACCTTGCACCGGCCGGGCAGTGCTCTCGCATCGGACAGTGAACGAAGCCCAGATGCTGGAATAGCATCAGCTTGCGATCCTGCTCCATGCGATCCAGCATCTTGTATCTGATAACAACAATTACATTCTTGATTTCAATAACCTGAAATACATATTTTTATAACCATACTTAGTTTTAGGATTTTATTTAATAAAAAAAAATAGAATGAATAGTTCTGTCTGTATAGGCTCTTTACATTATTATATATTCAAAACTGTAAAATTTCTGCACATTTATTTCTTTAAATTTAAGAATGTATCAATGTATGTAACTACTTATACCATAAGAAAGATTTGAGTAAGAAATAATGAATAAATAGAAAAGAAGAAAAAAAAATCCTGTATTGTCAGGTACACGTAAAACTAGCTGTTACCCGCGACTTACATCAGCTTTTTCGTATTAAAAATATCATCATACATTTTTACTCACAATACAATACAACTTCACATAAAATTTAATTATGTTTCATTAAGCCGTGGAATATGGTCTATGTTGTATCTTTCTTTCTATATATTAAACTTATATGCATCTTCTTTTCATTTGATATGTTCTTGATGGAATGGTCGTGGTCAGTAAATAGTGGCTGATGTTATCCGCCGTACAACAGCACTCTATTTGTCTCTAAGGGGTGCTTTTTTTTAAATTATACTACGCTGGTGGCACACGCTGCTGGTAGATACGGTCCATCGGATGCTAAACAATTACCGTAGATTATGGGCGCCTAAGACACCAGGAACGCTATCTGGTACACTCGTGGTGTGGATAGATACATTAATAGTAGAATAATACATGCCTGAAATCATCCTGCAACACATCTGTAATCTCCTTGATGTCCTCCTGCGTAATTGTTCCCGTTGGCGATATACTTTTGAAGTGATAGAACAAATTTGCATTCTCCAACAATAGCTCCTGTAATTAAAATACATAGTATTAACTGCAATATATAATGTGAATGTACATATGTATATAATTTTACATCTGATATCCCAGATTAGGTAATCAACGGTGATTTCAAGTGTTTGTTGTGGCCACCATAGTGTTACCGTCAACGGAAACCGTTCGCTAGCGGGCCCCGCTAAAGCAGATTTCAGTGACTACAACGCCGTCTAGTTTGAGTAAAAGAACCACCACAATATATTTTTAATTAATTAATATGATATTAATTAAATTACATTAATGCTTATAAACTTGAAGAAAATATATAAATGGTAAAGATTAAATCTAATTATAATTAGGATATAAAATATATGTTCTAGAAGTTTTATATAATCATGTTTATTTAATGGAACATCTTAATACCCTGTAATGCCTTAACATTCAATCGAACCTCATCATATAAAGCAAGAAGCTTGGCGGCTAAAATATGTAAGATAGCACTTAATTTATCTTAACTAGACTTCGTACAAAGTCTGCTTCGTTATTTAAACAAACCTGCAAGTTATGCTTCGCCCTCCGCTGTATCTGCCTCTGGTGCTGGTCGTACACCCGCTGTTGCTGTTCATCCGTGAGTGCCTCGTAACATTCACGCCCCATCAGCAGCACGCGAACTTCTGACAACTGCTTCCCAGGCGTCACGTATCCTGTCTCCTCTAGAAGACGCTTGAATTGCTGGCACCATTCGTAATTTCTCTGCTCTTCTTGCGCATCTTGTAAATACGTTTTGAAAACGCCGGCTGCTTCGTTCGTCTCGAGAATTTCGTATGGTATCTTTTGTGATTGTCCCAAAGTCTGAAAAGATAAAAGTTTCATTAATTATTACTATTACCAGAGAATAATTATACTAAACTCTATACAGATATAACACAGACACAGACACCATACTAAAAAACTCACCTGATATCTAATCGCGCGCTCCCCAACCCTCAACGTAGTGTCAGTTCCCAGCGGGCTGTCCAATTCTGAACCTGATTCGGAGCAGGAGTCCTGGACTCGACCCTCGCTGAAGTAAACTGAGAAGTCGCGATGAGATCGCAGCTGTCTCACAACCATTGGCCAATCACTGTTAACCAAATATAACAAATTAATATTATTGTACATATTACATACATGATAGAAACAAAATATCGGAGAATAAATAATATTAACATGGTAAATATTTCGTATAGTAATCAAACATTAAAATAGTATAAAAAATATTTATATTATTTTTACAAGTATACTATTCTACCCTTCCTTCCTTTTCGCGTAGACTGCAATTTTTGTCGAAACTATTTTTATTAAATACAGCCAATGGTTGTCAAAGCACATAAAATAAAAATATTGATTTTCTCACTTTAACAAATTAAAAAAAAAAAGACGTGTCCCTCTTTCTTAAGAAGTTAATGTTATAAATTAGCTTAGATAAAACTATTTTGCTAAGTCGAGTAGAAGTATGACGAATTTTTGTATTATAGTTTATTTAACAGTTTAATAGGTTATATTAAAAACTATTAAAAGGTTCCACTGAAAATCAGCGTTTGAGTATTACAGTCTCCACAAAAAGCTGAGTGGATAACAATTTGGTCGCAGCTGTATTTTTAAAAATAATAAATTAAAATATTTAGTAATATGTTGTATGAATGTTTCGTATGCACCAAATAAATCTATTTTTCTTTCTTTCTATTAAACATACTTCTCTTGTAGTTCTTCTGTAGGCAGTTGCATTCTGGACAGCACTTGAGGTAGTTTCGCGAGCTGTTTACGAAGCTTCTTTGCAGATCGTTCTTCTTTCAATCTCCTTATATGCCGCCGGTACACAACCTGCATTCGTTATAATCACGAATTATTACTTGTCATTATTACTATTTCCAGTTATAACTAAAAAGGTATTAACCTAGACTGTGAATAATAGGCAAGTCATGTTCATGTACATGTGTGTCAAGTACTAGGTTGTGGTTGAGAGAATGTAAATTTGGTCATATTGTACAATAGATAAAGTAGTAATTTGAACGCGTTTTAAGTTCCTAATACGCACAACACAATACACGAGTGCGTTGGTAAAACCGAATCTAGAACTTAATTCTATGTAGATTAGAATATATTATAGAATGGAAATCACCTGCGTGCCATCATTCCCGAATTGGTGTACAAACTTGACCCATTCTGGATAATGGCACAATCTCTTGCTGGCTGCCGACCACATCTCTCTGTAGACAAATAGCAAAAACATATATATAAACAAATAATAATGTTTAGTATTATGGTTATGTATCTATATGTGTCCGTGCTACGCCACGTTCTTATAAGACCATTTAAATGACAATATAGGTCAGTCCGTTAACAGCAGCCTCGCGTTTCACGCGTCCCTGTCCGCATATTTAATCATTTTAAATATTTACACATATATTTTTATACATAGTATAAAAATATGTCGCTGTTGTAGGCTTAGCTCATTTAAATTACGCAACGGATTTTTGTAAGACCTACAATGAGAATCATGGACAGTTTGATATATTCCTTTATTTATATTTAATATAAAAATTTTCTTTATATACATTTCTTTAAATACACTCCTGACACATTATAGTACAGTAAAGGCAAGAAATTCATAAATTTATAATGCAATGAGCGAGTCGAGAGTAATATTATATTTTTAGTAAAATATGAAACTAGCATCCAACCGCGACATTGTTTGCTTGTGGTTTTTATGGTTACGTGGACGTTTATTTGAATATATAGGATATTCACATAAACGTTTACGTTTATAATATTTAGTTAGTACGATATATTCCCAAACGAATTATTTCAACTGTATATACAATTTAAACAATATTTTTGGTACCAGACAGATCGGAATCTTTAGCTTAAAATCGGGCAAACCACAAATTCACGACGTGCTGTGTTAATTAACAATATGAAACAATAATTAGGTATGATCTTACTTGTGATCCTGGACATGTATCCTTATGAGTTGCGTGAATGCTTCGGTAACAAAGTCCAGTGTCTCTCTCCTTATCCGCAGAGCCTCCGCATAATTCGCTACCTGAACAACATAATATTAAACTTTAAAAATATTTTATATGCATATATAAACGCAATTTTTAATAGTTACTTGGAAACAAAATAAATAAACTGTCTATATCACAAGCATATATTTTTTTTAAATACATAAATATTTGTATCAATTATACTGTCATTTTTAACTACCACTACTTTGTACAGATTCAATAAATAAAGATATTTTTATTTGTAAAGTATTTTTGTTTGTAAAATGGTTTTTTTAACTATGTAGTAGATAATAATCAATTAAAATCAAATTAGTATTACAATATTACAAACAATAATCAATGTCTGAAAGAGTAAAGTTTTGCTTTATTTGGTTTCTCATTGTTAAACTTAAAAGTCATTCTTTTTAAGTTTATCTATTGTCTAAATTTTACTTATATACTTTCTAACTCATGAAAAGCTACATTATCATGTAATAGCATAGAATATATTAATCAAAATTAGAAACTACAACTTTACTTACATCCAAACTATTAGGCAGTAGATCACTGATAAATAATAGATAATAAATCTACTTTAGGATGAGTAATGACAACCCACCTTTATCCTCGCTTTCGATTTGTCCACCATCTGTGCCAGCAGGAAGAAAGCTTGGTCCACATTAACATTGTCGTGACTAGATGTCTCCACGATGGGAATGGCACCTTTGAACTCCTTGCGTTGTACCAGCCTCTCAGCTTCACGGATTCCTTGCTCGCAAGCCTCGTCATTTTTGGATGTGACGAGAACTACCGGTTTCTTAAGCTTGAGGATGTTCTGAAGAATTGCTGCTAGAGTTTCGTTCTAAAACAGATATATATGATCAAATTTTATTTTTATTTAAATATCAAATGACTTCCCTTTGGTGGAAAAGGTTTTTTAAATACATGAACAAGCCACCAAGCAGTTTGCTTTGTCAGATGTGTTTCGCTTGAAGTGTGAAATTTGTAATACTGGTATAAGTTGTATAATGCGGAATGGCAATGCATGAGTGATATAAAAGACAGTATAACAATTTCAATCGATATTTAGATAAAAATCGAATATATATCACAACATATCTATGAGTATAGTCGCATGTAGGTATATTTAATTAGATTAAAAGTATCTTTTCTTTTATAAATTTTGATAATGCACATGCATCTGTTTGCCCTATGGTTGCCTGGGAGAAAATGCCTCTAAAGGTGTTAAATCAACTACTTGCACATTTTATTGTGTATTTATGCATGAAACTCAATGAATAAATAAACATATATTTAAAATTTTATATTCTAAAAATTTTCAAATACATAAAGACATACCTGCTTTTCCCAAGTCCTGCCTGGCACCATACTAACATCATACACACACAGGAACCCATCGACTGACAGCTTCCCATCAGGCATCAAACGCTGTTCATATTCCTTTTCTATTCCTAACTGGTTCTTGCAGACGTACATGAGCTTTTCAGCAGACTGCATCTTGGTAGCTACACAACGTTTCACGTACGTTTCAGTCTTGCCAACTGTGAAAAAAGTAATTATATTAAATAATTATTATTTAACTAGCTGACCCGCGCAACTTCGTCTGCGTTTAATTTCCCCATCTTTTGCAATATTTTTCATTGGAGCTCCGCTCCTATTGGTCGTAGCGTAATGTTATATAGTTCAAAGCCTTCCTCGACAAGTGGACTATCCAACACAAAAATATTTTTTCACTTCGAACCAGTAGTTCCTGAGATTAGTGCGTTCAAACAAACAAACAACAAACTCTTCAGCTTTATAATATTAGTATAGATTAAGCAGCTGCAGTCGAGTCACAATACGAGTTTATAGTCATGGTCTGTCATGTGCTATATCATATGCTAGTGGTCACTGTAGTGTTACTATTGCAAACATGTACAACCACATTTGAAAAGAATAAAGCTGAGTTTCTTGTCATCTCGAAAACATTCCGAACTGACGGTAGATTTGACATATCATACGAGTCTGTAATGACCTCCATGAATACAGATATTTTGATTTGATTTATGCGGGCCATAAATCAAATCAAAATATCTGTATTCAGGTTGAGGACCCGGTCGGACAACATGCTGTCCACCTCCATGAAGGACTACTAGCCGAAGTGAGTGGTGGTATATGGTAAGGGAGTGAGTATATATATATAAATATACATATAGATTCTACCACTCATTCGGAAAGCATAGAATATATATGAAGACTCTCTATACATGGCATTAATACTTAACTCACTAGTTTTGGCATTTAGGTCACTTACCCGTGACTAATCTAGCTAACTGAACTGTTAATAACACAGTTACATAAATAGCGTTTCGCTTATCTCCAATAAATACATGGTAATATGCCAATTAAATGTAGTCAATTATTTGAACAATAATGCAACAATATTTCATTAGACAAAATTTATGTTATATAAATAGATGTGTAGGTTACATATATATATTTACTAGCTGTTCCCGCGACTTCGTCCGCGTGGAATTTAACTTTATTTTTCTAAAATAAAAGTAGCCTAAGTTACTACTACTCTTTATTACATCAGCTACCTGGCAAAACAAGTTCCATCAAAATCGGTCCAGCCATTTCAGAGATTAGCCGGAGCAAACAGACAGACAGACAGACAAAAAGTGTAAAATTCAGTTCAGTGTATGTACCGTATTTATGTTCATATGCATGTAGTAAAAAACGGTTATTTCAATATTACAAACAGACACTCCAATTTTATTTATATGTATAGAATATATATATATATAGCCACAAATCCTTAATGATGTAGGATGTTCGGCCTTTTTACCCGAATATCCGGCCAAACTGACTGGTCTATCCGGCTATTAGGTTTGGCGACCTGGCAACCCTATCTGCATACCATGTAATTTAACTGCCGTATCGTGTTTGCTTTAGCAGCAATAGGTGACACAAAAGTACCCTTTGCACAAAGTCCATCCATCAAGAGAATAAACACTATAAAGACAAGCCCTATAAAAATAAATACAGACGTGCTATTACTTCGTGCGATCGTATTGCAGAATACGATATTTCCAAGGCAACAAAAGGCACAGTTATTCTATTTAACTACTAATTTTGTTAGCTTACAACCTTCGTACAGACAAATGATTAATTAATCAGCGTGATTACTATCATTAGATCATGTTGTTGGAGCAGTCTAGCCTAGTCTAATCAGAATCTAATTAACACATTGATTTATGAAAGCTAGACAGCGCGGCGAATTTGGAAAAGTAAATAACTGAAATTGTTAGCTTTTATTATTCATGTCTCCGAGGAATTTCAGAGATGGTGGGAGTGTCGAATAACTGACATAAAATAAAAAAAAAGTTAAATAACTAAAATAAATTTAAAAATATATGACGATCTCGAAATTTAACAGGAGTATGTGCGTAATAAAATGACGATATAGCTATTCGTTCTATCTCTATTTCAGAGACCTTGACTCTCTCTCACCTAAGCATGATACAATACTTTCGAACGAAATTTTGCCGTAAATATTTACGCACCGTTCTACTCGGGTTACTCTATTCGATCAGTAAATATAAATATATATTTTTCGTTATTCTGAAAATATGTCTCGTCTATTTGTTCAATTTCTTATAATGTCTTGAAAGTTTTTTTATATTGGGGTTTGGGCTATTGACAGATGTTTGGACCTGTAGCACTGCGACCTACATAGATCTATTGTACTCTCCCTATTTCAGAGTTCGCTACCTAGACTCAGCCAAGCACAAGAATTGAAAAATATTTTTAGGGGCGATGGTTTTCACCTCATGATAGAATGTAAACTTTCCAAAGATGTCTTCATAATTAATACAATTGAGCTTCACTTTTGTGTAAATCGAGTTTTACGTTACTTGTAATTCTAAAACTAAACAAACTAAGTTGTCTAAAGAAAAACTGACTGGTGTGAAATGTTGATATCAATTGCCTTATTTTATGGATAAAATTACATAGAATTGTATTGAAATTATAATTAAATGATAGATAATTTTCATAGTAACACGTTTTGTATGGAGAGTAGCCGGAAATATGTAGACTTATGATATTGTTCTCTACTTATGCCGACGGATTGTTGATTTAGCATCTACACAATGATTATTGCAAATGATAAGACAGTATAATGTTAGTTTAGTATTTACAGACGGTCTTGGTAAACAGAGAAAGAATAGCAGCGAAACAATGCCTTTTAAAGTTATAAAACAATATTATTCTCATATCCATATAACCATTATTATCTTATATGACTGCCTCGACGGTCTAATGGTCATACACGCCGTCTCACTTCTGAAAGTCGCGGCTTCGATTTCTCATATATGAACATTTTTATTTATGAGTACGATTCTTCGTATTCGTCTGAATGATTTATTTACAAAAAAAAGTATTTAGTTATTTTAATTAGTACAAAGTAATTTTAATACTCTTATTTTGTGAATTGTCATAAGTTATTATTATTATTAGTATATAAAGGTATGAGAGAGAAAGATAGAGACCTAAATCTAATATATTATTAGAAAAAACTCTAAATAAAAAAAACATTCAGCTATTTGTGAAGTGTATGCGGGAATCAAACCGCGAACTTCGTAAGATGAGGCATTGTATAAACCGCAGGACACTAGAACCCGGGAGGAAGACAGGTTTATCTGTGATGCGAATCATATATTCCAAATCGGTTTCGTAGTTATTAAAATACATAATAGCACCTAACTCTCAAAATTTTAAATAACGTAATGGAATTAATTATTTGTCATATAAAAAAACCGGTAATATTATTTTAGTTATCGCTTTTAAAGGACAACATTTCTATAAATACGCAAATAAACCGCAACAATCTCATCGTAAGGCAAGTGCTAAACCGCTCTATAAACGAGCTTATAAATAATGACAATGTATATGAGCTTATAAATAGTTCACGATATTCTGTCAAGTGTTTATTTTTCATTGTCATCATTTTAAAAACATTAAATCAAAATTTAGTCAAGAGTCATGATAAAAATGAATGTAAACTGATAAGAAATCATGCTTGATTAAGCTGTGCTCACATTATCAGGTTCAGTCCGGACGGCTTATGCCTACGACGCACTCCGATTGGCGCATTTCCACGTAGCAAACAATGCGCCAATCGTATTGCTTTGTTAGCACCGACTCTTATCGGAAATATACGAAAGACTTAGAATGTGTTAGGATAGTATGAATTGAATTAATATTGATACGATTGTGTTACGTATTTACTTGAGTTTTAGATAAAACTAGCTACTCGTCCCTTGGCCCGGGTGTACATGTATTATATATATAAACCTTCCTCTTGAATCACTCTATCTATTAAAAAACCGCATCAAAATCCGTTGCGTAGTTTTAAAGATTTATTTACATAGGGACGGACAGACAGCGACCGCGACTTTGTTTTATACTATGTAATGATGAAGAAATTGCACAATAGAAATCACACATAACTAACATTCACTAAAGCATTTAAAAAAGTTAGAACTTAATTGTAATTATATAATTGTCATATGTTCGTAAGTAGATTTCTTACACGTAACTTGCATCTTAAAATATTAAAATATACTAAAGGAAACTACATTTACGAAAATTTGTCGTAACTTAGTAACTTTTTTATAGCATAGGGACAAATGAGCTTGCTTGAACGGGTGCTCCACCCTGAACACCAGGTGACATGCGAGTTGCCGGCCTTTTAAGATGGTATAAGCTCTTTTCTTGAAGGTTTTAATATCGTATCGGTTCGGAAACAGAATAGCTGGAAGGTAACTGAAAGACTCACGAGAATAAAACTTGCTTGTAAAAAATACAAACTAAATAAAGGAGTGTTTACATTTGTAAAGTCGTAAATTGGTATTGACAATTATGAGAATAAAACTTACAGTGTAAAAGCAAGCGAGAGATTTAAAAAAGTCCTTACCTTTAAACGGCTGAAAACAAGCGTCGTCCACGAATTCAGTCTGCTCAATGATCTCGAACCTATACTCCTGTTCATCATTCTCCTTTTGCACGCTGCCCCAGTATAAGAAGTGGTCGTTGTTGACCACACGACCGCTGAAGTCAGACTGCAACAAACATTGATAGTTTGTTTATTCAACAATTAACACATAACCAAATAAAGGTGGACAAAATATAAAAATCTCGGGTCAACACAAGATGGACGAGAGTACTTAAGCAAGTAGTATACATTTGGTATACATATATACTAATATTATAAAGCTGAAGAGTTTGTTTGTTTGAACGCGCTAATCTCATGAACTACTGGTTCGAATAGAAAAAATATTTTTGTGTTGGTTTCATTTGTCGAGGTAGGCTTTAAGCTATAAGCGTAAAGCTTTACACTATGACCAATAGGAGCAGAGCTGCAATGAAAAATATTAATTGGAAAAGGTGGAGAAACGAAACGCAGACGAAGTCGCGCGAGTCAACTAGTTTGGTATACATTTGTACTACCGGTTTGAGTACTCTCGTCCTGTGTCCATTATAATGAATAATAAAAATCCAGACTAGCGTAAACGTTTGCGCAGGCGGATGTGAGTTTATTATACTCGATTAAAATTCGGTCCAGCCGTTTCAGAGATTAGCAAGAACAAACAGACAGAGACCAAAATTTTATAAATTATTTTCTTTCTTTAAGTACCGTATATACTTATTTTCTTTTGCATTTAGGGATACAAATTGTTTACATATATTTATGCTTTAACTTACAAACAAACATACACTTCCATTTCATTCATTTGTATACATTGAGTTATCTTTTAATTATATTTAAATATCATTTATTTATGATATTAGTAGGGATTACAAACAATAGTTATAAATACAATGTATGTATGGCGTAATAACAGTCATACAATGCAAACATCTAGCACTAGCAGATCTGAGATGTGAGAAGTGACTCATTATAATCAACCGCGGCTGACCGCCGATTACTGCCCGCATTCCATTATCTACATACTGTAGATACCTACACGAATATTTATACCACCACTTCATTTAGACTTTACTGCTAAGTAGCAGTATAGCAGTATATAACAATTTATGCTAATTTTATACTGGACTAGCTGTACTCGCGACTTCGTCCGGGTGGAGTTTAACTTTATTTTTCTAAAATAAAAGTAGCCTAAGTTACTACTTATTACATCAGCTACCAGCCAAAAAAAGTCCCGTCAAAATCGGTCCAGCCATTTCAGAGATTAGCCGGAACAAACAGACAGACAAAATTTGTAAAAAATGTTATTTTAGTGTATGTACCGTATTTATATTCATATGTATGTAGGAAGAAATGTTTATTTCAATATTACAAACAGAAACTTCAATTTAATTATATGTATAGATGATAATGGAATGGTGCACCCGCCTAATGGTATACGCTGGGGGGAAAAGGGGTTGTTAGTAATGTGGAATGATGATCTCATTGCTAGCAATACCATGTCAGGTTGACCTCCACGCGGCTCCCCCTGGAAACCATCGTGCTAAATTTTTCGTGAATTTGTCACGTATCACGATGGGCTAACTGACCTGACCTCATACTCATCTTATCATCCTCCACTGGTGCCCCGCCAGCGTAAACCGTCGCGCAGGCGGGAGCGCCATTCCATAATCACTCATAAAAAAAATGGTATACTCTGCGGGTGATGGTAGGGAGTGGTCCAAACTACAAGTGGAGGATGGTAAGATGAGTAAGAAGTCATGGCAAATTTACCACAAAAAAGAGAAAATAAACGCAACGAAAACAGCGAATATTTTCTCTAGTGGGTATTGAGAAAAGTAATGTAATTTTAAAAAGATATGAAGTTGTCAACTATCAACTGCAGTTAATAGTAAAAACTCATACATACCTGACTTAAAACGGATATGTGATCAACATTATAGTCATCCGCGTGTGTCCGGACGAATCTGTTGCAAAGGCACGACTTCCCGATGCCCAGCTGGCCTTTCTCCTTCTCTGTACCTGTGAAAATAAAAATATATATACATATATTACAGGACCAATAAATATATCATACACACAACACTAATCTAAGCATAGCTCATGCTATAGATACTAGAGAGGGATACATACACACATAAACTCGTATTTATTGCTGTTAATTTTAAATACAAGTTTGAACATCATTAAGTTTCTATTGTCAAAGACTACTCTTATGTGTGTGAGTGTCAAATACAAGGTAGTATGTGTAATGTTCTATTTTTATTGATTTACTATGCGAAATTTCATACTACTCCATCCGCTCAAATACGAGCTACAAAGTTATTGTTTCACTTATTAATATAATGATTTTAAACAGAAATGATCTGATTCTCTGTATATTTGTAATGGAAATTCTAAAGAAATACTGGACCAATTAAAAAAAAATTACACTTATAGACATCTACCAGTAATAAAGGTTATACTCAAACCGAGCATCGCAGTAAGATCCTATAAATACTTGATAAATATAGAAAAACATGTAGATCAATACAAACAGTAATTGTCAAGAATACAAATGTTTGTATTGATCGAATCTGCGACTATCTAAAGTGTGCTAAAGGATAAGACCACCGGTGTCGTGAAACTTTAAAAAAAAAGTTAATTAGTAGCATTTCATAATATTAATAGATGTTGATATACGAGCTCTATCGACACTGTTGAGCACCGTAAGTTACGATGTAGAGAGTGCTCTGAACTTAAATCTATTAGTTTATATAATTAATTTATATTTAGAAAATGTTTATATTTTTTATTTATCATTGACTGCTAGTTAACTGCATGACTTGACTCCTAAAAGGTAGTTTTATATTGTGATGAGACCCCTTATATGTCACGTTTTGTTATAGTCCCTTGAATAATAGTGTTAGCACAAATAAGCAAGCAATAATAAAAAGTCCATTCTTACAAACATTTAATCCCTTGCATCAGCCAATTAACTTGACTTTTTTAAATCAAACATTGACATATAGACGTCATACTTTTGAGTAGCTAAACCCAAAATTTGTTTGCTTTCTCCGCAGTAAATAACTTTAAAAACACCTACGCACGATAACAGGAAACGTTCATGATAGATAACAAAATTAAATAACAATTCATTCCATACAATAGTAGCAACTGGCATTCACAATTGGTAACGCCTCGAGAATTGAAACTATTTCCTCCCATTGAATTAATTTTGACCATTTTATTGTAGTACTGGCGGCATGTCTCGATTTCGATCAAGTTCATCAATATCACATATATACTAAAATCGTAAACATGACATCGACACATGTCTATTATTTTAAAAAAAATCGGAAATAAATACATCAGATTACTTTGATTAGTATCACACATATAAAAAAAATTGTAATGTTGATAGATGCCTGTTTTTTTAAACAAAAAATATATTTATTCACTTTATGTTACAATCTATAAAAACTTTGTCTTACTGTCTATATATTTAAGCTTATTTTAGAAACGGCTTAACCAATTTGAAAATGATTTCCACTACTGCCATTGTAGTTCGATTTGCCTATTATTTAGTACTTATTTAATTCCATTTCCAGATTTGAAAAAAAAGATCAAAACCTATTGTTACCCCAAATATGAGGCGTACAAACTCACAGATACAGCTAGTAACCTAAAATATCTATATACATCTGTATTAATATATGTTAAGTTTTATTGCTTGTTGTTTTGTTTGAAAGTATTAATCTCTGTAATTATGTTGCTAAATATTATGAGGAAAGAACCTGTGACCATTAACAATAAGACAGAGTGGTTAACAACTAGACCGCTGAGGTCGACTTGGAGGATGAATGAATGAAACTCAATAAATCTAAAATAACATTTTTCTAATACTGGTAGCATTTTTAAAACAAATACAATAATTCTGGAAACACAAACAAAAACTCACAAAACTTTTAGTCTATTTACAATACTGTAGGAGATAGTACATGTCCATAAAACTATATTAGTGCAGCAATTTATCAGTAGTTACATCAGTAGTAGGACAATAAAAATAATCTTTGTTCAAAGAAACTTAATACAGGTTTTGGGATTAGTCTTTCTTTATAATTTTACAGTATTATTAGCTGACCCCGGAAACACTGTTTTGCCATATAAATTAAAATCACTACTAAAAATCAGGGATTGGTGAGAGACAGGTGAAAATTTAGGGTTGTATGTATTTTTAAATGCCCCATTATAAAAAATAAAATTTTGTCATAAAATTTAAAAAAATGTTAGATGTGGACAACCCTTGTCACTTAGGGATATGAAAAATAGATAGTAGCTGATTCTCAGACCTACTGCATATACATATAAAATTTCATCAAAATTTATTAAGCATTTCGGAGGAGTATGCTAACTAATGTTGTAACTTTCTGTCATTTTTAATACAATATTCATATATATCATTGCCTTGCTTTCATCCCACCATTATACTACCAACTGTTTTATCTGTGTTTACTCTCCTTTTATGTGTATCATCTTTGACACAATCAGTAATCTGTATACTAAATGCAGTAATAACAGTAATAAATGTTTTTATTTCATTACTTATCTGTATACAAACAATAAAAAATCTACAGTGAAAAACAAATATAACATTAATATTTGGAGGAGATACATACATTATGTATCTAGAAGTTTCTAAAAGTATAAATATAAAAGAGTAGTATGTTTTTTATATTTATATTTTAGGATAAAAGGCCACACAGGACCCATGCCCAAGGCCCCCATTCTCAGGGGGCCCCCAAAGGACTGTAAATTTTTCTCACACATTTATTCTGAAAACATTTTTGTCAGGCACACTACACTTTTTTCACAAAGCAGTAATGATATCAGAAGATATTTACAAGGCATATACTACACCATTATAACGATTACTTCGCCTATTCCTATGTTTTTATACCTAATAACATTTTTTTTTCTTTTTTTTATACTTTCCATCAGGACCCCAAATTCTTGTGTGCCCAAGGGCACCAGCCTAGTTTAACATGGCTGTGCTAAGAACATAAATATTTTATATACTATAATTATCAATGCAAAGTTACATCATCTTTCACTGTAATTTTTTTCAGTATAAACATATATTCCCTGGCAGACAGGGTAGAGATTAGGGTATACACTGTAGAGCAATTACATCTTATTTTCACATAATCGAGTTTTATTGTTTGTTTATATTTTGTTTTTAGACATATCGAAGATATTTACATTGTTAACAAATCAAGGTGATCAGCCAATCATACTCATAAAGTATTAATGCATAAATATAAAATGATATTTATTTATTTCTCCACATATTAAACATAAAATATATGACAGCAGTATCATATCATACTATAAAACTTGTAAGAACTGGACTAGCTTCCAGTCTCCTGCAAGTTTCTTCTACAAGGAGATCTGAGATCTAAGTATATCTTTGAAATCCAGGCCCTTATCCTAGATGCATTGCGGTGTCTAACAACAAATAAAAAATAAAAAAATAATACATTAGTATATATTATTAACTAGTAGTATTATATTAGTAACTATCCAGCTTGGCATGGGTTATACATGTATTATACATAAGCATTTCTCTTTAATTACTCTGTTATTACAAACTGCATAGTTTATAAGAATGATTCAAATATCAAAATACTATCAATATTACCATTAATACATTAACAGCTCCATCATATAATGTAATTAGTGTGATAAATACAATGAATGTTCAATTAAAGTTCCTTGTTTGTAAAGATTCAAGTTTAATTCACTCTCAATTCTCAGGCATTCAATTCATACTGGCCAATAATAAACTAAAGTTTCACAGGATCTGAAACTAATCTGCTTTGTAAGGTGACACCTGTGGTCCTTCTCATATACTGCCATGCCTGATAACTATAATTATGCATATGTATCTTGTTATTTAAATGTATATTTCAACTTTAAAAACAGATCGGAAAGTTGATATCAATGCAGAATTACGCACAACAGATGTACCCACGCAATAATTCGAACAAAATATAACTCTAGAAACACTTAAACAGTTTAGTGTGAACTTACCAGACAGTCCCACAACGGACACCGTGACCAGCTTGCCGCCGGTATTATCCGACTTCTTTGCCATCTCAATCAAATCTCAATAAGAAGGTAATATAAAACAAAATCACTGTATCACTTTGTAGACACATCACAACACGAATCAGACTCTTCACGAATGACTAAATATGCATAAACACAATTCTGAAAGAAAATATAACACGGTAAACGTATTTATGATATATATTAAAAATAAATATTAATAATATTTTTTTTAATATCGACTATGAACTATCGTTTGGGCATTACAGTTACATGGTTCTTCTGATCGTCAAATGTGCCGACATAATAATGAACGCCCTACTTATTTCCATGACTGTTTACATAAAACATGACAGATATATAAATAAATTATTTTTATAAAGATAACACAGTAATTTATACACGTTTTTTAATAAAAGTATTTCAAGAATTAAATTAAATGCCTCTTATAGAGCCCTTTACTGACACAACAGATTCTAACAGATGCAACATAAATTTCTCATACGCAATCACACTAAAGTATAGCTTTATTATAACGGCCATGAACATAAGACTTTGCAAAGTATTTAGAGTAAATATAATTACATTCTAATGAGAATAAATAGGGGGATGAAAACGCATTAATTCTTGACACAACTCTCTTTTGCTTTGTACTGAAAGCAGGATAGCCAACATTAATATTGAATTTGCCATAAACTGAAATGGACATACATTTTTTTTCTAAAACACATTTAGAAATTTATGTTTTTGCTTGATTTCATAGGAACGTTTATGTATTCTATGTCTTTAAGCGACTGTGTTAAAATGTAAACAAAGAACGTCCAAGAGATGAAGCATTTAAATTTGAGTCTATTTTAGGTCTACAAAAAAAGGCAGAAATTTTATTAACCTGAAAAATCATGACAAATTATTTTACGAATTGTTAATACTGGATTTAACATATACTGCCGACTGTGAAGACATATCTAAAACTACATTTAAAAAAATACATCTAATTGGTTAGAATAAAGTAGTTTATTCTATAAACTTCAGCGATTATTTTTTCCTAAATCTTTCATGATAAAATTGTTTTGTACTCTTAAGAAATCTTTTTTTTTTTACTAGAAATACTAGAATATGACACACACACTGTATTGGACATACTGTTCGATACTTTTACTAGGTATATGACCAATATTTTATAATATTTTGTATATCTGTAATATATTTTGTATATGTGATTATGATTATCAATCACAGGATAATGAATAATTTCGCCATGACAGGTTGACAGTGATTTCGATTTAAAAAAAAGTTAAAAAAAATAGTCACATTATTTATTTTCGTAGTGCAACACCCACTTTGACTACTTTTGACAGCACCATTACGAAAACACAAGCGCATAAATGTCTCCCCGCGATATTTTCCTGAGAAATGACTTCTACAAATGATGGAAAAGACGTGAAAAGTAATCAAAACAGTGGCCCAAGAGGCAAAACATATTATATTGAACTTTATAAGGTAAGTTTTACATTTAAAATCATCAAGATTATCCCCTACGTTGCGACGCCGTTGTAGTCGTGATGTTCATTATGGCCGCCATATTTGTCTAAATTCTACTCTTGTTTTCATATATTTCGGCATATTTCCAACAAATATGTAATGATATGTGATTAGGAAATGATAAGTTAAAGAACTTGTATAAAAATAGTATTATAATTGTTAATATTATTATCCAAATTATACCATAATGTGTACTTTATTTTGCCATTCTAAAATCGTAGTTTTTACAAAAATTTGTAACAAATTGTTATAAAACCAACTTTAATAACATTAAAAATACGTCTTTTATTTAACATTTATTTAAGAATTTAACAACATGTAATCAAAACCTTCAATGTTGTCGATTGTGACGGCCAGTAATTTGGGCTTCCCAAACTTAATTCATGATTGCAGCCATAGCTTACCACAGTCAAGTCACGTAGATATTATTTGTTTAGGTATCATCATAATAATATAACATGCTTGAAGATTCCATAATACCAATCTTAAATAAGTCTTCACTGTCATTTATTTTGTACTTTAACCCACTTACAATAAGGGTTATGTGTTTGTCAACTAATTTATTTTCATGCTGATGTCATATTTTTGTGTATAGCTGTTATTACATACATTGCTATAGCTACATTTTCGTGTGCAACTCCATATTAATTTATCACTGAAAACATTGGTAATTACACACTTGGTGTACCTAGATTGCTAGTTTTAATTTTACTTTTTATACTTTGGTCATGTTATTTTAGTTTATGTAGTCTATGAAACAGTTCATTTAACTAAATATAAACTTACTAGCTGTACCCGCGACTTCGTCCGCGTAAAATAGTGACCTTGAGCAAATAATAAAAAATATATATTAATAATCTAACCCAATAAAAAACGTTTCATCGTTCTAGCTTCAAAAATGAAATTTCCATACATAATTCCATACAATTCAATCAACAGCCAAAAACTAAGTTTCAAACTACTATCTTTAAAATGAAGATACTTCCATACATACCATACATACATTACATCTCCCCTTTCAACCCCTTATAACCCTTTTTCTTGTTTTTTTTAATGCTACTTATATTAGTGTCATCATGTACCAATGATAAGATGTCGCTATACTGTAACCATTTATGGCCGAGTCCTGTGGCGGTAGGTACTGATATTTTCTCAACAGCCTAAAAAATGGGTTTCAAGTTTCTAGCTTTAAAAAATGACAATACATGCATACAACATTTTAACTCCCCTTTTGACCCTTACAACCCATTTTCGTTAATTATATTTAATCAATACGCAAAAAAATAAGATTGAAGCTTAAACTTTTAAAATATTCCTCTTTCAGTCTCTTATAACCCTTTTTAGCATTAAAAAGTAACCTATGTCCTATCTCAAGATCTAGACTTTAAATTTCATTTAAATCAGTTCAGAAGTTTTGGCTTTTAAGACAGACAGACAGAGTCACTTTCACTTTCATAATATTAGTAAGGTATTTATTAAATAAACTGACCCAAAAAAGCGTAAGAAAAAAGCTTCATCGTTCTAGTTTATTATGTGACGAATTCTTATATGACGAATTTCCATAAAAACTTTTATCTGCTATTTTATTTTACCCCTTGAATGGTGACAATGTGATATTTACAAATTTAAATGTCATATTTATTTATATTTAATAAACAGTTTAAACATTTCTTTAAATTCTTTTGAAAATTGGTGGTCCAGTTGGCCAATAACATAATAAAATTTTGTTAAATCAAAATAATAGATGTGATATTCTAAATTGCAAACTATCCCTCTACTTGCGCTAACCATATCTCTGACTCTACTGGCCAGAATGGAGAAACGCGTATTCCGAACCTGAATAGCTCGGATGGAACGGTAGATGTTGTTTCTTCCAAGGAAATGTTGTTCATATGTATTGACAACATTTTTAATATTATATGTTGTTTTATTCTTTAAAAATATTAATAATATGTTCTTACGCTCTTGTCCAAGAGCAGGGTCATCAGTTATAGGCTATACCAGGATTATATTTATGTATTTATAAAATAAAATTGCAGAGCAAACGTTTATTCATTTAAATTCATAAGGAGACAACGGATTGACAATAATCAGTTGCGCGCGCAACATATATGATTATTTATGACATATGAGCGTTAATAAGTCGCATATCTAGTACAATACTGGTGTAATACAGAAATTAAAAATTTTTGAAAATAGACTTAATAACACAATTATAAAGTAGACTTTCCAAAATATCTAATTTTTTAGTTAAGCCATTATTATAATAAGTGTGTATTCAACCGCATAAAGATAACCTTGCATTACCATTTTCAACCCCTTACAACCCTTTTTTCGCATTAAAAAGTAGCCTATGTCCTTCCTCGGCGTCTAGACTATATGGGTACCAAATTTCATTTAAATCAGTTCAGTAGTTTTGGCGTGAAAGCGAGACAGACAGACAGACAGACAGACAGAGTTACTTTCGCATTTATAATATTAGTAAGGATAACTTACCAAAATACAATACTTATCATACTATTTAAAAATGTTAAAATGAGTGTATAGATAGATAGATAATTGTTTATTTACCAATTACAGACATAGCATACATGAGGGGTTTAGGTTAGTAATATAGGTGGAAATGGCAGAATGTCTTGTAAGGTAAAATAATTTATAGTCTGTTTTTTTTATTCAAGAGAATAAATTGACAGGTGTACATGTCAAATTTTCTAATAATGTTACCACCTATAGTGGGGTAGTGGTGTAGCTGTGATATTGATTTGTTTAAGGGGGTCTTCCTATGTGACGGCCTGTTTTTTAGGGATGTTTTAGGATTTTTTTTCTACGACCAGTAAATATTTAGAGCTTCAAGTTTTTTATCATTTATTAACACATATTTGGACAGTATAAATATAAAATTTCAGCTAAAAATATTCAGTCAAACTAGAGTTACAGCGCTCTGGACACCCCCGCCTCGAAAAAAAGAGCTCCCACTTCCTCCACGATTCCGGCTGATCGGCTTATCTGAAAAAAAACAAAAAAAGGCGTTTTAATTTAGGCTTAAAAGCACGGAATGACCTATAATCAAATGAATATAAAAAAAATTGGATTTTTGATAGACATTTGAAATAAAAGTTGCAAATTAGGCGTTTTTTTTTTTTTGTTTTTTGCTATAAAAAAATCGAAGTTTTGAAAATTTTCGATTGATAATAGTTCATTCCATGCGTTTACATATATTGAGTGTGCCCTGTAAATTTCAAGTAATTCGGTCCAGCCGTTTCTGAGATACAATGGAGGAAAGTTTGAAAAACACAGTTTTGAGAAAAACGCGTTTAAAGTTTCAAGTCCGTTAAAAACTATTAAAATATCAATCTCAATCGGCGATGCCTGGTCCATAGAGTATTCCTTCCTCTTCCTCGTGAAACTCTTTTAAAGCAGATTGTTCAGCTCTTGAGTCAATGGCTTGTTTAACGACATCACTTACGCGCCGCTCAGAGCGTAAGATTCGCTTTTCATCCCGTTTCTCAACATACGCTTGGGCTTCACGACCAACAGGGCATCCCATAATCGACATAACTTTTAAAATACCTTGAAAACCTTCATTAAAGATAATAACTGCTAAGTAGCTAGCAATTTCAACACCTTTGGGACCAGAATGAAGATGTTTAGGAGCGAAAGTCCAAATCAAAGAATTCAAAGATTCGTTATTGTTTTGTGTCTCTGCTCCTAAACAACGAATTAATAATTCGTCTTTCGATAAATCTTCGAAAACCGGTTTGATAGCTTCTTGGACTTGCGGAATTAGAGGTGGTTTATCGTGATGAAATTGGTCCAGTTCATTATTAGCTTCAGCCTTACGCCATTTACACCAACTGTCTTCGCCTTCTGGACAAAATTGATGCTGAGGGTTTTCATCAGAAGAACATTTGTGATAGTACGTTGCCCAAACTTCCTTTCTCATATCTTCAAGCGAATCTGGATGGCGTCGAATTGCTAATCCGTAGAATTTTGTAATTTCTTGGATAACTTTATCAGTAAGTTTACCTGCTCCTTTTCTGTTTAAGTCTGTAGAAACGTGTCTAAACTTGTATAAACAAATATATTAATAAAAGGGAGGCCAGGTATAAAGCCGACGGTACACAATAGGCCCGGTCTCTAACTGCCAACTCATCCGAACCGCTCTTTCTTTTACCTGCTGTATCTTTAAAACGACTTCGAATTTTCTAAAATCGCTTTACTACCGTATTCTAGACATGTTAAGGGAGCAATTTATGAAAAAAAAAAAAATCGATTTTTTCAACCCATCACATAGGAAGACCCCCTTAATTGGAAATTATTATTTTAACATATTAGTTTTAAAACTTTAAATGATGTTTCCGTGACAGATTTTTAAAATTAACTTACAATAGTGTTTCCATCACTGTTGTTATATTACAGAACACAAAAATACATTTTTGTTGTTTCCATACAAATAGTAATTTTTACAGTATTAAGCTACAAACCAACATCTTTTTCTTTTAAACAGCTAAAACTTTTATATAGCTGTATGTTTTATGATATATGACACTATAAGAGGGTTATTTGTTTTTTTAAAAAAGGCAGTTAGTCTGTAATTTAGTGAAAAATAAAAAATGTATTTTGATTCCACAACCATATATTTATTAATACTTATACTTTATTAATTCTGTGATAATGCATTTTAAATAAACACCATTTATAGGATATTCAGAAATAATATGTGATTTCTGAATATCCTATAAAAAATTTTAATTAATATTAATTTCCAATAGTGACACAACCCTTTTTAAAAAATGCAAGCACTAGTAATGTCAAATATGTCTCTGGGATTAAAAACAGACTATACTGACTAAGCCTTTGCTATAGAGTATATGTTGACACAAAGCTATATATGTAACAATATTAAAGTAAAAAATAGTATATAAAAAAACATGGTTCAAAATAGGAATTAATGATAAAAGAAGGTCTGTCATTAACAGTTAGGGTTATCAAGAGTAATAATAGCTAAATAATTAAATAATTATTCTAAAAGTAGTCAATATTATCATAATTTGTTTAGATCATTACTGTATTGTGATTATTTTATCATTCTTAAACTGACTTCATTACATTTCTCAATCATATTGATTGTCTAGCTGGCAATCAATATGATTGAGATTGAATGTATTTAACTTAAATCATAACCTTGAATAGCACATAAGAAATATTTGTCCTGGAAATTATAGTATGTTAAATTACATTTATTCGTGTAATTACAATTTAGTTCTTGCTGTATTACAACGTAACTGTTTTTAGACACAATTGAAAAAAAAAATAGCAATGTAAAATGTTTCCTCAATAGAGGTTCTCTCCCGTCAACAGACTCCCACAACGAATCTGCTAAAGGCTCGATGGGCCAATTGAAAGATGGATAAAAAAAAAAATTAAGTAATCCATATTTGGAATATTAACATCTATTAGAAAAATGGATATTATATTTCTGTGGAATAATAAATAATTTTTGTAATCAATAATATTTTAATGTATTAATTGTCACTTTTCTATATGATTTGTCAAATATTTTCCTACATGCAAATTTTGTTCTGACAATTGTTTATATATATTATTTCTTAATTACAAACACGCCATATAAAAAATTTTGCAAAATAGATGTAACCACCCTGAAGTGAGTTGATAGTGTTAATTAATTAAATAGAGGAAATTTGTTGATCTGTATGACCTCAGCCTTTTCAGATAAAATATGCTCTTAATCCACTTAAGAAACAATATTTGTAGACTTATAAATATGTTTTTCTGTGAAATATCCACGGATTTGTATTTGTGTTGATTTCTAAGAATTTTGGCTTGCTGACAAATTGATTTGCCCCTGATTATTTGATGGCAGTTTTCTAAGAATATACATATTACAAAATGAGCCATGTACAGGAAATATTTAAAAAATGTAAATTTTTTAATGGACAATGGAATGGTGCACAAGTCTGCTAACAGTTTACTCTGGCCGGGTACCAGTGGAGGATGATAGGATTAGCTCAAGGTCAGGATAGTTAGCAAATAGTGACAAATTCAGCAGGAATTTATCATGATAATGATTATAAAGGGAAACTGCATGGAGGTCAGCCTGTCATGGTAATGTAATATAATATGGACTCTATTCTCCACATTTAGCCTATCATCTGGACCGTTGTGCATCTATAGCTAAGACTAGTAATATAGCCAGCCAAGCTCCTCCCAGAAGCGAAGCAGAAACCTAAACCTGATATGGTACATAGCTAACAATTCAGTCATCAGTTCACATTACTAACCCTTTCTAAATATGCACATTGAGGTCCAAAAATAATTAATTTGTTTCTGTTGTGTTGTGCCACATAGCTATTTTTTATAAAGTTAATCATAACAAATTTATCTCAGTGGTTATGATTAACTGGTATACAAAATAGGTATGTTAATTTTCGTTCTAAATGCTAGTGCATTTTAACCCATATCATACTTGACATATAGTCAAGTATGGTATGGGTTAAAATGGGAACATGTTACATACATAGAAATGTTTGCATTTATAATATTTGTCAGTATTAATAAGTACAGTTGCCCCATTTATTTCTGATGTGGTGAGTCCACTTAGATTTGTAAAATTGGATGGAGCCTTGAATTTTATATTGGGTTTAGACTTGGGTCAACAAGCAATTAATGTAGGTAACATTCATGGCTTGCTCTGTCAATGTTAAACTGCACATTTTTAGCAGTATTTGCATTTTCACTTAGATTGCGTTGTTTATAATTAGGTGTAATAATTAATCATTGACAGATATATTCAGTTTATATTAGATACATTGGAAATTATGGAATTATATCTCGCTACCACATGCAACATAGTCTATGTTATTTCCATATAATCTTTATACTCAGTTGAATTTTGTTTAAATTAAAAAAAAAAATTATTTGTCATGAATAAACCATGACAAGCAAAATGTTATAACTTTCCTCTTTAATATTAGTTTATTGTTTTTGTATTTAATACCTTTGGGAGGGGTTTATGAGGTCTGCTTCTTTTTAAAGGATCTCTTCTGTTTACTGGAAGACAGTGGAAGCGACTTTATTTACACGCGTATGTTACGATTGATCCCCGTCCAATTCAAACGGAGATCGAAATTACAACGACCTGAGCCGATGTTCGAAACTCTCTAGCGGTGCCCTCAGAGTAAAGTCGTATACTCCCGCCTGGAGTTGGCCTTCTGCCGCTCCATAAGTATTTCCGAGGTTCGCAGTGTCATCTGAACTCGCTACCTATCGTTCGGCGAAACTGCGGCCGACAGTGATTTTGACGCTAGTCCTGATGTTTTTTTTATCGGTCCAGTCGTTGGAGGCACGGCTGAACGAGGAGTGCTCCCTCCGTGCACGCAACAAACACGTGTGCGAGGCGTGGCGCCGCATCCACAGCCTGTGCCAGCACTCGGCGCCCACCACACACGCACATCTGCTCGGCTGGCTGCAGAGGCACACCGCCCGAACCGTGCTGCATGTGAGGATATACATATACGTAACAATAGCCCTTTGAGTGCCATAGGTTTTTCTCTCATCAACAAATCAATAAGGCATACCTTAATATGTTAAGAAAATCGTTATCGCAAATAAAATGTATATCATCCAAAAATGATTGATTATCCCTGCAGGGCGCTATGCGGTAACTAATTTTGACAATTTGTGGACACACGCGTAGGAGCTCGATAGCGGGTAGGGTAAACAAGTTTTTTTTATGGAATACAGGCTAGCGAGATACGAGGAGAATGGATTATAAAAAAAAATATATAGTAAAAAAAAATGTATCATAACAGCCAGTATTAACAGCCAGTGCTAAGTTGTGTCTGTTTATTTGCTGCCATTTGAGAACTAAATGGATCTTGATAACAGCCAGTGCTAAGTTGTGTCTGTTTATTTGCTGCCATTTGAGAACTAAATGGATCTTGATGAAATTTGACACGAAGATAGATACAATCTATCTTCGTTTCAAAATTCAATGAGATTTATTAAATCATGAGTAGCAACTATTACCACTTATACACTACCAAATCGATTCAAGCGCTACCTCTGCAAGCAAACATTGCGCTTGAGTCAATTTGGTCGCTTGCGAGTGTATATAATATTACTGTACTTATATGTTGTAGGTATATCAAGTATTTTATGTCGTCTATAGGTGTTAAATAATACAATTATGTTTTAGACGGAATGGCCAAAGAGCAAAGATGAGCACACTTTTCTTCAAGATGCCATTCAAACATTCATTCAAGAGTGCGACACTGCGATCGTTAGCAGAAATGGCAACAGCCCGCCATGGGAGAGCCAGCTTCTGCAGCGAAGCGAGTGGTTCAAGACAATCCTATCAAATCCCTGGGGGCACCCTGTGCTTAAGGTGCTCCTGGATCCACAGGGCAAACCCCCTACTGACAATGAGGGTAAGTGTAATAATTATATCATGTCCCTTATATTATGTATTTCAATTAAGTGTGGCGTCCATAAATTGCACACACATTGAATAGTAGGGGTAGACAAAGTGTGACAAGGAGGGGTACTAAATTTGGTGACATCACTTTTTAAAATTGAAAATAATTGAATAAAAAACTTAAAAATATTTCCAAAAAATATCTGAATATTTTCAGCTTTATTTCTGATGTTTAAACTGTATTAAAAACTTATACTTAACAAGTTTATACTGGGGTCACGAGAGTAAATAAAAAAAATTGTGACTTAAGTTCCAGATGACTATATGCCTTCCTGCTATCCCTTTTGCAATTCCTTTCCTTATCCACCTCTTCTTAAAATTCACCAGCAACTCCCCTGGGGTTTATTCCCATGAGTCCTTCAGTTATTTTCCAGCAATGGTATTTCTAAACTGAGATGATATTAAAACTTTTTAAGACATCATCTTATTCCTTCTTAAAAACTTGCAATTCCCCTGGTTGCTCATAGGCGTCAGTAATGGCTTACTATTAGGGGTGCTGTTAGTGTTATATAATAATTACTATTTTGTAATTTCTCTCCAGTTCTAGAATGGCTGAAGGAGGAGCGCGGGGTGATGTTCGTGACACGGCTGCGTCAGCTCGCTGCGTCCAAGTGCGACGACTTGGCGCTGATGCTGGCCAGCAGTGTCATGGACAGAGTTAGAGCTGGGATTGTGGATTTGACTGATGTTGAACAGTTGGAGGATGTCAGAGGTGAGTCAATTAAAGGTGCAAATTTGTCTATTTACAAGTATGTACTTATATATGTTTTTTTGATTGATAATTAATTATTATGATAGTCCAAGTTTGTATGAAAGTTTGATGTTCCAGTGTATTATGTACTGTAAATACTATTCATCCCAATGGTTATATAGTCGAGAAAAGTTCGTTTTTCTATAGTAGTGTTATTTCATTATTGGAATAAAATATCGTATAGAAAGTTGATTAGACTGAGTTACGCTTGGGAATCAGCATTTTTTCCCACACTACCTTTCTAAAAGAAATTTGGTGGTGCTAATGAGTTCTGATATGAAGAATACCATTCGATGCTGAACGCTCGTGATTACCTTACGAGGACCGTCATCCAGTAATCCTTGTTAACTAAACATAATATCATTATTATTCACTAATTTTAGATTTAATATCAAATTCATGAAAATATATACATTAAACAAATATTTCGTTAAAATTCTTGTTATGTTTGTTATATGTATAATACTTTCGCTCTTTAGCTGCCTTCTTTTCGAATTTCGATTATACATTTCTTTAATGTCGACTTAAAATCTCTCATTGTACTTATTATTTAATATCATTTAAGCAATATGTAGAATTTCGAGTATTTCTGTACAGATACATCCATATCTGAAGATGCGGAACCGACGCTCGCGGATTTACTCAAAAGAGATGCCGGATTCACTATCGACGTGTGGGAACTTCTCACTGATTTGGAGTTTGTACTTCTACACAAGTGGAACAAACAGTCGCAGTGCATCACTTTGGTAATTATTTATGAAATAAATGCTATTTAATTCGCGCAACTTTCTATATAATTATACAAAAATGTATGTAGTAGTAATAATAATAGTCCTGGATAATTACACAGCGCCATATAGTTCTAAGCCAAGCAGAGCTGGTGTTATGGGTACTAGAGAACTTACAGAAATAATGAAATATTTTTTTATAAATATACATAAATCAGACAATCATACTCATGAATACAAATATTTGCTTCGGGCGAGGAATCTACCATAAAAAAACCCGATGTGCTAAACCACTAGAAAAACCGTCAAGACACTACCGATGACCGATAACATTTCAAAGATACGTACATAATAGATCTAGCAGTTCCGGCAAACGTTTTGCCTTAAAATAAAAAAATAAATTTAGGGGTGGACTACCTCTAACATTTAGGGGGATGAAAAATAGATGTTAGCGGATTCTCAGACCTACTCAATACGCTCACAAAATTTCATGAGAATCGGTCAAGCCGTTTTGGAGGAGTATGGGAACGAAAACTGTGACACGAGAAGTTTATATACAAGACATATATAACTATAACTGTATCGAACCCCTGATTGCGTACGATTGAAAATTCAATGTAGGTATAATGTCGTTCGCCGACGCTCTCCGATGGCATTCCTAAATCTTATATTTACCTAACGGGTGCCGCATAAATCGCGGCAGATCGCATGATCTGTGACATAGGAATAAGACCTCTTTTCAATATATTTCAAGGATCATCTTGACTACTCGTGTTACTCTCCCTTAGAGTATGCTTTATTTTATTATAGGCGAAGAGAACACCGCTTCGCAAAGGATATCAGTTGGTAGAGCGACTTCGATGCCGACCGGAGACGTCGCCCCGCGAGAAGAAATTATGGAAGAATAGCAAAGATGCTGCCACTCTAATTGCACAGGTTAGTGTCTATCATATATCTCTCTACGTTAGACCATTAATTTATTCATTACATTAGCTTACCAATACATTTTCTTAATTAGAATGGCAAATGTGCTGACAGCCCACCTGATGGTAAAGGGTAACCATGCCCAATAATGAGTTTCACGGACCTAATCATGTTACATCTGTGATATCACTTACGCGCTACCATTCCAGTGGACTAAGGTACCATGCCACGAAGACGACTTTTTACTGTCTATTTTCAATGACTACCTCAGGACTGTTATGGTCACAGGCGTAATAATAGTAGTCTAAATTCGCCTGTTGTCTTGATAGGATTATTCAATGTTTGCTTTTCTATCTATATAGAATATCTAATGAGAATTGATGACACTTAATAGGTATAAATAAACCTATAAGAAACTATCAGCCTTTGATTGGGCTATATTGATCTTGACTAATTTTTCGGACGTTTCATGGTATCTGTATATTTTTCATTTCAAACTTGGGAATCCTAAGAATTTTCTCATATCGACTTCAGTTTCGTTCCACCCAAGATTTGTTTTGCAGTTGTTAGGAATAATTATTTTTTTAATAAGGTACATAAATCACGACCGTTGCCTGGTCGTTAAACTCACCCTACTGGTTGTACATCGTCGGTAGGTCCGTGGGTCGTGTCGAGTAAATCGAGCTGAAATAATGGCGACGTCTTTTAAAGTATCTTATACAAATAGTTACAAGTCGGTAGTTGATCAACACTACAACATTATAGGTTTCTACACCCAGGACGAACCTGTGACTATCTAACTAACGTCAACTTTACAAAAATAAAATACTGCACGTTTTCAGTTATAGCAGATCATACCGAGAATATAAATAAATGAACGCGAATCGCGTTCACTCCACCTTCGGTGGAAACTCACTGCGTGGAAAATATCCCTTCTCTTTGATATTTCGTTCATAACTAAGCTCTGTCCAATGCTATATTTCTAGACAGCTAAAAAGAATCCATGGTCATTGGTGGCTGTCAAATAATCAGCCCCCACCAGCCTGCTCAGGGCTATAGACAAACTTTTGGAGTGACAAATTTGCGCTCTAATAAGTATCAAACGGCCTTGCTAATCAATAAACTATTTGACTTCCTGCACCCGATACGTGCCGGTGTTCCTCAGGAACTCATGTTATAATAACGACATTTCACTATTTCTCTACTTAAAAGTCAAAACGTCACTATCAGATGACAAAGCTTATGAATATTCGCCTACGTTTCGTCACCATCACGCCAATGAACTGATAACAGATCATCAGAACACTCCATTATATATGAGTTACATAATTCAGAGATGCTTTGCCATAAAGCCAATGTGTCGAGTATGTCACAAGATGTTGATTATTAATCATTCTGGTCGCTCGGTTTTGAATTGGGTCAAATGGAAGTGACTTGTATTGTGGTGCTCCCGCTCAGAGATGGGAATATAATCCCAAATGCGTCCAAAATTGTGCTTAGATTTCAAAATAATTTCACCAGTATGGTCTCACATTCAATGACCAGTATGGGTGGGTGCTCATTCATAGTGGTTTGACGACGGCGTATAGAAGTTAAATAATACACACGACATTGTCCTCGCCGCCGAATACGACAACCCATTCTGTACTATTTAATATTTATCCCTGCCCGCCTGCGCCCTGACGTTCCACCGTTCATTGGCTCGTATAGTGAAGCCATAAAGGACAAAAAAAAAAAAATAACGGCGGGACGTTTTCGTTTCGGTCGCAGGTGATAATTGCACGGTGCATGGTGGTGCCGCGGTGCACGGGCCCGGCGCGGTCCGCGCTGCAGGGCTGCGCGCGCTCCCTCGCGCGCCTCCTGCCCGCCGCGCGCCTCCCGCCCGCCGCCGCCGCGCTCGCCGCGCCCGCCGCCTCCGCCGCGCACCTGCACGCGCTCGCCGCCGCCGTGCACGCTCAGGTACCTACGGTGCACTGTGCACTGTGCACTGTGCCGCGCCTCCCGCCCGCCGCCGCCGCGCTCGCCGCGCCCGCCGCCTCCGCCGCGCACCTGCACGCGCTCGCCGCCGCCGTGCACGCTCAGGTACCGACGGTGCACTGTGCACTGTGCACTGTGCCGCGCCTCCCGCCCGCCGCCGCCGCGCTCGCCGCGCCCGCCGCCTCCGCCGCGCACCTGCACGCGCTCGCCGCCGCCGTGCACGCTCAGGTACCTACGGTGCACTGTGCACTGTGCACTGTGCACTGTGCACTGTGCCGCGCCTCCCGCCCGCCGCCGCCGCGCTCGCCGCGCCCGCCGCCTCCGCCGCGCACCTGCACGCGCTCGCCGCCGCCGTGCACGCTCAGGTACCTACGGTGCACTGTGCACTGTGCACTGTGCACTGTGCACTGTGCACTGTGCACTGTGCCGCGCCTCCCGCCCGCCGCCGCCGCGCTCGCCGCGCCCGCCGCCTCCGCCGCGCACCTGCACGCGCTCGCCGCCGCCGTGCACGCTCAGGTACCTACGGTGCACTGTGCACTGTGCACTGTGCACTGTGCATTGTGCACTGTGCACTGTGCCGCGCCTCCCGCCCGCCGCCGCCGCGCTCGCCGCGCCCGCCGCCTCCGCCGCGCACCTGCACGCGCTCGCCGCCGCCGTGCACGCTCAGGTACCTACGGTGCACTGTGCACTGTGCACTGTGCACTGTGCACTGTGCACTGTGCCGCGCCTCCCGCCCGCACCGTGCACCGTGCTGCACCAGCTGTAAGGCACGCGCCTGCGGCCTCCGCCGCGGCTCTCGCCCAACAAATCGCCGCTCTCCCGAATCCCTCAAAATTCTCAAAACTTGGAATGACAAACCCCTATTTTGGTGTCGCGATTTGTACACAATTGTTCCTTTTAAATCAATTAGATTTAACTAATTATATCTTTCTCATTTCAATTAAATCAATTCGTCTTATTCAATATCAATTTAATAAAAAAATCTTTATTTGCAAATTACAGAGTACAGAGGAAATGAAGCCGTTTATATGCGAACTCTACGTGAGGGCGATAACGGCTGGAATGAATGAATTGGAAAAGCTCAAATTGAAGACTGAAAAGGTATTTATTATTTTTATATTAATAGCCTGTCTACAATTTCATCTATTACGACACGACTAACAAATACATTCTATAAACTAAAACTAAACATAGCTATAAATATATACCATAATCTCCGTTTTACAATCGTTACAGGAGTCGGAGGCTCGTTCGACCGAACGGACGCTGTCGTCGTGGTTCACTCAGTTGGGCGGGTTGTTGTCCGCGAGTGCGCGGATACGATGCGAGTGTACGCTCACCGCGTTCTCGGTGCACCCCTCGCCCCTCATGTACGCCGAGATCGAAGCCGCGCCCGCGCTGCCTCCGCTAGCTATCGTAAGTACTCGCCGAGAATAAGCTTTTCATCTTCTCTAGTTTTATTGTACGCTAGTACCCAGTGATCTATACGGCGAGACACCTCGCGATAGCGTACGGCGACCGCGTCCGCATTGTCACTATAGGCTATCATGAGGAATGTACTTCCCATTATCTCAAATTTCTTTGGACGGACCTTGATGTATAGCGAGATTGAGATGGAGTCCGCACTGTCACAGCTTACTGTCGTAAGTACTGGTGAAGAATGAAGAATATTATCCGTCTTCTCCATTATGTCCGTAAGTGATATGGCGAGATTGAGACGACGAATTGCCATAGCTCGCAACATGGCTGCACTCGTGGAGAATCTTCTTAAAATGAAATGAAATTATTTCATTAAGGTTTGTCCAGGGTAAAAATATAACAGGTAGCTTGATGGAGACACTTTGACATGTTTTCAAATTTCATTTTAGGACTTCGATATAAAAGAAGAGTCAAAGGCAGAATTCGGGAGCTGGGCGAATGATAGCCGATCACAGACCAACTTTGTGAAGACTTCCGAAACGTTGAACCTGAAGCAAACGCAGCAGCGGGCGAACGTGCTGTCCACCGCGATATTTGCGGAAGGTGAAGCTCTTGGTCTTAGCGCCGAACTCTGTCAAGACCTCGCCGTTTGTTTGTCGGGGCCCAGGGTCAAGACCTTATCGTGGGCCACGGATAGGTGAGATGTCATATCTTTATTACATTTAGTGGGATATTTTAAATCTTACGTTTCGTCAGTATTAAACAAATAATATACTGTAGAATTGTATAGAACCGTGAAAGAAAAAATATTAAGGGAAGTCAGTTAATAATTGTATTATAAGATTATTAGTAGTAGTATGTTGTTTGGGAATATATTTTTTTATTTTATAAAACACAAATGTGTATATATATATATATGTGCTTAAGTAATAAAGGATTTATTATTATGATAGTTTGCGTACTGTAAATGATAAATAAAAATAAAACTATATGAGTTGCTTATATAGGTACTAAAGGTAAAAAATGTACATTGATTCGAACCATCAATATCGCGACGAATGCATAAATTTATTCACAATAAATTAATTACTACATAAAATGCATCGCATTGCTGGTATAATAGTATAAGTACATTGTCAAGAATATATTAATTAGGACACTAATAATAGAGCCTTTTTTCTGAACTTTACGAGTTCTTTTAAACTATATTTACAATAGATCTTTTATTTTCATGATAGAAACCAATGGAAGGCGCTGGAGGACGACAGTGCCAAAAGGTGCAACTTCTCTTCTCTGTTTAGTACTCACAGTTCACAATTGACTTGAACTTGTCTTCCCGTTTTATAAAATGCCTTCCCCTCTTTCTCTTTCCGTCTCTAGGATACAATTCTGTTATTGTTTGATTCGTGCGCTAACAATGATTATAATAATTCCAGAGAGCAACTGCTAGAGAACTGCCGCTCGTACATGGAGCGCACAAGCGGCGGCACTCGCGCCCTCACCACGGAGCTCAAGTATCTCAATCTGGATCCCAGTGCCTACGAACACTTACCGGAGGAGGACGACGACGAGAATGACATATATTATGGGATTGAGAAAGGTAACATTTGTTTTATTTTGGAAATAACAGACAGAAAACAGTCAGTTACGTTTTAAGAATGTACATGCACCACATTTATTTTGCTGGAAATCCTTTATTGCATGTAAAGAATTTTGGGCTTCAGTTTGTATAAAAAACAGGACATACACTAAGAGTTTTTATATTTAGTGGTCAAAAAAAAATTTTATTAATAAAATTTTATTTTTCACCGCTAAATATATTAGCGGCCAAAAGTAAAATCTTATTAAAAACATATTATCGAATTTATGAGGAAAATTGTTAACTACACAAATCATTCATACGAATTTTAAGTACTGTTACCAAGACTTATTTTTTTTTTAAATTACATTCTTAGGTTACGAGCATCTAGTAGAGTTTCAAGAACCCGAAGAGATATGGCAATTTGACCCTGAAGAGACTGAAAGTGCTTCTAGTAATATTGAAACAGAATGTATTAATATTAAACGGCGTAAGAAGAAAAAGCGCCTTATATTCATGTCTGAAGAAGACACTGACCCCTTAAGTCTCACATCAGAAAACAAAGAAACTGAAAAGAAGAAAGAACGACCTCACAGTAAAGAAAGAAGTAATAAACACAGAAAAAAGAAATCTGAGAAACATCCTAAAAATGAGGAACATAATTGTGAGAGGTTGAAAGATAACTCTCAAGTTAAAGAGAAGAAAAAGGAAAAGAAGACTAAAAAGGAGAAGGTATCCAAAGAACAAAAGTCGAGTTCTCTAACTAGTCTTATCGGCATCAAAGTCTCCAAGTTACCAGCTCCAGTAAAGACGGAATCTGAAACTAAACTGATAATAACTGATAGTGATTATGACAGTCAAGGAAAATCTTCTATGACATCTGTCAACTCTGAAGGCAATGATTCAATCGTCCTTTTTGATGGGTTGTTCTCAATGGATGATTATAAATCTCCTGAAAGAAATAATCCACTGATTGATAAATTTACTCTTAATAATAGTGAGTTGAGTAATGTACAAGAAGATGAATCATTAAATGAACATACAAAGGCGGCAACGAAGATTACTCTGGAGAAGTGTCAATCATTAGATATTGCGACCAGCTCTACCCAATTGTTGGCACCTACATCATTGACTATCGTAAAGCCACAACCTAATATTAAAACAGAAGCTTCTCAAATACAACTACAAGAAGCTGCTAAAGTTAATGCTGCCAGGGAGGAAGTAAAGAAAAGTATTAAAAAATTATTGGACTTCAGACGGCAAAATTATTCCAATGATAATATTTTTATTAGTTGCAACCAAAGTATTAACTGTGATAAAATTGACAATGTTCCACAAAGTGCTAAGGCTATTACTACACAGGATTTTCCATCACAATCTTTTGTTAGTCCAAAAGCTGTTGCAGTTCCTACTATACCGAAGGTATATATAAATAAGAAACAAACAGAGGAGCTAAATGAATTAAAACAAAAAGTTAACAGTTTCATACATATGAATAATGCTGCAAATACTTTACAGTGGGATGAAAAAGTTACTGTAACTAAACCCTTACAGAATACAAGAAAAGCCATGAGGACATCAATTAGTGATTTGGACTATGTGGATACTGCAATGAGTGCTAATAATTACAGTGACAGTTTGAAATCTACTTTTCAAAACAAAGTTGTTTCTACTGCTAGTAATAGCGATCGAGCAAATGTATTGAATAAAAATAAGCAACATAGACCGACATGTAATAGTAATAATGTACTTGGCCAACAACATACTGCATGTTCTGAATCACAAGAGCAGAAAAATTTTCAAGACTTTCTTAAAGAATTACAACAGACTATAAATGCAGGCACTAGTCAAAACTTGGCAGAAATGCCACCAGTTAGTAATTCGAGTGGTACGGCTAGAAAACAATTAAAGCCTATGAGCAAAGTTACACCTTTAATTCCTAATACTAATAGGCAACTTCAGTGTGCTGTAAATTCGCAATGTGCCAAACAGATAGTCCACCCAAAGAAAATGGAGCATGCACCAAATACTTTCTCGCGTCTCAGTTATATGCATAAACATAAACAAAGTGATGCTAAACTAAAACAAAATGATATGAATAATCGTCAAGATCATCTGTTAAAAGAATCCTCCATAGACTTAGCTCGGCGTATAGCTGAAAGTAATAATACTAATCTGAGGTACCAACAAACAAATAAAGATAGCACAAGAACTGTACGTGGTCAAAGTGTAAAGCATAATTCAAATGTATATTATAATCGAAATTTAGAACCACGATCGTCTTTAGTTCAAGATTGTCCTATAATGTCTAATATACTACTTTCAAAGCCAAATAAAAAAAATAACTTTCTTAGCACGCCCACAAATAAACAAGTTACCAGAGATGATAATTCATCAAAACTGACAACTAGGAATTTAGAACAGCCGAGAATCAGTGTTAATTCTCCTACAATGAAATCTTATCTCTCAGAAAAAGATCAAAATGACCTAATATTACTGTTGCGACAACAAAACCGAATAAATGCAGGAAGCTCAATGTCTAAGATAGAAACCAGTGTACATAAAGACGAATACAAATCCTCTATCAACGGCATTAATCATATATCTACAAAAACATATGGTTCATATAATTCAATAGTTACTGACCAGAGCAACAACGTTCAGCAATATGTGGGACAAAAAGTTAAAACTACAGTATTACCAAAGGTCGTTGAGGTATCAAAAAATAATTCATCTAGTAAAATATTAGAAACTAAATCGATCAAGACTAAAGGCGAAAGGGTTTCTACTTGTAGTAACAATAAACGGAATGTAATCAAAAAGACACCAATCACGAAGGTTAAACACAATTCTGTGAAATCTGAACAAAAGTCACGAAATATGACTTCATCACCGCAAGACTGGGAAAGTGTCATGAACGCTATTCGAGCACAAAAAACTCCAAGTAGAGATCCAAGTGCACTGGAAGTTAAATTGAAAAGAGATAATGAAAACAATCTACGAAATCAAAGGATAGTGAGAACTACTTCTACACCTAAAGACAGAAAATCTCCAAATACCTGTCATATTAATCAAATGTCAAATAAAACTAACACACCAGAGATATGTAGCTCTCCTGTAATTCAAGGCATGCATATTGCTCAGACTACTCATTTGGAAGTTCAAAAGAAACAGCAAGTTTTTAAAAATACTGTAAACCCACCTAAAAAATTGCCGTGTGAACAGAAAAAGCTATTAAGTCACGAAACAGCATATGAAAAAGATCCATTCATATCTGGACTAGAAAATTCCGATTATGATCTGCTGGAGGAATTGATGGATGATGAACTGCGTCAAGAAATTAGGGAATTGTCTTCAGATGACGAGTCTTACACTAGAATGTTACTACCGAAGGGCAATAAACTCACTGGTACTGAGAATAATGACATTAAGAGCCGGTCGATATCATCTCACCAAAAAGACAAAACTGTGGCTATGGATTTGAAATCTAATCAGAATATATCTAATAGATTACTGAATTGTAGTGAGCCCATGCAACGAACTACTCTCAAAACTAATTATCATACTAAACCATTAATAGATTCGTCATTATCGTCATCAAGAGCGATGACAAATAGAAACTTACATATTCATACAGACAAAGTGGAGAATAGTAAAGGTTATTGTAATATCCCTACTATATTGAACAATATAAATCATCAATCTGACGAGTCTATGCCTACTAATGGTAGTAAAAAATGTGATTTTCTTGTTAAAGATAACATTGTGAAGAACCAGACATCAGATTCAGGGAATATTTTTATTACTCCAGTACCACAACAAGCACAGTCTGCTGTACAAAATGTGTTACTTATAGGTTCAGACATGTTCTACGATCCATATGCTGTTTCAACTAGTTTACAAAGTACGGCGCCTTATGTTTTACCAAACAATGCGCCAAATATTACTCTATATCATACAACACAATTTACTACTCCTGATATTAATCCAGTTGCTGTGACTAATACTATTGCTACATTGCCTTTAAGTACACAATCTGGTGCAATATCTTCGTATAATATGCCAAGTATTTCATCGAGTCAACCTTATGTAACACCGTCAATGAATCTGACCGATAGAAGTATGATTACAAATCAGGGCACAACAAGAGACAATAATATCGTTTTGAAAACTAATCACAGGCCAGCAAGTGATTGTCTGCTAGCAAATACGCGTTCTAAATTAGAAAATAAAAATAATTTAGATATAAACTCTAACAGGAGTTGTGAAAGAAAAGTTTTGTCCGAAGTACAGGATAAACAGAAACTTATGACTGTAGAAAAAAGTGGCAACAAAATTTTAAAAAATCAAAGGCAGTCATCAGATGATGACAAAACAGCTCTTAAATCTGAAGGAGTTGATGACAATAGTAGAATATTGAAGAATGAAAGAATAGAAGTTACCGATTATTTACTAAACGAAACTGTGAGTGATCATGCAAAGGCAGAAGCTAGAATGACTGTAAAACATAAGTCAAATGATACCTTGTGTTTAAATGAAATTTTAAGACTGCCAGAAATTAGTGATGATACTTGTAAATCAAATAAACAAAACTCTATTGACAATGACCTACTTAAAATATCTATGACAAAATTGAATGAAACAAGTGATACCAAAGAATCTTCAGTATGTCAAAATATATCAAGTTGTAATAAAATAGTACAAAAACATTTGATGGATCACGAAACTACTAAGAATAATATAAATCTATATAATGTTGCAACAAGAAAAGACAATGTAAGAGACATTAATGATGCTGAGAGACTCAAAAAGAAACGTTTGGCTATTACGACTAGGGAAATAAATAATTCGTGTTATTATCCACCTATTCCTCTGTCTTATATTCCATTGAATATAGAAGACGGGATTAAGAAAATGTTTCAAGTTAATACAACTCACACTGTTACTAAAGAAAATTCTTCTGACTCTAATATACGGGAAGAATATTGTACCAATTTACCCAATACTCAACCACAAGATCAAGGATTAAAAAATGAAAAGTGTAATGAAAATAAATCTATTCAATCAGATTGTCCGCACATTAAATTGAGATCATCTAACAAAAATGTAGAAAATCCTACTAATTTAAACATACCCTCAGTTAGGAACAGAAAAGTAAGACTGAAAAGTGATGTTACTGCTGAAAATGAACAAAATTTTTGTGAGAAAATCGAGATGCAAAATAATTTAAGCAAGAAGAAACCAACGATAATAAGGAAACGAACATCGAAAAGGATTGTCGACAAAGAAACTACTGTGAAATCTGATATAACAGCGCATACATCAGTAAATAGGCCTCCAGCGAAAAGTATGTACCCAATTATTGGAGGCGAACAAAATATATCTGTCGATATACGTAATTCACATGACATTGAGGACAAATTATTACGTTCAAAAATACCAAATACAAAGCTAAAAGATATACTACATGAACCTACATTTTTGTCGCAACAACCAGTGGATATTGAATCATCTAATTTAATTAAAAGTACTACTATAAAAGAATTAACTACCTCAACATATACTAATGAAAATAATGAAACGTGTATAAAGTTAAAAATAAAAACTAAATTATCTGAAGAGATGCAAAATGATAATTTAGTTCACCATGAAGGAGAATGTAGAGTGGCCTCAAAATTAAGCGAAGATCAAGAAAATTATGAGGCTATAACAAGTGTAAATTCTGATATCGACTTTCAAACATTACTTGCTGATAGACAAAATCAGAAGAGAAATGCAACAGTCTGTCATCAAGGTACCGATCGTGTTATGTCTTCTGATAAAAATAATAAAACAAACGAGTTTGTTAATCCGAAAGAAGTAGGACTTCCAGAAATAATTTCTGTTCGACGTCTAAGGAAAGGAAGTACTGACAGGGTTTCTAAATCATCAGTTGTTAAAAGTATTGAACCAAAAATTAAGTCAGCAATGGGATGTCGCAATAAGAGTTTTAAAAGTGATATGAAGTTACGAAATAAAACTATTGCCAAAAATATGGCCACCGCCAATGAAGATATAGCTGTTGCACGTACAGTCCATAGAAATAACTATAGTGGTACACCGGGTCTAAAAACTTTTAATACTTCATTACCCTACTCAGAAAAAATAGAATTGCCAATAAAGGACAAAACAATTAGAAGTGACGACATAACATTTATTGACTGTATGCTGCCAAAGTCAGATGAAGCAACTCCAAGAAATATCAGTCCATCATTGCTGTGCTCAGAAAAAATGGAACTGTGTAGTGACGGTGAATACAACAGGACTGAAATCTCCTCTAGGAAAACGATAGATAGTTATGAAACTACTAAGAATTGTAGGTTATTTAAAAATAATACTGAAAACAAAACTGTTCCCAAAAATATCAGTTCTTGTTTATCATCAGTGGAAGCTAATGTTACTAATACAGAATTTATGGGTAATACGTTGCGAAAACCTAGAGAAAATGTTGTAGACTACACTCAAACATCTCAACCCAAGTTACCTATCTCTCAAACAAATAATCAATGTTCTCTAATTGAAAAAGAAAAGATATCTACTGAATTGCTATGTGCTGACGATCACACAACAAAATTAACCAATCAAAAACCTGTTCCTCAGTTAAATTCTAATAATCAAATACAGGCATCTCAAGATACTATTGATTTCTCATCTGTTCCAGAATCATTGAAAAGAAATGTGATTATTGAGGAATTACAAGATCAAAACATGAATGATTCGAATAAGAAATGTGTGCGTGTTAAGTTACCTAATGGTAGAACATTTAAAGCCACTATTTATGGAAAGTTATATACCGATTTCGAATCATTATTTTCAGATCCAGTCATGAAATCCATGTTATTGAATAACATTGCAGATAATAAACGATATACATTAAATGTTAAACAAGTTACAACTCCAAAAGGAGACAATTCGAAAAGTTCTGCAATATCACATATTGAAGAAATTGCAATGCATTCGAAGCGTCTTCTGAAGGAAGTTGAAACCATAAATTTACTTAGCGATGATGAAGATGACGCCACATGTTTTGAATTTCAAACAGAATTCGGTCGCTATAAAACATCATTAAAAGATAAAAAAATGTTTGAAATACATCAAACCAAGTTTGGTCAAAAATGTTGTGTTACATTAATTCGATATCAACCAACAAAAACACCCACTAAAATTATCTCTAACACTAGTGATCAAAATTTAGATGGCAATTTATCGCCAACTTACAATTTTAACTCTAACACGGAAAGGCACGAAATAGTAACAACTGATATTTCAGATAATGCGGTGACTGTTATACAACAAGATAATAGAGAGTCTTTACAAGAAAAATGTAACGTAAGTAATGAAAATTCAGATATAATAGAAGTAGATGATTCGTCTAATGATAGCATAGATATATTAAAAAATTGTCCAATTCTTTCCATGGATGTCGTAACTGTTGCACAAGATGTCGTTCAACAATTGGAAAATGTTTCTGTGCATGATAATTTTGAGGCTGATACTGATAAGAATATTGCTATTATTAACAATGTTCAGGAAAATTGTACGGAAAAGGATTCCACGTTACAATCGATTGTTCAAATAGATAGACAACAAGATGTTTACTTATCTTCAGCAAAAACACGTGAATGCGTCGTATCACTTTCAAAATGCGATGATCTTGTTAGTAAGTATTTAGATGTCAATAGCCGAAAATGTTTTATTAAACTTGTTAGATATGACTCACTAGTTAAAAATGTGAAAGTCCCTTTAAATCACAATATAACAGATGACACCATGGATGTCTTAATGGATGCTGAAGATTTTATTCCAGTTTCTGTTTTATCTGTACCTAAAATGATTCGTAGCGAATCTTTATCAATTCAGAATGACTCTTCAAAATATGATCATACTATATATACCAATGAAACTGCCATTCAAACGCCAAGATCTACTTCACCTGTTATTGATGTTTTTGAGACTATAGTTGCGTTGGAAGATTATCAAGATGTTGTTGAGAAAGGGAATAAGAATGATCAGCCTACAGAAAACATAACTTGTGATTGTGAATGGTTTATCTCAAAACGCCAGCTTAGCATGATAACTTTTTTGACCAATAGAAATTCACATGAGCAGTGTTTGCAAACTGCTATCAAAATAAACATTAACCAACATAATTATAAAAACGATTTCCTAAGAGACAAAAAACTATGTGATCAAAGTATGGTACGTGAACAAAGTGACATTTTACTAAAACATACAGGTAATCGTTCTCAATATAAATATGATATTAATAAGCCGTCTATAATTTACAAGGTACCATCTCTAAAACATCTTACGACTTCATATTTCCAAATTAATCCAGTTGTTAAATTAATATGGCCCACTTGTGATGATACATCTGCAATAAAAGTTGTCACTACACATAAACTGAAAAGAAAATCTCATTATAGTGATAGTACTGCTGTAGCTAACAAAGTATTAAAAATTAGTGAAAATAAAGCCCATTGTTGGAAAGGCATCCACTATTTGGATAATAAAACATTTCGTGATAAACATTATGAAAATAATTACCATTATCCGGCAACTACTGGAAATTGCTCTTATAATTTATTAATAGGACATTGTAAGAAAAGCGAAAAACATATCGAAGACCATATAATAACAGCAATCGAAAGAGAAAATTCCAAAGAAACGCCTGCTACAACAGTCTCGAAAGATGAAATAATAGAAAATCTTAATAAAATACAAGATAAAATTGTTGTACTACCAAAAATACACAATACCAAAAATAGTGACTTCTTCAAAACAGATTTGGTGATTGAAAAAGAAGACACCTTATTAAATGATCATGCTGAGAAATTATTAATAAAATCTGAAACAAAAGTACATGACCATAATAAAAATCATAGTGATTTACAATACTTAGCCAATACAGATAAACACATTCAAAATGATGTAAATTGTGATCCCAACATGTATAATCCAACTACCAGAATAACCAATCAGTCTATGTTTCATAAAATGCAACAGAATGTTAAAAATATCGAAATAGGGTCACATGAACACAAAATAAACGACGACCCTTTATGTTCATCGGAACATAAATGTTCCGAATTTACTGAATTAATAAATATACAAAATTCTCTAAATAATGATAATAAAATTCATAAAAGTAAGAAAGATATACCGATAAATGAAGAATCAAAAACTCTAAACGATGTGAATGAAAGTAATTCAGAAATTAATAATGAGAAACCTACGTTATTGGATGCCAAACATATATTAAATAGTCCTGAAGTTCAACTTGAAAAACTGTATTCATTATTATTAGACCATGAATACATTGGAGAATTTAATATTACAAAAAGAGAAAAGGAAAGTAGTATTCACGAAATAGAAGAAAGTACCGTATCCGAAAATATATCAAAAAACATTCAGCCACAGAAAGATAATAGATCTAAAATTAATAATAGCGAAAATAGCTATCAGAATAGTTCGGATAAAATCCTACTCTTACGTGAGGAAGATCCAAGTGTGGTTCTGGAAGGTGTTGAATTTGAAGATCCAGTTGTAGGCACATGCTACGTATTTCCTATAGATGAAAATTCCACTGCAAGCAGTGGAAATAACGTGTCGAACTATACTAGAGAAGAAATTATTGAAATGATCCAAGAAAATGTTTCAGGTTCAGACGAAAACATAACTTCATATAGTGAATCACAGTTGGAAGTGATTGTTCCAAAAAATACATATTCCAATGCGATATACAGTGACGAATCGAATTTGGAAAACGTGAAACTAAAAAGAAATCTGAAACGTAAAATAGACGTAGGGGATGGAAAACATAGTGAAAAAAAATATAGGAAAGGTAAAAATATAGATTATCCTAAAATCACAGCAGCTGCCATTATTGAATCGGGATATAGTAAAGAATATAAACGTTTGTTTGATTACTTCAGCTCTTTAAAATTTTCCTATTCCCGATCATTTCTCAAAGAACATATTGACGTATCTGATATGATTAAAGATTGGCCTATAGCGGGAACCTGTGCTGAGAATTCTGCTATCTCTACTAGTCCAGAAGATTGCTATTTATTTTCGGATTCTAATCATGTGCCTACTTCTGTCTATAGCCCTTTTAATCAAACTTTGTCAGAAGAAATTGATGCTGAATATATTGAAATTAATACACCTATTAATGAGAATGAAACCAATTTCAAAATGGGTTTTGGTGAGGGGTCCGACAGAGTCATGCAAAATTTAGAAGATATTATTGTTAGTGATTATTTAAAAGTTTCGGCTGCGACTCTGTCGGACGTAAAACACCCTCAGCCGTTTGTATTTTCCGAAAAATATGATGATTATGCAGACAATTATTACAATGTAAATAATACACCAAATTATCGATTAGATAAAATGAACCATTATACTTCATACGTCAATTTACATGACCAAGTGCAAGAATTTTTTAAGAAAACCACGATCGAAAATGATCAACTGGAAAAGATAAACCGTTACATGTCACATATTAAATTACATGATAAAGTACAATCATACTTCAAGAAAACCACAATCGAATTAAAATATGATTGGATTAAGGAAAATAATAAAGATATATTCGACGCTCCAAGTTTTCCATTTGATTTCTATGTTCATGATTTTATGAAACCTTCACCTATTGATCCAATCGTTCAAGTAGTTCAAGTGGGCCAATTACCGGTTAGCGCTGGCGCACAGAATCCGGTAACTTGTGACCCACGCGTTACTCAAGTATCTAATGCAAGTCCGTCGCAGTGCTCAGTGGAAAATAGCCCACGTGATGACTCACAGACGGTTATTAAAACCGAATATACAGAATTAACAACAGCTAATTTAACTCTACCAATAGTACAGGATTATGGTCAACATAATCAATCTGTACCTATCGAATCACATGAAGTATCCAACTTGCAAACGACTGATGAAAATATACCAATTGAAACAGAAATAAAACCCGTAGTAAAAATCGAGTTAGAGGAAGAGTTACCTGAAGATAAAGATGAAGCAAATGAATGTCAAGAAAATAGCCAGTCTCTGAATCAGACAAATAATCATGTAAATGATATTGACTATGCTTATGACGGTGATAATGGTAATGCGTGTTTAGATGATCCAAATATATATAATATAGGTGAAAAGGAGTCTGTTTCTGAAACTTTTTCTCAAAAATCTGAAAATTCTGGTTCCGAAAAAACTGATCAAATAGCACATGCTATGAATGCTGCTGGAATAACAACTACGTCAGAAACTATTGCGGATAGTACAGCACATGCATTGGTTAACATACTCTCTCAAAAAATTGGTCAGAGCACAGTAGCTCCTGCCAATACTCAAACAACAACAAATAGTTATCCTAAAGCGACGTCAATAAACGCAATGGCACTTCAGCAAGCTTTAGCTCAAATTCTACCACCACCATTAAATCAGACGAATATGTCTGAAAATAATACACAAGCATCAAATACTCAAGTGACTCCTCAAGTCTTGCATATTGTTCAAGGCAAAAATGCATCAGGAAGCCAAATAACATTAGTAGATAACAGTCAACAGTCTGTTATAAGCACTCCTAGTGCTACTCCTGTATTGCATATTGTACAAAATAAGGCTGGTACAGCAGGTGCCACAGCAAATGGTACCTCTGGATCTCAGTCAAATACATTTAGTGGCCTATCATTAGTCGATACAGGTCTTCAACAAGGAGGAAATCAACTACTGCATATCGTGAATACCGGAAATCAGAAAAACAGTAATGCTGGACAACTTCTTAAACGAGTGAACCTTTTGACTAATCTCGCAAATGTTCAAGGTTCTAACGAACAAAAGATGGTGCAGTTTGTATGTAAATCTGCGGACGGTAAAGCGATTCAGTTGAACGCTCCGCACCAACGAAGTATGGTTCTTAGGCTACAACCAATCGAGAGTCCTAATATCCAAACAAATTCATCAAAACCAGTTGAACCCCAAGATATGAATACACCTCAATCAATTGCCTCTACAATACCTAATAAAGATAATATTAATTCTCAACAAGAAATAAAATCACGTTCAGTTTATGAAGAGAATTACGCAAAATTTATACAAAATTCATCCAGCAAACCCACTGTTGGCGAGAAATCGACTACTTTACCAAAGTTCAATCAAGCATTTGGCAAACCTGTATTCCAAGATGGCAATCAAAAGTCAAATGAAATTAATGTTAATAATCTTGCCTCTATAAATACTGGAACTGAAAATTCAGATTGTCCACCTGTTGTTGATAATTCTGTAAACCTAGAGCACATAGGGCAAATAGGTAGCCCACCATTACTGTTGAGAAAATCACCTGCTCAGACTTCGCAGGCGCAACCCAATTTGGTTCAGCAATTAAAACAAACAATTGGCCCAATGAATATCCAAACAATGCATGGCGGAGTTATATACACCCGCCAAATCCCCGTTAACATAGGTGGCGGGCAAACAATAAATCTAATAACGGTACCTAGTACAGAGTTAATGGATGATTCAGGTCAAAAACAACAAACCGATGTTAAGTTTGTTAATCAGGGTGAAATGGAACCGTCAATAATCAAGATTGTTCCTCAAACCCAAACGACATCTAATTCTGAAATTTCTGCAGAAGATAACGCTCACATGGGCGTTACCAACGAATCTATGCAAAATTCACAACCTGTTTTAACACAAATGCGAATAAAATTACCTATGTTGAGTAAGACTCCACAAATGGTATCCGGCACAAGAGTCGTAAGACCGTCATTTTTCCAGATTCAAAGAAATGTCATTGGAGGTGCAAACCAACCTGTTTATCAGCAGTTGGTACTGACAGCTGCTCCGCCGCTTGGCCAACAAACTATACGATTGCCACATTCACAGGTATCCAGACAAATTAAAGTTCCTTCGGAAAATCAATCGACGGAATCTCAAATGAGCTCTTCTACACTTGAACAGTTGCGCGAATTTGATATGGTTCTTGAGCAAGTAAAGGAAAGGAGCACTGTACAGCCTAATGCGACATCGAATAGTAGTTTCGCAAAATTGCATACATCATCAACTGAAGTCACTGATAATGGCGTATCCGTCAGTTCTACTCTTACGGAACCTACTCAAGTACTGTACTCTATTGGAAACAATCAACCACTGAATGTAGCATACGTTAATAGAAAAGCTACAGTAACCACTCCAATCACATCTGCCTATGTACGATCACCCGATTCGACAGGTATAGTCGATTCATCTACACCCTCGTCTCACGTACAAATACCTCATACGGTTACCGCGAGGACCTCACCAAATGAAATAACTCATCATCCGAAACCCGCCAAGATAGGATCTAAATCGAAATCTAGACCGAAGTCTTCACATCTTCCTAGTTCAATGAAGTTAAATACTGTACCAACAAAGACATCAACACAAAAACCATTAGAAGACGAACAGACAACACAAAGAATTCTCTACATATTGGCTGAATATAAGGAACAAGTAGAGAATTCTCCAGACAAAGATAAACCAGCACCACGTAGAAGATCTAATCCACCATCTAATCCATCTGGGTCTTCGAAACGTAAGAAAAGTTCGAGCAGTTCTCGCCGACCAGGTGTACGCGATTTAAGTCCTGTTCATGGAGACGACACATGTCGTACGATGGGTTCTGAAGATAGTAGTTGTGGAACGTCGCAGGGCGACTGTAATGAAAGCTGCCTAGAAAGTCATTCTCCTCAAGACAGTCCCCGTAAAGTAGTGCGAAAACTGACATTTGAACCAGAAACACCACCTGCGCAGCCTCGTCCACAACCGCAGCGAAACGTGATAGTAGCGGATGGACAGACGATTACCGTTGCTAGAGGGACAGCAGGAAAACCAACGACGGCAGTACTAATGCCAGCAAATTACATCTTACCTGTGTCTATGGTTAAAGGGGGTCAACAAATAGCCATAGTAACTAACCGCGGGCCGAAACTATTGACCGTTGGAGGTACAGAAGGAGGTACAACCAATGCGTTACTGTTACAGCGATTAATAGGCCCAGCAGGTTTAAAACCTGTACTAGCCCGGCCTGGTGTGCGACATGTGAGATTACCTACAGCGGCGCTTCACAATCTTCAAGCATTTAACTTAGCTGCTGCTACAGCTGTCCACCCACCTAACAGTACAGCGTCACCAGCACCAGCCGCTACCCCTCCGGAACTGGTTGAGACTAGAGCAAATAGTTCTCCGTGGACTGATAGGGAGTCTCAAGAAGTGAAACCAGAAAGGGGCTCGAGTCCGGAAGGCTCTGAACCCTGGAACCTCCACACAGCAGCTGATCCACACGACTACACTTATGAGGAGACTGCTAGAGCTGATAACTTGGACCGAACAGTTCTTGTAAGTATTAAACATTGTATTATTCGTATTTAAGCCCTCAGATCTTAAAACAGTCACGACGCTGTAATTAATTTGAAAAGTGACATGTAGCTGAAAGACAGCTGTCTGTATACACATTTTGAAACTTCAGGATCCGATCCCAGATCGATACAGTCCCGATATGGAAGCGCAAAGGATATTTGATAAGATGTTCGACGTAGACTCAAAAAAGTCTTACATCGTTGATTCGCACGACGATTCGCCGCGTGGCGGTTACGATATTGACACGTCAGATTGCGACGATAAGGCCTACCACCAGGTGATCTATCGTAGAGCTGGCGCTGGTCGTTCAGATTTAGTATGCCTCTTTAGTAGTCCTGCACGCCCCGATTTTTATTTATTTCCTCTTCGTTCGGTGTTGACGTGCCTTATTGTTGTCGATATGCTACGGATAATGTAAATGCGACATTTTTTCTCATTATGGAATTGAAGCAAATAAATATATAATATTTGCTGTAGCTTACATGAAGGCACGCACTAATGGTGTTCAAATGCGTGCGTCTTAGAAAGATAGTCGTGGTGCCTTATTAAGAAATTTATTCAAGCTGTTGTTCGTTACAATATATACGGTTACGGTTTTTTCATTCGGCCTTTCTAGCGTGGTATAACTTGTACTTTTGTATTTTTGCCCCGCTCAACGTCTCGTTGCCTCACACCCGCGACGTGTTATGGCGTGGCTTCTACGTTAAATTGCGCAACACATATTGCTTGCTTAATATGACGTATTAATTTCTATACGCTTATTGTCAATCGTTGCAAGATTTCGCGTTTAAATTTTAGTGGGCATCCCACCACCCGAACGAAGAACGGAACTGTCTAGGTCTCTACTTCCCGCCTCCCCTGTTCATTTAATTCTGTACTATTTGTAATTAGGCACCGTTTCAATTTCGGAAAGGTCAATACGGAGTTTTCTTTCGGTTTATTCTCTAGTCGATCAGTATTAAAGGTGTTTTAAATGTTTTGCCCTCTCATTCATAAAAAACTAAAATGAAAAAGCGAATATATTTTAGCTATTAGTGTTTTGTTATTTTCTTTCAAATTAAGAGCTAATACTGAATAGTATGGAAGAAAAGGACATAACGGTTAATAGTTAAAATAAATTTACTAGACGGTTTATTGTTTTTTATGAATATTTAATTTGGTTTTGGTGTAAATTGGTTCAATTTGGAATATGTTATTTTTGCATGTTGAAGGTACGTCTTCTGTCCCCATCATCGAGTATAACCTGCATCATTCTCGTGCATGGCCCTGTCATTATTCTCATCGTAATTGAAACATTATTCTTCATTTATTATTTTGATATAAAAAAAGTTATTTTTATTATAAATAATTTAATTAAATAAAATGATTCTAATTTGGGGCGTAACGGGCTTGCTTCGTTGCGGTCAACTTACTTTGCTGAAACATCATCGTATGTAGACATTAGATTATGAATCATCAATTTAGCTTTGCTTGAAATAAATGTAATTTTAAATAATAAAAATGTTTCTAAATTTAATTCTAATTGTTATAAGTGTTATAAATAGTCATTGTTCTCAAGAGCAGCGTGAAAAACAATGAATTAATGCAATTTTGTATGATATAGATTGTGCACAAGAAAGACGGTTCTGCGCAGAGGCAGCATAGATTGACACATGTTTCGGCGGCGGCTCTGAGACACAAATACGCCATTTTGGAACATGAATTGAGACTTCAGGTTAGTTTTATTTATTGGATTAACATATGTGTAATAAAAATGTTACTGATAGTTGTCTGTACTAGGAGATATATGAGAAAAAGTATTATGAAAAGACTTTATCCTACCTAAATGAACTGAAAACAATGATTGTTAGAATCGGTGATTATTCCAATAGGGTTACAATGAAAAAGATTACACAATTACAAAGTCTATGGTTCAGTAATATAATAGTCGCTTAGTGGTCAAAATTTAAGCAGTAATAGTAGTATTTTTATATAATATAGAAATTCCTTAAAACAATGTCCATTCAGCTACCTATTTCGGCCACCTAACGGCTTAGTATGATGTAGTTCGGTTGAAAGGTGAGATACGGCAGTGAATTTATACGATACTATTGAACACTACCAGTTTTAAAAATCGGTTCAGCAGATCCAGGGATTACCCTCCCCCTACAACACAATCTTTATAATATTAGTATAGAAGTATTCCGTAGTAAAAATTATATATTTAAGGATGTATATCACTAGCTGTGCTCGCGACTTAGTTCGCGTGGTTATTAAAAACACATTATACATATTTTTTGGTTAACTTGAACTATTTACGAAGCACGCGCTTTTCAAAAATGTATAATACAAAAATGTTCACTGATACTTCGATTATATTGGTCGTAGCGCATTCAAACAAACAAACAAATTCATAATATTAGTACATTAGTATAGATTTGACTAGTACACAAACTCTGCATAGCTTGGGACTAGACGACGCTGTGTTAATTTCAGTGTTTATTATTATTATTATATATAAAATGTATGTACAGAAATCACTATCGGAGGAATGCGAGGACCTGGGCGTGGACTCGCCGTCCGCTTCTGACTTGTTCCCTGAGGCTGAGCTGCTGTTTGCCGCCTCACCAGCACACGACCACACGCAGGACCAAGGTCACCACTCGCACACGCGTTAGTATTTTTTTTAATACTAGCGGTCGGCCAGATGTTGACTTTCGACCATAATTAATTTAACATTCAGTAATACTGTAGACAAATAATAATAAAGACAATAAATCTTATATAAATATCATTATTCAGGTATGTCTGTTACAGACTCTTTATGTCAAATCTATTGCCAGTTCGGAATCAAAAGAGTTAAGAACTCACAAGAAATTCAGCTCATTAAGTATCTATGTATAAGTAGTCTCTAATTAATTATTTAAATATGAATTTCAAATGATCTTGTACATGATTATAAAAATTAACCTGTACAAAGTGTCGGAAATAGATCTACACGAGATTCTTTACGTTTATTAATATTTTACTGACTTAACGTTTATTATTTCTTTACTCTAATTAGTACAAATTCAGTACCAAAAACTTAAAAAAAAAAATGTTACAGTACTAATTTATACACATTTAATTACAGCTCAACCAACATTAATGAACCAGAGTGGTATACCTCAGCCGGATATAGATGACCAGATAGCTACAGATCAACTCCTCCCCCGTGATTCAATGGACCCGCAAGACCTGAATCTAGGGCTCGAAGATGTCGGCATAGTGACAGTCAGCGAGGATGGCATGCAAGCAACAATAGCGCTGGACCAGGAGGAGTTTGCTAGGTCCCACCCGAATACGACGTTTCATAGTGAACCAACTGAAGAAACTGAGGTAAGGCTTATAGTACTCGAAACAGACTGAGGCTTTTTTCATTTCTTATATTGTCCTAGTCTAAAAAGACTCAAGATGATTGTTAAGAAAGTTGTCTTATAAAGCTTATTAAAAGTCAGCTGCTGTTTCCAGGGTGGGTTTAGGAGCAGCACCCTCAGAAACATATAAAAAAAGAATTAAGTCAAATATATTTTTTCTTTTAATAATTATGCTACTATATAATTTTTTACTAATGTCTTAGAACTGAGAGGCAATCCTCCCCATTCTATTTGCTATCAAATGATAGTTAAAACTCTATATTAATTATAAAAAACATACAAATGGCGTAATGTATTAAATATCCGCTGATTGCACAAACATGTAAAAAAAATCTGCGAAGCATGAATGAATCTCTAAATCCAAATTTGTCAGATGTTTGTTTATATGCTATTTTGAACGAATAATATTGTCAACTGGCTGTACTGTGCTGGGATACTTCATTCATTAATGTCATAACATTTGAAGGTATTTAATTATAATAATGACAATTTGGCCTTTGATGCTAGAGGATAAATAATAAACATAATTATTTAGAATGTCATAAACAACATCATTATCATCATAATATCCAATTACCGGTCCAGCATAGGTCACTAAAACGATAATTGGATCTATTCACAGGAGAATTCATAATAACATTATTAATGCTTAAATATTTTAATATAAAAATCCTTTGCATAGTATTGGAAGTTAATAAAAACAGCAATTCGGGGTGTATTCTTAACTATTGTTAAAACGAGAGGTTTTTTATATAGTTGTATCTACATATACTATGCATACATAAAAAATACTCGTGATTTATCCGCCATCATTCTTTTCAACTTACGCGAACCAATTCGCGAGTTACAGTTAGTGTCAAATGAAAATTCGTATTTTGCAGGTTCATCCGTTTACGATAGCCGGACTCAAAGGTCGTCACATCACTTCAACTATATTTCATTCGAATCGAGCACCTGCGACAGTCCTGATGAGCACACCGCAGACAACTGTTATATCCCAAGCCACTGCCGAACCTAACGGTGTTCAGAACATCAAGTATACAGATATAGATAGCATGATACACGCACTACCCTCAAGTCACACCAATAATATTAATCTGTCGTCGGTGCTCGTGAAGGACGACGGCCTGACTCGATTCGACAGCATCTTGAACGATACTAGAGAACTGCATCTCACTAATACGGCATCCGCGATAGTCCACTCGACAGGAAACGCCACCCAAGTGATAAGAAGGGTGTGCTACGACGACGACAAGAGGGACCGGGACACCAGGTTCCTCCTGGACGACCCGGACGCCCTGATCGCCGGGGACGACGCGAAGATGATAGCCGAGGACAGCTCCAGGGACGCGACCCTCGAGTCGATGGCCGACGACGACGCCTCGTCCCCCGAACGGCACACCGAGCTGTTCTGGGAGTCGAACTCGGCGTCGGAACGGTCCGAGGGCCGACGGCCCCTAGACTTCAGCAGCGACAGCGACAAGTGCTGCAAGAGTCCGTCGTGCGACGAGACCAACTCGACGGACTCGAGCGGGGCCGGCCCCGCGAGGTGCTCGCTCGGGGCCCCGGCCGGCGCCCCGGGGGCGGCGCCGGGCGCGGCCGGGGCCCGGCTGCGGCTGCACTCGGTGATCCGGGAGGCGCGCTCGGACGGCTCGTCGGACGACGCGCCCCCGCTGCGCACCTACCCGCCCAAGAGGAGCCTGTCCGGGAAGACCCGCGCCGGGGAGCGCTCCCCGGACCGGCGGCGGCGGGCGTCCGGCCGCGGCGTGGTGAAGCGCGGCTGCCACTGCTGCAACGGGGAGCCGGCCCCGCCGCGCCCCAAGAAGCCGCGCCAGAGGAAGCCCGCCATGGACTTCGTCGACTAGGCGCCGACCCCGCGCCGCGCCCGCCCTCCACCGCGCGGCTGGTGCGCGCTCCGCACCCACGTTTTATAAATCGCGCATCGCGCCAGACTGACCTGCGATCTCCTTAATGTTGAGGTTCCACTTAGGTGTATAATATAATAAATTGTTAAAATTGTTTTGTATATAATTTTATATGTAACGAAACTGATATAATGGTAAGTTAGCAACTGATTTTTAAGTGAAACGTTTTGTTAATGTTTACTTACGTTTGAATTTAGTGGTTCCTCTTTAGGTGTTATTATTTTATGTTGTGCTGCTACTGGGTCACCTATGAGTTCAAATCGAAAGCGCCTTTTTTTTATTTCATTGTTAAACTTTACTTCGTGTAATATATTCGTATACATACTGTATTCATATATAATTGTATAATAAATGTGTATTATCTATAGGTTACGTCGGACGTAGGTTAAGTGTTTACATTAGTGTTTACAGGCCATACTCAAATATAAATCTAATCGTGTTTAGATATAGATGTGTTAATTAATTTGAGACATAGCCCTTCATAACAATGCTAGACTGAATTTAATGACGTTGTTTCTTAGTACGTTGCCATTTATTTCGAAACATATTTGTAATATTAATTTGTGTATTGTAATGTTACGCATAACTTAACTGTAAGTGACTTCCACGGGAACTGCACAAAACGGTGTTACGTTTCGCCGTCGAGCGATATTTTGAGATGGTGTTTATCTGAAATCGTAATTGTTCGGTGCCAATGTTGAAATCTTTGACGCGGCATTCGCGCTTCACATTTCCAAAGGTGTTATTTCTGTATTTAAATATATTATAACGTTTAATAGTAGCAATGTGTTAAGCTAGTGTGAATTTGATATCCATAGTGTTATATGTACATACATTTTTGTCCCCAACTGTTTAGGGGACCGTCTAGTCACTAAAACCTATATGATATAGAGTTTAATAATGTCTTTTGTAGACCCAGTGGGCTCTGAGACTCCATCGCTGGCTTGTGTGGCTTAAAGCCATTTATTACGTGTTAATTTCATACAGTATTTCCTCGCTTGTGTACATAAAGCTAGAACAGAAACAATATTTGCGTCTGTCACATACTCGGCGAGTATTTATTTAATATAATCGCGGGTACACTAATACAGAATTTGTAAATAATTACGGATGGTTTCAATTTTAGTGAATTTAGTAATTACGGCCGTTCAACGCGGCCGGTTTATAGCGAAAAGGACATTTTGTGCACACAACTGGGTCAAAGTTATAACCCATAGTTCGATATGTAGTTATAAGATTATAGAGTTATATTAGATAAAAGAAAACTCAACAACTGACGTTGTGCCAGTTAGTTTTGAGTTTGGGGGCTATGCGAGCAATGGTAAACAATATTCTGACTAAAGGCACTAAAATTAACAAAATCCTATGTTACTGTGGACTTGTTGAATCCGTGATGTTATACATTTTACGCATACATTTTGTTTGAGAGAAAAAATCAGTTTCCGCCATTTTTTATTGCGTTTAAATTTTTTATGTAATCAAAAGTATGTTGTTGTTGCTCGATAAATATTGTTGGTAGCTGTTACCTTCGATATTATTGTCAAACATACAGTATTGCAGATGTGTTTTGTTATATATTTTAATTGTAAATTTAAATTTATTAGCTGTATAAATTTATAATTAACGTTTAGGGAGTTCCGTCATTAGTTTTTGATGCAACAAATTGTGTTTTGTGATTATGTGAACATTATTTTTCAAAGTGCTACAGAAGAAATGATCATTAAAACTTAACTATTAAATTTTTTTATTGTTTCATTTCGTCGACTATAAAGATTAGAGCCTGCATATAAGATGTGTTGCCGATAATATGGCACGGATTCGTGATTAATGTGATGATATCTACAATAAATAACAATTTGGTTGATATTAAATATTCTTTAGTTTTGTTTTGAATGAGAGCAAGTACGCGGTACATCGTCCAAAGTTCTTAACACTCATTATCATGTCTCGTGTCGTGTAATATAAACATGCCCATGATCACCTTCAGTAATATGTGTAATAGTCTGGGACGATGTAATCATAGATCATGGAGAAGCATGATATGCAACTTATGTTTCAGTTATCAACGCGTAGACGAACAGAGTCCAAGAAATTACTTTGAAATTTGTATCATACCTTTGACAGTAAATGTTCAACGTCTATTATATTAGCTATAAGAACTGAACAAGTCCAATCTGAATAAATAAATTAAGAAAAATAACTATTTAAACGATAATGGTTTTCATTATCTGGCTGATATGATTCAAAATTGTAGAGGATATCAATTAGACAGTGTATTGATTATGTGCGCGCGCAACTGAACTGACGTTTTCATTCGGTACGTGAAAAAATTCATTTTATCGCCATAGGTCTTACGCGTGGTGAATTTACTTGTTTTCTGTTAAAATACATTATCTGCTTTACATTTTAATAAATCAATATATTATTGTTTTAGAGGTAAATAGTTTGGTTTGTGATGGCTTTTTGTTAATTTTTACAGACATTGATGTAATATCTGTGTTTGCTAGTGGTTACCGGCTCAGTTTGGAGGTAAGTTGAAATAGGGTATTTATATTAATATTAATGGGATTATAATAATTATTAAAGATAATAAATTTATAAATTATATTTACTTATCGTAACTGATATTATAAATATGAAATACTTGTATTTTCTTGGGGGAAGGGGATTATTAATGTGGTCAAATAACCCCATTACTAGCAATGTACTGTTAGGTTGAATTCCACGCTGCTCCTCCTGGAAATCGTTATGATAAATTCCTGATAAATTTGCTACAATGGGCTAACTGACCTGACCTCATCCACATCTTATTATCCTCTACTGGTGCCCCGCCAGCGTATACCATTAGCGCAGGCGAGTCCACCACTCCATTATATATTTTTTTATTTATAAGTTACAAAAGTACCTGCAATTAAAATAAAATCTGTAAAAAGCTATGTTGAACATATATTACATGTACAGTATTTTACACAGGTAGCGGTGTGGGATACAGTTAGCAAAGAATATATTTGGTTCAAGGTTTCATTTTAAAGCTTACACGCCGCTCTCAACTGTCGCTGTTCATCTTCCACACATATCATTTGGTCCATCTGATCATGATGTAATCTAAGTCTCGAAAATATCTTTCAGATACACTTTAGTTTTTAGTGTTTTAATTTTAATGGATGATAATGGAATGGTACTCCCGCCTACGCTAATAATATACGCTGGCGGGGCACCAGTGGAGGATGATAAGATGAGAATGAGGTCACAGTTCTCAGGGGAACCGCGTGTAGGTCAACCTGACATGTACACCGCTAGCAATGGTGTCGTAGTCCCTATTACTAACAATCCTCTTCCAGTTTTGTGCAAATATTTTTAGTACTGTTATCTACGGGTTTGCCAGTACTAATAATCTATTGAGGTTGACCAAGGTCATGCGATCCCCTTTGAAAACCATCACGGGTATTTCCTGGTGTAGTTACTGAACTGATTTTATTTTAGAACCCATGATCTACCACTGGTGCTCCGCCAGCATATACTATTAACGCAGAAGGGGTGACTATTCTATCATCATATATTAAAAATATACGCCTACTTATACGATATCCACGCTTTTTAGACTGAAAAACATTACAAGACATGAAAATATTTAATAACAATAACCCTGCAATGAGGGTGAATGCTACAAATTTAATATCATATTGCACTATATCTTTTAGGGAAATATGTTAAGAATCATAAATACTATCGACCTGGTATAACTACCATTTAAGGTTCATCTGTATAGCTCACGTAGATACGGTTTCGTACGGTGGGAGATATTAATTCATATTTCAGAAGGATATATAATATTTTTTCACTAAAAATATTGTCTTGGAAATTTGCTTGTCGTTTGGCCTCTTTATAGTAGTAATTATTTTATCGTAGATAAAAAGGTATTACATACTACTAATACTTTAAGCTGATATAAATTAATACTTAATTATAGTTCACAATGCCATTCATGATAATTAATACATTAAATTACTAATAACAGCAGTAGTTATTACTTGCAAATAGTAGTGCGTAATGGTAGTCATATTTTTGTGGAAAATCCAATTATAAAAAAAATTTGCTACCAAAATAAAGTAAATCCCCTATGAAATAAAATAAAATAAAATAATTTATGTTCTGACTGCTTCAGAGCTAAGAAAAACTGATAAGAAACTTAGCTTTTATTCTTTCCAAATGAGCTTGTACATGATTAAAAATACAGATATTTTTGATTTTCTTATTCTTTATTCTATCTAAAATAAATGCACAATTTTATGGCATTCTCTACCAGCTAACTATTGGGTAAAAACAGAAAGCGGTTGAAGGGTAGTAAGGGGGAAAGGTATACTATTGGTATACATGTATAAACATATATGTATATACCTAGCTAAGTAAATGTGTCATATTATATATCAAACAGATTCATGATATTTATATACATAAATAAACATATATTACGCATAGGCGTAATATATGTTTATTTATGTATCTATTGACAATAAATATCAGTTTTTTAATGCGTAGGTATATACATAAAACAAGAAAGGGAAGTAATGACGATTAGTGGTCATATTGACAGTAATGAAATTAATATGAACTGGTGTTGCCAGCGTATAAATAGCGTTTTTACAGGGCCATCATTCCAACATAATTAAAAAAAAATGACGTTCAAATCAATCCAAATAAACACAGTAACTTTACCGTGTACCTACTATGAATGCGAAGATTGAATTGGCAACCATAGAAACATGCATTACCAATTGCTGTTACCAATGTTATCTATACTGTTACTAAGTTTTTGAGTTTACAATCTGACAAAAACAATAAAAATATGCTTATCTACTAAATCTTATTAATATTACAAACGCGAAAGTTTATGAGTATGGATTGATAGATAGATGTATGTTTGTTACTCATTCACGCAAAAACTACTGAACGGATTTTGATGAAACTTCACAGTAATATAACTTATACATCAGACTGATGACATACATATGCTAAAATTTCATTTTCAAACCGCTGGCACGGCTAGTGTTGAATAATTTCTAATTTTATTGTCTGTATTTCTCAGCTTCATTTAATTGTAACTAACGTTAGTTTTGACTCCTAAAAATTTTGTAATAGATAAAAATATTTTGAATTAGTTTAATTTCTTTTAATGAAGAAATGCTTGATTAATGGTTAATTAACGAATCACAAATTAAGAAAATAAACTACTTAGAATGAATTCATTTTCTATAACATAAGTAGTCTAGATACAGGTTAGATACATGTAGATATAAATACAGTTTGTTCGTACAAATACAACGACTAGCAATTTACACGAATACAACAATTTTATTGCTTCGATCATATCTAATTTGTCTATCGGGTTTCCTTTGCGTCAATGAGGCGGCAGTATGGCGCGTAAATGTGTATATGTATGTATAAGTACGTACGTATAATACGTTTAGAAACGTTTTTTTTTATTTGAGCAAGATACTTTCCTATTTATTAAGTACATTATTTATTTAAGTCATTAAACAAATTTCCTTCAAACATTATTGTCTTTTGAATATGATTTATTAATGGATATGCACTTACTCTACTCTCTGTATATGGGTAGGTATACCGTTACAGAGACATTATTTATATATGTAGTACCTATATTGTTAGCAACGGGACCAATGGTCACCATTACTATCTGTTACCACCCTTTGCTTCCTATTTTTATCTTATTTGTTATTATTGTAATTTTTTTACTTTTCTTATTTAGCGTACTAACTAACATCCGCCGGAGTCATTATCTAAAAAAATAATTCATAAAATATGGTTTGTTATCAAAGTTCTCTAAATTCGAAATAATAGGTACACAAAGTTTTTCATGTCAACCAGATTGTTTAGGGTCTTTATCAAACCACTAGGTTTTTTCGCACTACTCAATGCAGTTGGCCGCAGCTGGTTTGTACAGTTTCTCTAGGCGAAAATGGGGGCGAGTGGAAGTACATAAGGAGCGGTTATAGCCCAACTCCTGCCTGACAGATAACACTTTAGTCTGAGCGTAGTTCTTGTTTTGAATGGGCAGCATCAATCGACGAGCATAACTAGTGGCATAACTATATCATCTGAGGGCCGTGGCAAATGCACAGGATCCTGCTCCAAGCGCTCCTTAGTGCAGTTTCTTAAATAGATTCTATTTTTTTTATTAAATTATGTATTTCTTCTGGTGCCTAAATCAGGAGACCCCTATGACCGAACCCGTGGTAGTTTGTCCGCTCTGACCCCTATTGTTGTGTAACTGGTAACGACGTTCTTCAACAATGTTTTAATTTTTCTTACCTGCTATATTTTTAGGGAAAATGTGGGTGGTTTGCGTGCCCAGTTGGGGAGTGGCCATGGCGGCCGGTGCTATTATACTATATGGCACATTGGATGTGGCATACTTCGCTAGAATGATGTACACGGTGGCTAAAGCCAGGTATTTCAAGAAGAAGGCGTGCATACTGGATACCACGGAAGTTCGTTGTAAGTTTTATATATTGATTATTTTGTGCCTACATTTGTAATATTTCTGGCAATATTCGGTACCCTGCCATTCATTTACGTCTCCATATACCTTAGATTTAACTTTAGGGTAAAATCAGTCCACTTTACGGCTGTGCGACGAGTGTATGCGTTATTAATAAGCCACTGTAAGCACACTATTAAATAAACTAACTAATATAGTTCAGTTACTACATCTGTATATCCACCTAAAGGAGTTATGTTAAGAAGCGACACCTCATCACTTCAGATATAACGCTACAGTGGTGACGGGATAACCATCGCACTACATCTTCTATTCTCCTTTTTGATTAATGAAATGGTTCTCCCATTTGCGCTAACGGTTTACGCTGGCGGGGTACCAGTTAGTTAGTTACCAGAGAATGATAAGTTCAGGTCAATTAGGCCATCGTGAAATTCACCAGGAACTTATCACGATGGTTCATTAGACTACATTACTATTCCCCCTTGTTTATATGCTACTTGAATGGCAAACAAACTAATGACTCACCTGATGGAAAGTGGAAACTCTTTTTCTTTTTATTTATAGTAAAGTCTGTCGCTACCTTTGTGGCCACATTCTTTTAGCCTATTTTTTTTAGTGGAAACTCTTGCCAATATACATTAATATTACCACTGACATCAGGTCGCCATGTGACGCCCGTAATGCGTACCTTGTATTGCTATTGTTGAAGCTTAACAACTACAAGAAGGTACCTCATTCAGCGGCTTGCTTTGAAAATTATGTTTCGGTTGTAAAGTGCAGATTAGACAGTGAAATTACTGATATTAAGCTAGAGATCTAAGTCTTAGAGTGGTATCTACCACTGGCGTCACATGATGATGTCCATGGAACTATTATACTAAAAGTAGAATGGTGACGGTTACCACTTCGGTACCACTTATATATAGTCCATATACTCGCAATTCCAGCAGCAATATCTTCATAAACTGTAATTTTTAATAATATATATCTGTAGTCTACCGCTTTAATACACGACTATATATCCGAAGGTTGCGGGTTCGATTCCTCGCACGGTACAAACATCTACAATCATCCAGGTGTTTTCAATGTACATTATGAATGTATTTATAAAGAAATGTATCTAAATATTTATATCAGGTGTCCAGTACCTATAAGACAAACTCTGCTTCGCTTGAGACTAGGTGCCGCTATGTGAATTGTCCAGGGTTATTGTTATTTATAATGTTAGTGAGTATTTTAAACTTGTATCACCAGCGTGGTGCCTACTCACCGATATAGACACACTACTATATCACATGAACAATGCTCGATACTTGAGAGAATTGGATTTCGCCCGTGCTGACTTCTACGAGCGTACGGGACTATACGCCAATATTAAGGCGGCAGGTGGGGCGGTGGTGCAGGCAGCAGCCACCATCCGGTACAGACGGTATCTAAAGCCGTTCACCCGATTCACAATTACTTCAAAGGTTAGTCATCATCTGCTTCTAATCTAATTATTTTAAATCAGATTTAATAAAAATAAAAATTAGTAAGAATAATTTCCAATAAATATAGTCTTTTTTTATTTATTGAATTTAATTATATAATATAATGTGGTATCATTACTGGATGACACATTTTTGTGCAAACTTAAGTTGAATTATAAGAGACAATTTAGAGTATAACAAACAATTTAGAGTAGCCCAGCGGTTAATAACCATTATTAATAGTAAAGTCTGGGCTTTTAAAAATAAAAAAATACCTTCTTAAATGACTAATTTATTACTCGCTTTAGACAACATATTTATTTATTTATTAAAACTTCAGTGCACCAGTATAAAAATGGTGGACAGGCGAACTTAAATATCTAGAGGCCTATGTACAAACTAAAAAAAATACTTAATGACAAACAAACTTTTTTTATTATATCTTTGTGTTATTAATAGACTATAATAAATCATTATTGTTATCTATTTGGGCATAGTACATTTTGTAGTTGGAGTTTTATTATGTTCAGATAGGAGTGAGGACGCGGGGACCTCCAGTACGCGGGCCTCTCAATAGTTCTCTTGTTGTTAGGCTAATCTGGCACTGATTTCTTTTCTTCCAGGCAATATATTGGGATGAAAAGACAGTGTTCATGGAACACGAGTTCATTGGACCTGGTGGTTTCGTCCACGCTGTCGCTGTTTGTCGCCAACGAGTCATAGACACATCGGCAGCGGCGATAGCAGATCTACTGCTGCAGTTGCATTGCGCTGGTGCTTGCCATGCGCCGATAGGGAAGATGCCTCCAGAGGTTTGTAGCTGAAAGTTTCTTTTTTTACGAGAATAAGTAGTGGAACTGACTCCGAGCGAATTTCCTTCCTCTTACATTGGGTCTTTCAAGTTAAGAGTGAATAGGCACTATTTGAGATATTTATTTCGAATTATTGGATACTAGCTGTGCCTGCGACTTCATCCGCGTGAAATAGTTACCTTGATCAAATAAAAAGAAAAAATGTAATAGTCTAACCCAAAATAGCCAGACAAAAAATGTTTCGTCGTTCTAGCTTCAAAAATGACGATGCAAACTTTTATCCCCTATTTTATTTTACCTTAAGGGTGAAATTTTGAATTTATATTTAAAACTAAAAATATGTTTCAAATGTTAGGTTTAAAATTTAGATATTTTAATTTTTTACTTTCAACACCTTACAACCTTTTTTTCACATTTAAAAGTAGCCTATGTTGTTTCTTAGTTACTATCTGTGTACTAAATTTTTTAAATTTTATTAAGACAGACAGAGTTACTTTCGCATTTTTAATATTAAGTAAGAATTTTATAGAAATAGATAGAAATAATATTTATTCAAATAAATCTAATATAAGCACATTTGCAGTTTTTTTTATTCTACCACTCATTCAGAATGTAAACTCATCACAAAAAGAATGAGCTCTAGCTTATGTGTTGCTTTTTTGAATAAATACACATTGACAAGTGGTAGGCATGCGATAATCAACATAGAAACCGCTAACTAGTTCTTTATTATTATGTTTTCTAGTTGGAACTCTGGGTGCAAAGCAACGAGTTGAGTTCAGCCAAACTAAGGGGTTCAACAGCCCCCCGACCCTCAGTACAGGCAGACCCCCTCAGCTGTGGCGAGGTGTTACCAACACCAGCGAGCGAATGAAAATACCTATTTCACTGCCAGAGCGATAATTTGAGGTATCGGTTGAATTAAGGGCTATGTTGAAGTGATTGTACGTTTTTTTTATATTAATAAATTGTCATATACGTCTAGTATATCAGGCGAGCCGTATGCTTGTCATTATGACCGACTGTAACCTCTTTTAATGGAATACTTATTGCCTATTTAAGGCAATGCCTGCGACTGACAAACCGGCAAATTGGCGGTGTTTTATAATATATTATATGCATTGATTCAGTTTATTCAATTACATATTTAGACTAATTCCTATAATAAAAGTAACTACTACTCTATTTCTAAATTCTATATCAATATTTACAACAAAATTCAATAATTTACAACAAAACACGACAATAACCTGTGAAATGTCAGTCTAGAATTATTACGAAAATTTTATTATTAAATTTACTAATATTAGTTCGATGTTAGAAGCCCTTAAGTATGAAAGAGATGGAAATTAGGTTTGCCCGTTCTAGCAGTGAAATGGAGCGAAAAAGAGGTTCTTATATTCGAGGAGTAATTGACATCTGCTTGTTTACCTGTACTATTATAAATTGTAAAATAATTAGTACATCATTAAATAATTATGTACGAGATGAAATCTATAAGACTTATTTGTATCCAAGAGATATGCAAGAAGTGAAAATCGTCAGACTAAACATATTGCAAATGTTTACTTTTTAAACATCGTGTTTAATACATACCGCCTTCACGGGTGTACAGGTCCCCTCCGATCGACCCCCCGTCCAATTCAAACGGGGATCGAAATTACGACGGCCTGAGCCGAGGTTCGAACCCCTAGCGGTGCCCTCAGACCGACGACTCTATACAACTTTAGTATCCGTCAGGCGAGAGTTGGCCTTGAGCCGCTCCATAAGTCCTTCCGCGGGTATGAAGTGCTATCTGCACTCGCCCCCTATCGTGAAGTTGTAAAGGCCAGCTGCGGCCAACAGCATTAGAGTAGTCCGGAAAAAAAATCTTTCTCTAGAATCGCTTTATTTGTCGCTAAAAACTACGTTAACATCCATTGCGTAGTTTAAAAGATCTAAGCGAACAGGCAACGGAAACGACTTCATTTTACACTATGTCAATATAAAGGTATAAACCTCTATATAGCAAATGATTGTTTTAAGAAATTATAATTATTATATTGTTCATTATTATATTTGTATTAATTATTATAAATAATAATGTTTGAATCGAATGAAACTAAGTGTGGTTGAGAGCGCAAAAAATTCCAGTTTCAGTTTTCACATTTACTGGCATTTAGATAGTTTGCATAAGTATTATGTCGAATTTTTCTACTTTGGATCTTAGAAAAAAACAGCCATCTTTATAATAAAGTTGCGGTATATAAAGAGATAAATTTTACAAAATACTTACACATGTCTCTTGTTGTAGTTTTATTTTATAAGTATCACATATACATATATATAATGAAAATACAGAAAAAACTTGGAATACATAGACATATTATGAAAGATTGTCAAAAAGTTGGAGTATAAACAGAATGTACAATAACAGAACTATAGATCTAAATACAAATTTAGAAGAAATAATACATCCAGTACAGTATACCACATGTGTAAATCAATAAGAATTGACTTTTATATATATGTTATAATGTAACCGAGAACAAACATAACATTTCCATTTACTCTCATTTCTCTCACTGTACTCAATGAAGTATTTTAAAAAGTAATTTAAATATTATTACTATTAAATAATACCTGACCGACTGATATAACCTGTTTAGATTTCATTCGTATCAAAAATCTGTCGTTAGTTTGTTGTAATAATTTTTATTTAACAGAAAACTGATATATTGTTATACTTGAAATTCAGAGGGGAGATGCGAATTCTTCTATATATTTAAATGATAAATAATTTTACACTTTAGTAATCTCATATTATAATGTTACTTTTAGCTGATTTTATATATTTTCATAGTTTTTGACTCGGGTATTGTTTTAATTATTTTGTTTAATATATGTGTATTTTTCTTGAGGATTGTTTCTTATTATGTAACATTGAATGTATGATACATGAATGTGATGGGAGATTGTATGGAATTTATATTTGTGTATTAGATATTATTTTAAGTTAGATTTGTATAAAATTCTGTAATAATAATAATACCTCTTTACTATTACAACGCCATCTAGTTCCAAGAGCAGAGCTTGTGTTATGGGTACTAGAGCACAGATATAAATACATATATACTTTTTTTATAAACACATACGTTATATACATAGAAAACATCTCGATGTTACACATACAAACAGTCATACTTAGAAATGTTTGTACCGAGGGAGAAATCGAACCTGCGACCATCGGATTTATGGCGGTATACTAAACTGCTAGACCACAGAAGCCGACAAATAATTGTAATAATTATATAACTGAGTGTAATTAAAACGTTTTGTGATATTTGTTGGTGTCATGATATTAAAATTTATGTTATTATGTTAATGAAAATATTTTGTTATCACTATAGATAACATTAATCAGTAAATCGCATTATCTATGGTGTACATTGTAGTCGTATTTACAAAAGGTAAATCGTGCGTGTTTAATATATGAGTCATGGTTCATTCATTTCTAATAAGTTGGAGATTATTTTAAATATAATATAGTTTGTTTATGACCACTCTTAACTCTTGGGCGATGACTTGAACTTAGATTTATTATTTATTTGTACTGTCACTGATATTTGACTAAAGTCCGACAGCTCAGAGTTGGCGTTAATTGACCAATCAACTGTTTTTGTAGTGACCGAATAACCTTGAAATAGCGCAATTTTATCTGGTTTGAGTTTTAAAAACTATTGTTTTTATATTTGTTAAGTAGTTAATAGAAAAATTTATAATTTTAACCCAAAATTATTAACTATTCTATTTACAAATTTTTGAGTTATTACTCGTTAATAAGGCAAATAAAGGATATTTAAATTTTTGCAGTAAATTGTACTCCTATGTCAGTTCAAAGTTACATCGTCCATTCGATCCCGACCTGTCTGAAATGCACGCTGAGCGGCCCGACTGTATAAATATAAATTCAAGTCATGAAATTAGATTTATTGTCAAACAACAATGACAGTCCAAATGTTTACTGTAAAAATACATTTTGACAGTATAAATATTTATACTTACTTATAAGTAATTTATACTTGCCTTATACGAAACGTTTTTGGCATAGGATGCTTCGGGTCATATAAGGTTTACGAAAGATATTTAAAAAATGTGTTAACTTTAACAGTTGTAGACTATATGATGGTCTTTAAATTAAAATGACTAATATTACTTTTATTTTGGTATCAAAAATATAGATTATCGTACTCACAGTTGATAAAACTGTTATTACACGAAGTGTAATTCTAATTCTATACACGAAGGTTCTTCTTTCTTTTACTTACTGTTTTATGTAATTTATCTGACTACTGCATTATAAATATTAAAATGGATGTAAATATGAAAGAATATCATAATATATAATAATTTCAACGACTGTTAAGTTTCTTGCCAATTTTCTATAAAACGGTCTGATTAAATAAGGCATTAACTTATAAAAAATTTACGATGACTCGTAAATATTTTATAAGTTAATGCCATTATAAGTTAATGTTATAAAAATACTGTAAAGTTATTTATGAATAAATATTATTATATAATTTAATTTCGATAAAGCTGAATTATTAATAAAAATGGATACATTCGAAAGTAGATTACAAAATTACAGTATATTGTACGATTTTGGTATATAAAATTAGAATACTGGTAGAGATTGTCACAAACGCAGGTGCTGTATTTTCCTAACGAATATAGAATACAAATACTATATTTGTATTTTAACATATACAAAATATATAAACTGATAACGAATGAAAACAGCATTTGAGCCGTGTTAAATACAGCTCGGATAAGTGTAATATACATTTTTCTCAGTTCAAATATAATATATATATATATTATATAGTCTTATTATTGAAATAGTGAAATGTGTTTTAGCACGAATAATTCTATGGTAAAAATAAAGGTATTTACCTCTCTCTATTTGTAAATTAGTCGTAACGTCAAGAGAGGTAAATACCTTTATTTACCATAAAATTATTCGTGTTAAAACCCGTTTAACTATAATAATAATGTGTAACTAAAGCAAAGTTTAAACTTAAGGATTATATAGTCTGATCCACCAGTATCTTTTAACGATTGGTGTATGTATATACGATAACATTAAGAGTGTTCTTTATCGAAATCTCAATGACTATGTCTACCTTCGTTTTGCAATGTCTATTGATCAATTTGGTATTTACATAGCGAACTAAACGTATAACACATAATTCTCATTAAACTTGTCGCTTTAATATTGTACTGTGGCTTTAAAATGTATTTGAATAATTCAAGCACAAAATGTGATGTACCCATAACTTGTTTAATGGCAAATTTATGTGAAAGAGATTTTTGACTCGGTTTATTTTTTAACCTTGTTCAGATTTTTTATAGAACATTATAACATTTAACATTTTTTATAGAAATGTTAACTATTTAAAATGTTACAAGTGGATATATTTATTAAAAACTGTTCAATTGAAGATTGATTACGATAATATTAACAATTGTTTAATTATTTTTAAATACATAAGACGTCAGCAGACAAGACAGTAACAGCAGTGGCTTTGTTAATTAATTGTCTTAAAAATGTAAAAATTACTTTATCATATGGCAAGATTTGTGCTCGAAGATATTCAGGTGTGGGGGGTATTTGTGATCCTGAGTTTGTGATGATCTTTATACCTAATTCATACGCAGTTATAAATGCAATTTTAATCTAATGTTTATAATCTTTAAATAAATACCTTTATATGGTGTGTGTAATGGAATTATATGTGTTGATTGACAAAAAGACTCCACGCTATCTAATAAGTTTTATCTACATTTTACTTCGTAAATTCGTAGTTTAGAACCTTGGCAGAGCTTGTGCTTGCAAGAAAACTTACTTAATTGCCGAGGCAAATTAAGGGGTAGATATCCTAGGCCATAATAAAATTATAATTTAAAAAACTACCAAACATAAAGTGTGTCATGACTGAAAAATAGGCCCAGAAATTGAATGTAGGTAACATTGTAAGGCCTGCTTTAATCTTAGTTCGCCATTGATTAATTGTGGTGATAATATCCAGGGAGGCAAAATGAACGTGGGCCAAACAACCTAGTCAGAAATTCTTCTTCCTTTTCATCTTATATATAAAATTCTCGTGTCACAGTTTTCGTTCCCATACTCCTCCGAAACGGCTTGATCGATTCTCAGGAAATTTTGTGAGCGTATTGAGTAGGTCTGAGAATTGGCTAACATCTATTTTTCATCCACCTAAATTTTAGGGGTAGTCCACCCCTAAATTTTTTTTTTTATATTAAAGCAAAACAACGTTTGCCGGGACAGCTAGTAATTCTATATTTATATCTATAGTACTAAAATTACTTTAAAATTTATTATAAGAATTATAATATAAATTTGTTATAATATATTATTACAGTAATTAAATCTAATATAAATAATAAAATATAAATTGTTATTATATGTTTTGATTTTAGCAATATACCAACTAATAGTTTTGACCTTCCCAATACTAATCTATTGCAAT